TTCTCTCCGATACGTCGTTAATAGAAATATTTTACTTCTGTTTAATGCACTATAGAGCTATTTATGTTGATGATTATTTCATTAGTGAAAAAGCCTTTAATTTTTCTTATCATTTTGAACGTTTTAAATAAAATAATGAAGTTAAATATAAATTCTGGCAATATGCTATTGTATGAATGTGAAAAGATGTATTTTTATGTCGATTGAAGGTAAATTGGACAAAAAATGCATTTAACACATCTAATAAAATTTTCAGTTTATTTTCAATAGTAAGTGCATGTTATAATGGTCAACTGCATACCAACATATCTTGACGACGATCTGTAAAATTTGGCCGTAGCGACTATTTCTTTCTCTTTTTCAGTAAGTTTTCCCATGGATGATGCTGCTATGGTTTGCCAAATAGTTTATCACAACAAATTAGCTTCGCGGGCGATGGTCATAATAATGATAATTTCGTATCATTTCTAATTTTGAAAACATTTGTCACACCCTATTTGTTTTTCAGAATGCGGCTTGCTTAACATTGTCAACACATAGTTGGGTATGTTTTTCCTTTTCGTATCAACAATTATTGTCTGCTGCTGCTGCTAGCTTATGTACATTATGTTTTTCTTTTACTATGCTGTTAACGTTGCTTTACAGTAATAGTTATATTTCATATTCCGGCTTGTTGCATGTCCTAAATCATGATCAAAATTTTCTCTGGCTAGTTTCCATACTTGTCTTTATACGATATTTCAACCAACTTTCCGCTGAAAGATTGTTATATGCAGTGCGGTGTTCATATCAAGATCATATCTTCATTTAATTTCAACTTTCCGCTCCTGCAAGTTTTATAGACATGCGCCCACTCAACTAGAGTTATATATAATTATATAATTATTTTGAAGGATGTTCCTGCATTTTTGTTGCCCTGTTGTCAATCATATAAAATGTAGATACTGTTCGACGTTTGTTGAACAAGCTACTACTTTTTACACTTCGTCCCAAACAAAGCTTTTTGTTTGCATGAGCCGAACGGTAAAGAGATCCTTAATTAGTTAAATATTGTCATCTGTGATATTGTGTTGAACAAACTATCAAAGTGCGTGCGTTTAGGCAAATAACATGGTTGTTTTCGTCAGGCGCTATGTATGATTGTCGTAATGAACACGAATTCGCTTTCCGCTCGGCAAGTCTCTCGCTACTATTTTAAATAATCGCTATAATAATGGAGCACTCGAAGCATTTAGAAAATTCCAACGACTTGAACTTAAGCTGAGAAAAGCCAAACTCGACTTGGATTTTCTTACGACATGCAGAAAGCGCTCTGTGATACCAAGATTCCTGTGGTTCAAAGTAGCTAGTCGTCGTTTACAAAACTCTAGCGCTTATCGCCAATGCCAAAATAAACTCCTTCAAGAAGAAATAAACGGGAAACACGCTCGCATACGCGTCCTCTCAGCACAACTAACACAAGCACACTCCAACCTGGCGTTACTAATCTCCAAAATTGACTTTATACACCTTAAGAATGTCTCCGATCGTGAAAATTCAAGAAAACTAATGCAACATCAACATATCCAAGATCGCAAACTTTTCCGTCTCACATCCAAACATGACAACAACATCCCAATCGACCCTGATAAAGTGGTGTTCAACTTCTCAAACCACCTCATTACTGACAGAGAAAGGAAATCCTTTCAAAAGGCTTAAACTTTTCCGTCCCACCGAAAATGTTAAACATTTGCACCTTCCTAACACCCTTAGAAAACTCTACAACCGCCTTAAACGAGAACCTGTTAATGAATCATCCGGATTTTTCCAGACTCGATCAAATGCAAATTAAAAGACATTGCCCTCAGGTTTCCAAGTTACAGCCCACCACCTTTCCTATACTCACAAGAAGACTTGAACATTTTAAATAGTTTAAAAACGACAGAACTATCCTCATCACTAAGCCTGACAAAGGAAATGGCATCGTAATACTTAACAAAGACGACTACATAGAAAATGAACACACTCTTATCTGACACAACAAAGTCTCAACCTCTTGATGGAGATCCAGTAAAAGTCACTTTACAACGAGAAAATCAAGTGAAGTCTTTATTAAAAAAGTTGAAAGATGCTAAATCTATCGGCCAAGAAACTTACAAAAAACTTTACCCTACTGGTTCACGAATAGGTATATTGTATGGTCTTCCTAAAATACATAAATGTAACATCCCTCTCAGACCCATTCTTTCCTCCATTAATCACTATTCGTATAAACTAGCAAAGTTTTTCATCTCACTCCTAAAACCCTTCACTATAAGCAATTTTATCATCAAAAACTCCTTCTCTTTTGCTGAAGAAATCGTAAACTGCGAAATCAACTCCAGTAATGTTGTCCTTGCTAGTTTTGATGTCGTATCCCTATTTACTAATATACCTGTTAACGAAACCATCCGCATAATGTCCAATAGCATTTTTAACAACCACAAGTACTTCAACGGACTCACTGCAACAGAATTTGAAAAACTACTCTCTCTAGCTGTTAAGAACTGTCACTTTATCTTTAACGGGAAAATGTACCAGCAAATTGATGGTGTGGCTATGGGCAGTCCATTGGGCCCTCTCTTTGCTGATATATTCATGTCCTCTCACGAACAATCCTGGCTTAATAAATGTCCTTCTTCATTCAAACCACTACTTTACCGACGCTAAGTTGACGACTGTTTTTTACTTTTTCATCCCTCCGATCACGTCCCTCTCTTTCTTGACTATCTGAACCGAGAGCACCCTAACATCACATTCACAGCTGAAATCGAACAAAACAGAAAACTATTATTTCTTGACATTGACATCTCGAGAGCAGATGAGTGGAAGCCCGTGACCAATGGTCGAGAGATCTCACTCTTTGAGGTTTTGCAATGAGCCAGTGCAAACGCGTAAAACATCTTTTTATAAATTAACAGTAATGCAAAACAGATAAATATTAAAAAAAACTTCTAATTCATTCTCTATATATATTCATGATTGATTTGCAAATTATCGTTGATTGATTATTTGCAAATTATTTTTGATTGAATTTATTGAATAAGCTCTGGTCGGATGCAAAGGCTAATGCAAATTGCAAACTCGGCAAGAGACCAATCAGCGCATGCATTTTCTTGTTCTTATCGTACAATTGATATTACTCAAAAATCCCCTCACTTCGGGGAGTGGACAAGTATGCAGGATAAGAGGTGCATTCCCCCCGTGACTGTATGGTGAAATAATAAAAATTTGCTTAAACAATGAAATGAAAAGCTTATGGAATAGCATTAATCTTTTCGGTGGGAATTAAGTTCGGGGTGTGCTATAACGTAATATTATGTATGTTTTCACTTACCTACACGCCTTTCTCTGTTGTATTGAAAGACTGTTAAATTGGTGGAGCATTTACACTTGGTGTGATTTTGTAAAATGTATTCGTAATATTTAAACGTCAGTGAATCTCTCAGTACGATGCCTATCTTTTGCCATCTCACTGGTTTCGACGGATAGTGAGTTTGTGAATATTCTGCACAGCGGTGTATTTTGATGAAATATGGTCCGAAGCCTTGAGGGGGGGCTTCGTCAAATTTGTCACTGTATATGGACACAACATCTTCCTGAGGTTCACACGTTTTCTTGGCTGGAAATATAAGTACATATTAATTTGGCTTGTCTGTGGACGAACAATTTTCAATTGTGAGAAACCAAATGAAAAATGAAGAACGACTATTTCATTATACAATCAGTAAATTCAACATGTTTAGTTTTGTATGTTTACCTGCTGCTGCACAGAGCTGGCATAGTGTTAAAACAATAACATAAACTTCCTTTTTACTTCTTAAAAAATATCGATCTGTGATGAAAGATAAAAGCGCAATCAGTACCTGATGCAAAATATATTAAAACTGCCAATTGATTGGTAGGATTTTATTAAATTCACAACCAAAGGCATAAACGCATTATGAATTTAAAATTACAGCTATCATTTACTTTGCTCAACTATGAAATATTTTATACAAATTGATAAGCCATTTTGTAAGTCATACTAAAACTAGCGTCTATTTTGAACCCAACATACTGGAGATGGTACAGTGTTAAAAGTATTTTTATAGCAATGCAATGAATGTTGCTCTCAAATGAGCGTCTTACAAAGAGTGATAAAGAACAAAGACACAAATGTAAACATCGGGTCATTGGGGGTCAAGAGTGGTGTGAATTATTCTTATCTTTTTATATCAATAATCAATATACATATATTATTTGATCATTCGATATATTCATCAACAATTTGTTTAAGAGATGCAGGGATTCAAAATGATATTTCACCCTATTGGCCCTATTGTCCTTTGTAACTTCCCGTAATGATATTTTTTAATGTCATTTACTTAACTTTTTAGGGCATAGTTTACAAAAAAAATTTTAAATGTTTTGTATCCATACTTCCTGCGCTGTTGAACCATGTACATATCAAACCGTGTGTGAAAAAAATTGACCCTATGCTATATTCTTAATTCATGTGAACGTCTCTACTCTAGGTTCATTTAAAGAATTTTGTGGAATTACTTCAACAGAGATTCTTTGACACCGAGGACTTTGTCAAACATAATGCTTCATGATTGGGAGAGGTCATTATTGTAACAAATTTTATAGCTAAATTGAATACGAAAAAACGATTGAATAAATTGGTAATGGCAATCAGCATGGTATACAACAAACAATCGTGCTGTTTATTTCAACAATTTTTTATACAATGCTGTTTCTTTGTTTAATTAGCGCAATTGCGCAATGCGACAGCGAATTGCAGAATTTAAAACAATATGTAATCTATACATTGTATGCATCGACGACACATAGTTTTGGCTACTATACAAGGTTAACACTACTCGATTGTGCTTTAAAATCGGCGCATAAATAGTCATCAGGAAGTGCATACGATAAATTTGACCTAGTAATACTTATTCATCGTGCAATTAGAAATACAAATAGAATGTATAACTTACCCATTTTGCTTGCAGAAAAATTGGTTGATCGTTTTTTGCAAATCGTCTTTCTTTTCGATGTAAGCAACTGTTCGTTGACTTTTGAACACTTGTAAATGATTTATGGTGTTTGCGTTTTTTATATTTATAATGATGCAAGACTTGTTTTTCACTGCATGGTGAACCGCACTTTATTTTGTTGGGTTAACCATTTCCTTTTGACAAATAATGGTGCAGCAGAAGGATGAATACTCTTTAGGTTATTTTTGATACACTGTTTGCGCTGTTGAGGTTAGCATTCCTTCATAACTTATTTACGCAACAACACGCAATGCAAGAAAAATAAAAATAATGCTTTTATTGATTTCTGTAAAGTAAAATAGATCATGTCGTAAAATTTTTTTTAATGCTCGAAGGTTCCTGTAGGTTCATGAAAAAATACAGTGGAAGTTGTCCCACCCCAAGTTCTTCAGAAACGCATGCGTGATCGCACATAACACGCCTTAAAACTTGCTATTTTTTATAAATGTCCGGAATTGTTTTTGACGACTTCTGGTGGGTTTTAATTAGCATGATGTAAAGTGACTTGGGTATTTCATATTTTCCCAGTTGTTTTGATAGGAAAACGCTCAACGGCTAATTGATTTCATATTAATTGATGTCATCACATCATGTGTACAATAATAAATCTACTTTACAGATACAGTTTCTCCAGTCTTTATCAATGTATGATTGCTATATAGTACATTCAATCACAAGCGTTCTTTACTTTATTCTTCCAAGCTTAAGGAACAAAATTTTGATAATTTAGCTCGTTATAGATAAGAAAAAGAAATCGTGTGAGCGAGAGCTGTCAATAATATAGAAAAACCTTTTTCAAAACAACAAATAGTTTTGACCGTGTAGTATAGACCGTATGGTCCATGACGATTATATAGAAAGATCTGAAGATCATCATCGCTCTAAGGCCTTTTTCTAGAAAAATATATACAGAAAATTGGATTTCCCTCATTTAACTGCAATGGTTCTTAGTACTTCGTTGTTGGTTCTTTCCGTAAAACATTGAAACTAATAAAGTACATTCGTAGGTGTGAATTTAACTGTAACGTATTGTCAAAACTGAAATAATTGCGAGGAATTGCGAAACGGCACAAGTGCGCTTCCGATTGTGTTAAACAGTGTTTTTAATTAGCCTATAATTGACGTAGTTACATGAAGCAAAGCTCAAAGGTTACTGTTTACGTGCAGCACAGTGGCCTTTGTTGCGTTTAGTTGGGTTATTTTGTGGCCTAGTCAGCCCTTGGGTTTGGTCTTGTGATGTAAACTTCAGATCATTATCAGTGTTTATTTCTTTGAAGTCTTTATTGTTTCTACGATGAGTAAACACCGAAACGTTGGTGATAAATTTGCGTTCTATAAATACACAAAATTGATCACTAATCCGGAGCCTAGTACTCGGCTATAATTGACATATTTGTCAGAGATTGGATTAAGGATCAGTTTCGCGTATTATAGAACACGTGATTATTACCGAAATATTTGCAAGAGTAAATAAACGGCCTAAGATAAATTTCAATAGTTGAACGTATTTTACATTGATTTGTCTTTACATGTCAGTTTTTGTGGTTGTAGCAAACATTAATCAGAGGAGAATCATTTATTTTTAAACTCCCCCTTTATTATACGATAAGTGAGAACAAAGTAAACCACATTCCATCCTATCCCCAAATTTGGGAGTTTTAACACAAGTTTGATTGAGAACTTTTGTTTACTGGGAAATTGGGAAGTTTTATATGCATTAAAATCGCCGATTTTTGACTTTGGCATGTGTGAACCACAAGGGAGCATGTTGCTGAATTTCAACATTTCTTTCCGGTGACCTCATGAGGAAGTTATTTGTTTTTATAGAATCTCGTGGCGAAAGAATGCCAAAATCCACGCCACTCTGTGAATTACCGTCTCTTGTTTATTAAGGTATGTAGTTTTGAATTTACCTGTTAATTGATCTACCAAAAGTCTTCATCTGGTTCATTTAAGTTTCAATGCCTATATTTACCAAAATTTCGTTTTTACCGGAATTGTTTTTGCTACTGGGAAGAATATACGCGTAGCTGTGCCTTTCGTGTTAGAATGCTTCTGACTGAAGCCCAGTGCAAACAAAGTCAACATATAGATCCAGCATTTTTGGATACCACATATTGACTTCGTTAGAATCAATTTTTTGTGTGTAATGTTAGGTAGTGCTAAAATTGTGTTAGGTTAAACAAGTCCATAATTTTCAATCTGCAACATGGTCACATAAATGCTGACTGTAATTTGAAAGTCGAGGAAAAATTGTTGCTGGAAGTTTTAATTATCGGGTATGTGGTGGGATGTGTTTGAAGACACACTGAAAGAGTTGGTCCTATAATGGCATAGGTAGTTCCTGCGATTAGGAAGGGGGATGAGGCATATTCACATGTGCATGCAATAAATAATGCGTATATCGATAGAACTGAAGGCAGAACTTTTACGTGTGAATATTGCCCCACCCTACCTTCACTTCTATTATCAAGCTGGCTGTGCCACTGATGATATAGTTTGAATTTACCGGGACCTACAGTCTCATATTCTCAAACAAGCCGTTTTGATACAAAAACACACTGGCGGAAGAGACTATACTTACTTCGATGAATTGCGTAAGACTAAAAGATTGTTCTTTAAATTTGGATGTTTTTCAAAACTGGGGAGATAGGAGTAGAGATTTTCGTAATGACAATCAACACGATGCATTTATAAGCGGTAACAACAGACGATTGACGACAATTGTAAGCTGGTGCTGGCTATTTAGTTGAATCAAACATAATGGCGTGGATTAAAGGAAAGGAATGGAGTGTGTACCTACTATTGTTTTGTCATCCGAATGTTCTTATCATAACTGCATAACTGCATAATTGAGGATGAGTCATTTGCCACAACGCATTTCATCATTTGAAGCATTCTGTTTCAAGAAGTCCATTTGACCTTGAAAATCAAAGAGAAATTGCTTAGAATTTCCGAATTAATTGAGGTGAAATATCGACATTTGCGAATGAGAATTATTTGAATGAGAAGAAATATTTTATGGAAGCGAACGGCCTGGTTTTATATTTCTTCTGCAATCTTCTTTTCATGTCTTTCCAGCAGTATCTGCTCATTTCTTTCGAAAGAATAGCTCTTCGAAGTTTGTTAAGGCAAAGAGATGGTAGGATGGTGTGGTTTTAAATTTCTTTGCGGCAATTTTTCCTGTCTTTCCAGAATCATATCTTATCGAGATTTGCTAAAACAACGAGATAATAGGAAGGTGAGGTTTCAAATTTCAAAGGCGATTTTCTGCTAATGATATTCCAGAAGAATATCTCTTTGCTAAAAAAGAGATGAATATCTCTTTGCTAAAACAAAGAGATGATGGAGTGGCGTGGTTTTGATTACAACGGCGATTTTCTTTTGTATTTCCAGCATCATATATGTCATAGGATCATGTAATTTTTGAATTTTCACCGCAATTTTGTCTCATGTCTTTCCAACAGCAGAATCTTTTCAAGGTTTTCTAAAGCAAAGAGCATTTTTTACTCTTCTTTTTTTTGGCGTCATGATACAAAATAGTTCAATGATACAAGAATAGTTCAAAGTATCATTTTTGTGTCTTTTAACTGGCGAAATACTAAGAACTCTTGCAATTATTTCCTTTTGTATTTGAGGTAGAATGTTGCAAGAGGATTTGGAGTACCATGTTAGTACTTATTGCGGCTTCTTTGTATTATTAGACGTAGTGGGTGTATTTTGACTAATTTCTTTCTTTCGTGCTCGGTTTCCGTTCATATCGATGACTCGACATTTAGTACTTCAAGGACTGCCTTCCCTTTTTAGAATGAATTTTAATTTGTTCGCTCTATTTTACATTTTGTAATGCGTTTTACTTTTCCTAATTTGGTCAAACAGTGAAACCCTGCCTTACGGTCTGCCGTTAATACGGTTATATGACGGTCGTATTTCTATACAAGCAAAACACTGGTGTATTTTATAACAAACAACCGTTTAATACGACCAACCTGTCAGTACTGTCCACGGGTGCATTGTGAAGTCCCATTTTAAATACGGTCAATTGAAATAATAATTGTGTTAATTGACGGAAATGGAGCATATGGTACATGTTGAAAACAATATAAAAAATTACATCGTATAATTGTTTATAATGTTAATTGTACATTTAAATCTCTCGCAGAGGACTTAAAACAAAAGAATAAATATGCAAGCTTCTTTTAACTTCGTTTAGCTTTTAAATTTTACAGTAACTTCTGCTTTTTCTTGCTTCAATACTGGCTGATGAATTACTCTTAGAGCCTGATTATATGGAGGCGAGCTGGCCCGGATAGCGTGCTAGCCCTATGATTTCAAGGGACTGAGAGGCCAAAACTTCAAGGTTAAAATTACAACTGTGTTTGCAAAGCGCACGTTATTCCTGTTGTAATTCGATAATTCGGGCAAATTGGTTTTTTAATTTTAAATGTTTTGGGTAGTTTTTAAATCAGAATATTGTGAAATTGCTTGAGATGATTTGTCTGATGTCAAGTATTAAATCTTTTCCAAAATCATTTAACGTTTGGCTGAGTCCCGGCTACCCTGATCATGTTATCAGCCCCTTAGTGTTCAAAGAGTTCTTAGGGCGTAGTTATTAGTTGCGATTTTTGTATGAGATGGTGGCATTATAATTTTCAAATAAACTATTTAACATATCTTTGATGTCGTTACGCTTTTATACGGCCATTTTAAAATCCGGGGCTAAATTCTACAACCATTTGAAAACTTCCATTAAACCGCACAGTCGAAACAAGTTCAAAATTGTGTGAACAGCGTGAGGAAAATGGTGTTGAATTCTCAATGATGTTGAAATGTTACGCAAAATTTTATCGACGCATCTGATGCAAATGAGAGAATTTTTTTTCGGAAGAATGAAAACAATTAAAGATCTTCCTGTTGGTTTTGTTGATACGGATTCAGAGATATAATATTGTCCAAAATATGAATGATCGCAATGGCAAAAGATAAGAAAAATACGAGAAAACTTTAATCGAGCTCAAGAAAATATTTTGTATTATAATGTCACTAATGTGATCTTCATTCTGACGAAGAACAAACGCCCTGAGAGTGATGAATGTTTAATGACGAGAGTGGTGAGGGTTAAGACGAAGACCAAGGATAATGCGCTTATAGTTAGTGGTAGGATCAATTTAAGATGTTATTGAGGAAAACGGAGTTTAACACGAGAAATATCTCAAGCTGTTACTAAGCAGCAAAATATGTTGAAAGTGAAAAGCTTGGCAACGAATGACTTTGAATCGAAGAACTTGTCGTGATGACACAGAGAAAACTTGTTCAGTCACTAATTGTTGAAAAAAATGAATTGCATAATGTGTTGAATTGAATTAAGGCAGGCTAACAGCCGTAGAAATTTCATGGTGCGGCTCTAGCGTTGGTAAAAGTACTGTACAAAGCTCTAACTAGATAAATAAATTATAGCCAGAAAATTATTCTGACGATGTCAGTTTTCCAGAAGTACCTCCAACAAGCAAAGCTGCTTTAACTTAAGAGGGAATACACTCCATTTCGCATTTAAGATTCCTGTAAACACGAGATTTGATTACTTCACACTAAGTATAAATATTGGAACCAAATAAAATTTTGGCGATCTTAGTATTATAACTGTTGATGACTTGTTCCAATATTATGTGTATTTCCTCATTGGATATTTGAGGATTAACACATGTTTATCGCATAAGCAACCGAACTCCGTTCAAGGCTTTTTCAGTATTGAGCTTCAAGAGAAGAGAAGATAAGGACTTCGCTACAATTTTAAATTGCATCATGACATTAACATTTTAATATTGTAAGAAGATTATCTAGTATAGGGGATATAGCAATGATGTGACTGTTGATGAACATGATCACGACGTTTTTTATTTTCATTAATCCAGAAACGAGAAAGTCTACTCAAAAGAAATTGACATTGAACTTGGCGATTTATTACAAGACATTAAGGTTTTTTCTAAAGCATGGAACAACTCCTCTCAAATGGAGGTAGTTCTCCATTTGTGCAAAAAAATTGTCTGACAGCAAAGTCCTCATTTTTCGATGGTATAACTAATTGTGCTGAATGTCAACTAAAAAAGTAAATTACCAAGTAATAGGTTCACTAATGCCAAGTATTATGTACGAGATTTATTTTAAGAAGAGCGTATAATCTGGAGATACGTTCGATAAAGACTTAATGTTGTCGAGATAATCACCATCCGGAGTTAGTACAAGGTTGTTAGGGGGGGAGGCTAGATTTGTTATCACTTAGTATTTGTTGGGGATATTGTTGGCGGTTGCAAGAGTACGACTGCAGCTGTTCTGTTGCTTTAATTTTGAAACCTTTATTGAAACATTGATTTATTTTTTATACTTATAAACTTTTGTGAATTTCTATTATTTCCATCCTGCATTAAACAATAGCACCAACTAAATTACTTGATCTTTATGTTCACTGCACAAATTCGTATACTTTCTCTCCACTTCCAAAATGCTGAATTAATGGGACTGTTGTGTTGTGCTCCAGAGATTGCAAGATATATGTTCCCTGACGACTTGAAATTGGATTGAACCATCTATGCTTTTGTATTGACAATCTTCATTTTTCTGTTGCTTTGCAACCAGGCAAGCATTGAGTGAATGGGATAAAGAGATAATGTAAAACAACCTTTATATATTCACTGTACAGATGAAAACGAGGTTGTGGATGCTTGCAATAGTCATTACATGTTCTCACGTTTGGTGGATTGTATTTTACTTTTGTTGTAAATTCTGTTTCGTTAACTGTAAACACAAAAGGAAAAGCGTTTCAAATTTAGATCTCAGTTTAAATTTTAATTAAATACAGAAGTCCTTACTTTCGTTTGAAGGTAGATTCTTGTGTAGATTAAAGTTCAAGGCTGTCAAGTTCTTTTCCAGGTAACAAGAAGTGTGATTATACACAATATATTTGTAAAATTTTGTGTAGTATTTTAAATCAGGAACGACAATCTCGACTTCTGTCAATGTCATAGGTTGGGGCCAACATAATGAACACATAGGATTTTTTTCTTTTTCGATGATACATCGTTGAACTTTAACATAATATGGCTCCCTGTCCTTGGGAATGTCAGTGAAGTTTTCATCATAAATTGAGACAACTTCTTGCTTGAGGACTATAATTATAGAAAATGAATATTAACGTTGACCATGCCATTTTCATTATGTTTAAAGCCGTCCTTTTTGTACCTAGTGCAGGATATTTCCATCTCCCATTCACGAAATTTAAAAAGATAAACAATCTTGATTTATGAACGAGTACACATTGTTGTTATACATACAATAATATGAAAAGCATTATTAACATTCACCATATTATTTTATGTTTGATTCTATGAAGTTTAATTTCATAGACTTCATATTTTATCGTACCTAATCCATGGTTTCTTCCATTCACCTTTGCGCTTGTTTCAAAAACAAAGACCACGAGCATTACCCAAGTATATATTAAGTTTTCAAAGATACCTTAAAAAAACAAAGCTTGGTCATACATAAAAAATTGTGTCTATACACGCCTCTTATATTATATAATTATGTATTTCAAATTCGCATTACAGGTTCAATGAAAGATTTTTTATAATTAATGACTCAGTAAAGCACGAACTTTTAAATTCGATGATCAAGGTAGTCTGTTTTACTCACCCATAGTTTGCTCTATGATATTTGCAGAGTTGAACGTTACTTACAATGAGCAGGCATGTAACTCTTACGTAAAAACAATCGCAGCTGTTTTTATTATGAGTGGCGGTGCTCGTACGTGTCATGAAACTTAATCACCTCTATAATGCACGTCAGCACAGCAGGCCATCTATTTATGAGAGTGAGGGTTCAAGAATCAATCATAATTCAGCTCTAATTCACCTTTAATGTGATGAAACTTAATCAGCTCTATAATGCACGTCAGCACAGCAGGCCATCTATTTATAAGAGTGAGGGTTCAAGAATCAATCATAATCATGTGAAAAATGACTGTTAGAGCACGCAACAGCAAGCAGGACAGCTAAATTAATGAAGGAGCTAAATTTTCGTATGTTTGTATGTATGTATGTATGTATGTACGTATTTTCGTATGTATGAGCAGGCATGTAACTCTTACGTAAAAACAATCGCAGCTGTTTTTGTTATGAGTGGCGGTGCTCGTATGTGTCATGAAACTTAATCAGCTCTATAATGCACGTCAGCACAGCAGGCCATCTATTCATGAGAGTGAGGGTTCAAGAATCAATCATAATCATGTGAAAAATGACTGTTAGAGCACGCAACAGCCAGCAGGAAAGCTAAATTAATGAAGGAGCGAAATTTTCGTATGTTTGTTTTTTTCTTTATCGCCATATCATCGGTGTGAAGGTGTTAGTTGAGCTAGGTCGTCTGTTTATAGTATGTCAACAACATCCATCGATAGTAGGAAACTAGGTGTTAAAATTAAGGCATGTAAAGTTCAAAAATCTGCTCTAAACACGAAAGGTCATAAAAAATTGAAATTTGCATTTTCGTTGTTACAGAATGTCTTTACATGTTTGTATATATAGATCGTCAGGTTGGTATAGTTTTGAGAAGGACTGTTTTTGTTGTTGTTGACCATTTACTTGTTGTTGTTGACATTTACTTTGGTTCAAACCATTTACTTTATTAAAGAATGTCTTGTTGAATCAATCGTCGCCATAGTTCATCCGCAAGCAGAATAAATCAGCTTGCTAGCATGAATTTGCTGCGACAAATAGAGAAAAGCTATACTTTCCTTTAGTATAATAAGAAAACATATTCCGAATAAAATGTTCATGTTTTAATCAATATTTGAGAAACAATCCGATGATGAATTGTAATAAATTCGAAATATTACTGTGTAAAAAAACTGTCTTGTTTGTTTCTTAAGTATTAAGTTTTGGATCTTTTATTCGGAGGAAGTTTTTTATTATACTTTATAAAAATTGTCGGCTGGTAATGGATTTTGTATAATCTCAGAACAACTATTCTTTCTATTTACGAAACTTACAACATTTGGACTTTGCTGGGGTTTTTTCATTTGTGAAAGTCGTCCACAGATATCAAAATTGCGAAATGAATCTTGTTTGGTATGGTCATGGCAACAGCGTTAAATTGATTCTTTTTCTGTTTTAAGTTAAACTTCAATAATCCCTGCTCTGACCTAGAGGTTTGGACATAAAATTGACCGTCTGTTAGGAAAGAGATGGAGAGATGTTTGAATGTGGAAAGGGCAAAACAGATCAGCCTGCCTGGGTATGAAGAATTACATAATTCCTTGAACGCGGAAAAATGATAAATTCATGTGATTACTAATAAAGAATTCAAAAAAAAGTAAAGCTTTGAATGTAGTTTTAGTGAACGCTAATACCTGTCACATTTAAAAGACCGTCACATTTTATAGACTATATATGGGCATAAACTTCATTTTTACGACGTAATGTATGACAAGTGGTGTTTGCTAAATTTCTCTAATTTTAATGAATAACATGTACTAAGGAAACTTATAGATTTGACAATGGTTTGCCCTGTCAGAATTGAATACGCGTGTATCCTAATAAATAACGACGAACATGTTTGAGAGAAACTTTTAAGTGAATAGCTCGAGGAAGTAGAACGCCTCGAGAAAAACATCAATGAATTAAGATTCTTATATGGGAAAGACAACAATTAAAGATTTTTTATAAAGCCACACGAGTTCTTAGACAAGTATACAGTTCATACAATACGTCAATGTAGCTTTCAGCCGTTTCTTGTTTTGTTCTTCTTCATCAATTTTTATGTTATCCTGTTCAAGGCAAAACTTGTGGTCAAAGAAATACTCTATTGTACGATGTGTGTTCCGTGATCTTTTTACACGTAATAAAGCCTGTTTTGAATATTGTTGTAACACTGAAAATGTTCTCTGTTGCATTGCACCCAGGCAGGCATTGGTTGGATCGAATGAAGAGTTGAAGTACATCATCAACTATAAGTTCACCATGCAAAGGAAAACGAGGCTTGCAGTAGTCATTACATCTTTTTACGTTTGGTGGATTGTATTTAACCTTAGATTTAAATTCTGTTTCGTTAACTGTAAGAACAAAATGAAGTTTTTAAGTTAAGCTGTGGTTATTCAACGTCATTGTCACATTCAGTAATCTGGCTTACTTTCGTTTGAAGTAAGGTTCTTGTTTAAATCAAAATTAATTGCCGGTCCTGAACTCTTCCAATGACAAGAAATGTAATCGTTGACAACATATTTATAAAACTTCTTGTATTTTGAATCAGGAACGGTAATCTCAATTACGTTCATTTTTTGTGTTGAGGATAATGTTTGTCACATGGCACATAGGAACCCGTTGGACCGTCATTGACGGCGACGAACCTTTACATAAAATGGCTTCCTGTCTTAGGGAATATTTGTGAAGTATTTGATGTGGATCGAGACAACTTCATCTTCAAGTGCTAAATATTGATAAAAGACATTAATATTCTTGACAACATTTTATATATAACAATTATAATATATATGGATGAAAAAATACACCAGCATACATAGGTTTATTCGAATTCTCTGTTACGCAAACGATACCATGACAATGAATATGATTAACAACACATAGCAAAAAAGCAGAACAGCATATCCTGCCTAAAATAAAAAAAATCTACCGATATTTATAGTAAAGACAAAGACATCACCTCTTAAAGTATAGTGTTTTGTCGACACAAATATCTGTCGCAATAATATCTGCTAACATCTTTACGATAGTAATGTTGCGAGAAAAAATAGGTATGTTTATTATTTTCAACATGTCTGTTTTTTTTCGACAGAAATTATTTTGCTGCATGGATTAAATCAGACAAATATAGAGACCGTGAAATATGACTCTCTACAATCGTTTCTAATTTTATTTATAATGATTTTTGAGCCTATAATAGACTGCTTGTTAAAGAGTTGTCCAATACAAAGCTTATTCATGGCCTACTCAAATTGTAGCCATGGCTTATTTCCATACAGTAGAAAGTTCGTCCAATACAAAGTTTATCGAATAAAGTTTAGATGGCATATATTATTGTTATAGCGGAATGTTTTGCCTTAATTTCTATCTTGACCACAGGAAAATTCCAGTTTGTTATATATCAAGAAGAAATAAATAAAAAATAAGCATTGTAGCAGATTGAACAAGGTGTGTCTATAATTTTCAAAATGGACAAACGGAGATTTACAAGCTACTTCAAATGCGAGATACCAGGAAAAACATAGTTATATCAGTACGCTGATATTAATTTTGTTAGATTTAATTGTATTAGTACCCATAATTTTTCTGCATTTACGCTGACACGTCACAACTAATTCAAGTCTTGTTCTTGTGGGGTCATTTTCTGTGTCTGCATCAATTTTTATTGATGACTCAGTCTGGTTCTCTGTATTCTTCATTTCTTTTGATTTGTGTCTTTTCAGCATTCTATTAAACCATTTTGATCATGGTTTGACGTCTTCTTATGCAATCTTCGCACTCTTTATTCTTTCCACAAGTCATCAACAAATACATTATTCCTTTTTTACGACAACACAAATGAATTGCATAATGTGTTGAATTCAGTTAAGGCAGGCTAACAGCCATAGAGAATTTCATGGTGTGGCGGCTCTAGCGTTGGTAAAATACTGTACAAAGCTCTAACTAGATAAATTATAACCAGAAAATTATTCTGACGATGTCAGTTTTCCAGAAGTACCTCCAACAAGCAAAGCTGCCTTTAACATAAGAGGGAATACACTCCATTTCGCATTTAAGATTCCTGTAAACACGAGATTTGATTACTTCACACTAAGTATAAATATTGGAAGCAAATAAAATTTTGGTTCCAAATAAAATTCGCAACCAAAGGCATAAACGCATTTATGAATTTAAAATTACAGCTATCATTTACTTTGCTCAACTATGAAATATTTTATACAAATTGATAAGCCATTTTGTAAGTCATACTAAAACTAGCGTCTATTTTGAACCCAACATACTGGAGATGGTACAGTGTTAAAAGTATTTTTTTAGCAATGCAATGAATGTTGCTCTCAAATGAGCGTCTTACAAAGAGTGATAAAGAACAAAGACACAAATGTAAACATCAGGTCATTGGAGGTCAAGAGTGGCGTGAATTATTCTTATCTTTTATATGAATAATCAATATACATATATTATTTGATCATTCGATATATTCATCAACAATTTGTTTAAGAGATGCAGGGATTCAAAATGATATTTCACCCTATTTGCCCTATTGTCCTTTGTAACTTCCCGTAATGATATTTTTAATGTCATTTAGTTAACTTTGGGGCATAGTAAAAAAAGTTTAAATGTTTTGTATACATACTTCCTGCGCTGTTGAACCATGTACATATCAAACCGTGTGTGAAAAAAATTGACCCTATGCTATATTCTTAATTCATGTGAACGTCTCTACTCTAGGTTCATTTAAAGAATTTTGTGGAATTACTTCAACAGAGATTCTTTGACACCGAGGACTTTGTCAAACATAATGCTTCATGATTGGGAGAGGTCATTATTGTAACAAATTTTATAGCTAAATTGAATACGAAAAAACGATTGAATAAATTGGTAATGGCAATCAGCATGGTGTACAACAAACAATTGTGCTGTTTCTTTCAACAATTTTTTTTATACAATGCTGTTTCTTTGTTTAATTAGCGCAATTGCACAATGCGACAGCGAATTGTTGCAGAATTTAAAACAATATGTAATCTATACATTGTATGCATCGACGACACATAGTTTTGGCTACTATACAAGGTTAACACTACTCAATGGTACTTTAAAATCGGCGCATAAATAGTCATCATGAAGTGCATACGATAAATTGAACCTAGTAATACTTCTTCATGGTGCAATTAGAAAAACAAATAGAATGTATAACTTACCCATTTTACTAGCAGAAAAATTGCCTGATCGTTTTTTGCAAATCGTCTTTCTTTTCGATGTAAGCAACTGTTCGCTGACTTTTGAACACTTGTAAATGATTTATGGTGTTTGCGTTTTTTATATTTATAATGATGCAAGACTTGTTTTTCACTGCATGGTGAACCGCACTTTATTTTGTTGGGTTAACCATTTCCTTTTGACAAATAATGGTGCAGGAGAAGGATGAATACTCTTTAGGTTATTTTTGATATACTGTATTGCGCTGTTGAGGTTAGCATTCCTTCATAACTTATTTACGCAACAACACGCAATGCAAGAAAAAAAATAATGCTTTTATTGATTTCTGTAAAGTAAAATAGATCATGTCGTAAAATTTTTTTAATTCTCGAAGGTTCCTGTAGGTTCATGAAAAAATACAGTGGAAGTTGTCCCACCCCAAGTTCTTCAGAAACGCATGCGTGATCGCACCTAACACGCCTTAAAACTTGCTATTTTTTATAAATGTCCGGAGTTGTTTTTGACGACTTCTGGTGGGTTTTAATTAGCATGATGTAAAGTGACTTGGGTATTTCATATTTTCCCAGTTGTTTTGATAGAAAAACGCTCAACGGCTAATTGATTTCATATTAATTGATGGTTGTCATCACATCATGTGTGTACAATAAATCTACTTTACAGATACAGTTTCTCCAGTCTTTATCAATGTATGATTGCTATATAGTACATTCAATCACAAGCGTTCTTTTACTTTATTCTTCCAAGCTTAAGGAACAAAATTTTGATAATTTAGCTCGTTATAGATAAGAAAAAGAAATCGTGTGAGCGAGAGCTGTCAATAATATAGAAAAACCTTTTTCAAAACAACAAATAGTTTTGACCGTGTAGTATAGACCGTGAGGTCCATGACGATTATATAGAAAGGTCTGAAGATGATCATCACTATATGGCCTTTTTCTAGAAAAATATATATAGAAAATAGGATTTTCCTCATTTAACTGCAATGGTTCTTAGTACTTCGTTGTTGTTTCTTTCCGTAAAACATTGAAACTAATAAAGTACATTCGTAGGTGTGAATTTAACTGTAACGTATTGTCAAAACTGAAATAATTGCGAAAGGGAATTGCGAAACGGCACAAGTGCGCTTCCGATTGTGTTAAACAGTGTTTTTAATTAGCCTATAATTGACGTAGTTACATGAAGCAAAGCTTAAAGGTTACTGTTTTACGTGTAGCATTGTGTCCTCTGTTGCGTTTAGTTTGGTTATTTTTGTGACCTAAGTCAGCCCTTGGGTTTGGTCTTGTGATGTAAACTTCAGATCATTATCAGTGTTTATTTCTTTGAAGTCTTTATTGTTTCTACGATGAGTAAACACCGAAACGTTGGTGATAAATTTGCGTTCGATAAATACAAAATTGATCACTAATCCGAACCCAGTACTCGGCTATAGATGACATATTTGTCAGAGATTGGATTAAGGATCAGTTTCGCGTATTAGAACACGTGATTATTACCGAAATATTTGCAAGAGTACGGCCTAAGATAAATTTCAATAGTTGAACGTATTTTACATTGATTTGTCTTTACATGTCATGGTTGTAGCAAACATTAAACAGAGGAGAATCATTTATTTTTAAACTCCCCCTTTATTATACGATAAGTGAGAACAAAGTAAACCACATTCCATCCTATCCCCAAATTTGGGAGTTTTAACACAAGTTTGATTGAGAACTTTTGTTTACTGGGAAATTAGGTTTTATATGCATTAAAATCGCCGATTTTTGACTTTTTGGCATATGTTTGAACCACAAGGGAGCATGTTGCTGAATTTCAACATTTCTTTCGGGTGACCTCATGAGGAAGTTATTTGTTTTTTTTATAGAATCTCGTGGCGAAAGAATGCCAAAAATCCACGCCACTATTTGAATTACCGTCTCTTGTTTATTAAGGTATGTAGTTTTGAATTTACCTGTTAATTGATCTACCAAAAGTCTTCATCTGGTTGATTTAAGTTTCAATGCCTATATTTACCAAAATTTCGTTTTTACCGGAATTGTTTTTGCTACTGGGAAGAATATACGCGTAGCTGTGCCTTTCGTGTTAGAATGCTTCTGACTGAAGCCCAGTGCAAACAAAGTCAACATATAGATCCAGCATTTTTGGATACCACATATTGACTTCGTTAGAATCAATTTTATGTGTGTAATGTTAGGTAGTGCTAAAATTGTGTTAGGTAGTGCTAAAATGCTGACTGTAATTTGAAAGTCGAGGAAAAATTGTTGCTGGAAGTTTTAATTATCGGGGGGGAGGGGTATGTGGTGGGATGTGTTTGAAGACACACTGAAAGAGTTGGTCCTATAATGGCATAGGTAGTTCCTGCGATTAGGAAGGGGGATGAGGCATATTCACATGTGCATGCAATAAATAATGCGTATATCGATAGAACTGAAGGCTAATGCAAATTGCAAACTCGGCAAGAGACCAATCAGCGCATGCATTTTCTTGTTCTTATCGTACAATTGATATTACTCAAAAATCCCCTCACTTCGGGGAGTGGACAAGTATGCAGGATAAGAGTTGCATTCCCCCCCGTGACTGTATGGTGAAATAATAAAAATTTGCTTAAACAATGAAGTGAAAAGCTTATGGAATAGCATTAATCTTTTTTGTGGGAATTAAGTTCGGGGTGTCCTATAACGTAATATTATGTATGTTTTCACTTACCTACACGCCTTTCTCTGTTGCATTGAAAGACTGTTAAATTGGTGGAGCATTTACACTTGGTGTGATTATGTAAAATGTATTCGTAATATTTAAAGGTCAGTGAATCTCACAGTACGATGCCTATCTTTTGCCATCTCACTGGTTTCGACGGATAGTGAGTTTGTGAATATTCTGCACAGCGGTGTATTTTGATGAAATATGGTCCGAAGCCTTGAGGGGGGGGACTTCGTCAAATTTGTCACTGTATATGGACACAACATCTTCCTGAGGTTCACACGTTTTCTTGGCTGGAAATATAAGTACATGTTAATTTGGCTTGTCTGTGGACGAACAATTTTCAATTGTGAGAAACCAAATGAAAAATGTAAAACGACTATTTCATTATACAATCAGTAAATTCAACATGTCTGGTTTTGTATGTTTACCTGCTGCTGCACAGAGCTGGCACAGTGTTAAAACAATAACATAAACTTCCTTTTTACTTCTTAAAAAATATCGATCTGTGATGAAAGATAAAAGCGCAATCAGTACCTGATGCAAAATATATTAAAACTGCCAATTGATTAGTAGGATTTTATTAAATTCGCAACCAAAGGCATAAACGCATTTATGAATTTAAAATTACAGCTATCATTTACTTTGCTCAACTATGAAATATTTTATACAAATTGATAAGCCATTTTGTAAGTCATACTAAAACTAGCGTCTATTTTGAACCCAAAATACTGGAGATGGTACAGTGTTAAAAGTATTTTTATAGCAATGCAATGAATGTTGCTCTCAAATGAGCGTCTTACAAAGAGTGATAAAGAACAAAGACACAAATGTAAACATCAGGTCATTCGAGGTCAAGAGTGGCGTGAATTATTCTTATCTTTTTTATATCAATAATCAATATACATATATTATTTGATCATTCGATATATTCATCAACAATTTGTTTAAGAGATGCAGGGATTCAAAATGATATTTCACCCTATTGGCCCTATTGTCCTTTGTAACTTCCCGTAATGATATTTTTTAATGTCATTTAGTTAACTTTTTAGGGCATAGTAAAAAAAGTTTAAATGTTTTGTATACATACTTCCTGCGCTGTTGAACCATGTACATATCAAACCGTGTGTGAAAAAAATTGACCCTATGCTATATTCTTAATTCATGTGAACGTCTCTACTCTAGGTTCATTTAAAGAATTTTGTGGAATTACTTCAACAAAGATTCTTTGACACCGAGGACTTTGTCAAACATAATGCTTAATGATTGGGAGAGGGGTTATTATTGTAACAAATTTTATAGCTAAATTGAATACGAAAAAACGATTGAATAAATTGGTAATGGCAATCAGCATGGTGTACAACAAACAATTGTGCTGTTTCTTTCAACAATTTTTTTTATACAATGCTGTTTCTTTGTTTAATTAGCGCAATTGCACAATGCGACAGCGAATTGTTGCAGAATTTAAAACAATATGTAATCTATACATTGTATGCATCGACGACACATAGTTTTGGCTACTATACAAGGTTAACACTACTCAATGGTGCTTTAAAATCGGCGCATAAATAGTCATCATGAAGTGCATACGATAAATTGAACCTAGTAATACTTCTTCATGGTGCAATTAGAAAAACAAATAGAATGTATAACTTACCCATTTTACTAGCAGAAAAATTGCCTGATCGTTTTTTGCAAATCGTCTTTCTTTTCGATGTAAGCAACTGTTCGCTGACTTTTGAACACTTGTAAATGATTTATGGTGTTTGCGTTTTTTATATTTATAATGATGAAAGACTTGTTTTTCACTGCATGGTGAACCACACTTTATTTTGTTGGGTTAACCATTTCCTTTTGACAAATAATGGTGCAGCAGAAGGATGAATACTCTTTAGGTTATTTTTGATATACTGTATTGCGCTGTTGAGGTTAGCATTCCTTCATAACTTATTTACGCAACAACACGCAATGCAAGAAAAAAAATAATGCTTTTATTGATTTCTGTAAAGTAAAATAGATCATGTCGTAAAATTTTTTTTAATTCTCGAAAGTTCCTGTAGGTTCATGAAAAAATACAGTGGAAGTTGTCCCACCCCAAGTTTTTCGGAAACGCATGCGTGATCGCACCTAACACGCCTTAAAACTTGCTATTTTTTATAAATGTCCGGAGTTGTTTTTGACGACTTCTGGTGGGTTTTAATTAGCATGATGTAAAGTGACTTGGGTATTTCATATTTTCCCAGTTGTTTTGATAGAAAAACGCTCAACGGCTAATTGATTTCATATTAATTGATGGTTGTCATCACATCATGTGTGTACAATAAATCTACTTTACAGATACAGTTTCTCCAGTCTTTATCAATGTATGATTGCTATATAGTACATTCAATCACAAGCATTCTTTTACTTTATTCTTCCAAGCTTAAGGAACAAAATTTTGATAATTTAGCTCGTTATAGATAAGAAAAAGAAATCGTGTGAGCGAGAGCTGTAAATAATATAGAAAAACCTTTTTCAAAACAACAAATAGTTTTGACCGTGTAGTATAGACCGTATGGTCCATGACGATTATATAGAAAGATCTGAAGATCATCATTGCTCTAAGGCCTTTTTCTAGAAAAATATATACAGAAAATTGGATTTCCCTCATTTAACTGCAATGGTTCTTAGTACTTCGTTGTTGGTTCTCTCCGTAAAATATTGAAACTAATAAAGTACATTCGTAGGTGTGAATTTAACTGTAACGTATTGTCAAAACTGAAATAATTGCGAGAGGGAATTGCGAAACGGCACAAGTGCGCTTCCGATTGTGTGAAAGTGGTTGTATGGCGAAAACTTAACGTTAAAAAATCATCGATTTTAGCATTCAATAGTTTGAACACATATCAATTATTGCTTTCGTAAAATGTAAGCAAAAATAATAATATAACGAGGGAGTTATGAACATTTGAAATGTCTAATTTTCATGTCCGCCATTAAAATCGGCCATTTTGAATATTTGCAATCAGCAAAGTCTGTGACGTCATAGTCTTAACACGGCAAGAAGCGCACATTGGAAAGTATACAAAGTAATACATAGATAGAGCAAAAAAATGTTAAATTCATCGAGATCTAGCTCGCTCTCTGAGTCTTCGATCGAGACAAACGCATCGATTTCTTCATCGGCATTTGTGACGGCAAATTCGAACGAATCTAATTGGGAAATTTTGCCATTTGTCGATAATATTGAATCGCTTGCTTCGCCCGATGAAATTGCTGAGTACGAAGCTACAGTCGCAGAAGAACGGCGGGTTGAAGACATGCTGCAAGATCGTTTTGATGCCCGTGTTGATGTTACTTCATGGTAAGATGTCATTCTTAGTGTGTTACTTTGATCTGAATCGTCTGCCGTTAGCTATGATAACTTTATGGAAACTTACAATTTGGCCAATATTAAAGGGTGATGTTCGTTGGATCTTGTTGTCAACCCTCAAGAGTGCCGATGCTGCATGGAAATAGAGCAATGCCGTGGTAAAATGTATCAGTTCGAAATCGATGAAAGGAAATGCATTTTGGATCACCCTGGCTTTAACGAAGTTTGCCTGAACAAATTTGTTTTTCAAGCAGCTTCGTTAGGTTTAAAGACCAAAGGTCATCGCATGATACAGACACTTCATTTTGTATTTCCTTTAAAACCTTAGTATAAATGTATATTATATATTGAAAGTTTGCCTAGATGTATTATTGGTTCTCTCAAATTGTGAAAATTTATCTGCAATATGTGTAAGTATATAATAATTGCAACTTGTGCTAACCTGACGCCGCTCTCTTGACGTTGTTGGTGTTTGTTATTTCTTCCAAATATTAGGTACGGCACAAGGTTTGAGCCGTCTAGTCATACCACCCAAATGGAATAAACGCTCAAAACAATCATCCGAGAAGTGATTCGAACAAATCATAAATCGAATTTCGCGCGAACTCGGATTAAAATTTGCGCGCTTCGTCTGAACAAATTTAACCCAAATTCTTCTCAAAGACTCGTCGTTTGGGCTTTTATGTAATGAAATGCCTGTACTTCTATCAGACTTATTACTGCAATCTTGCACGACACAGCGTGTTGAAGGCATGTTAAAAAAAAATTGAGTTATACAACCTTTTAAATCTCTATTTGTATATAGTGTTATATTGTAAACAGCCGCGAGTTAAGACTATGACGTCACAAGCACCTTCCTACTTGAAAATTCAAATATGGCGCATTTTAATGGCGGCTCTTAAAGTTCAAGTTTTATCGCTACGTAACTCGAGCAGCATGAAATACATTGCGCTAAAATTTCGCCAGAAGACATTTTTTTACATACACTATTAATCTATGAAAAAAAACGAGAGGCAAAATTTTCGTCATAGTACCACTTTAAACAGTGTTTTTAATTAGCCTATAATTGACGTAGTTACATGAAGCAAAGCTCAAAGGTTACTGTTTTACGTGCAGCACAGTGGCCTTTGTTGCGTTTAGTTGGGTTATTTTTGTGGCCTAGTCAGCCCTTGGGTTTGGTCTTGCGATGTAAACTTCAGATCATTATCAGTGTTTATTTCTTTGAAGTCTTTATTGTTTCTACGATGAGTAAACATCTAAACGTTGGTGATAAATTTGCCTTCTATAAATACACAAAATTGATCACTAATCCGGAGCCTAGTACTCGGCTATAATTGACATATTTGTCAGAGATTGGATTAAGGATCAGTTTCGCGTATTATAGAACACGTGATTATTACCGAAATATTGCAAGAGTAAATAAACGGCCTAAGATAAATTTCAATAGTTGAACGTATTTTACATTGATTTGTCTTTACATGTCATGGTTGTAGCAAACATTAAACAGAGGAGAATCATTTATTTTTAAACTCCCTTTATTATACGATAAGTGAGAACAAAGTAAACCACATTCCATCCTATCCCCAAATTTGGTAGTTTTAACACAAGTTTGATTGAGAACTTTTGTTTACTGGGAAATTGGGAAGTTTTATATGCATTAAAACCGCCGATTTTTACGACTTTTGGCATATGTGTGAACCACAAGGGAGCATGTTGTTGAATTTCAACATTTCTTGCCGGTGACCTCATGAGGAAGTTATTTGTTTTTTATAGAATCTCGTGGCGAAAGAATGCCAAAAATCCACGCCACTCTGTGAATTACCGTCTCTTGTTTATTAAGGTATGTAGTTTTGAATTTACCTGTTAATTGATCTACCAAAAGTCTTCATCTGGTTCATTTATGTTTCAATACCTATATTTACCAAAATTTCGTTTTTACCGGAATTGTTTTTGCTACTGGGAAGAATATACGCGTAGCTGTGCCTTTCGTGTTTGAATGCTTCTGACTCAAGCCCAGTGCAAACAAAGTTAACATATAGATCCAGCATTTTTGGATACTACATATTGACTTCGTTAGAATCAATTTTTTGTGTGTAATGTTAGGTAGTGCTAAAATTGTGTTGAGGTTAAACAAGTCCATAATTTTCAATCTGCAACATCGGTCACATAAATGCTGACTGTAATTTGAAAGTCGAGGAAAAATTGTTACTGGAAGTTTTAATTATCGGGGTATGTGGTGGGATGTGTTTGAAGACACACTGAAAGAGTTGGTCCTATAATGGCATAGGTAGTTCCTGCGATTAGGAAGGGGGATGAGGCATATTCACATGTGCATGCAATAAATAATGCGTATATCGATAGAACTGAAGGCAGAACTTTTACGTGTGAATATTGCCCCACCCTACCTTCACCCCTTTATTATCAAGCTGGCTGTGCCACTGATGAAATGGTTTGAATTTACCGGGACCTACAGTCTTATATTCTCAAACAAGCCGTTTTGATAAAAAAAAAAACACACTGGCGGAAGAGACTATACTTACTTCGATGAATTGCGTAAGATTAAAAGATTGTTCTTTAAATTTGGATGTTTTTTCAAAACTGGGCAGATAGGAGTAGAGATTTTTCGTAATGACAATCAACACGATGCATTTATAAGCGGTAACAACAGACGATTGACGACAATTGTAAGCTGGTGCTTGGCTATTTAGTTGAATCAAACATAATGGCGTGGATTAAAAGAAAGGAATGGAGTGTGTACCTACTATTGTTTTGTCATCCGAATGTTCTGCATAACTGCATAATTGAGGATGAGTCATTTGCCACAACGCATTTCATCATTTGAAGCATTCTGTTTCAAGAAGTCCATTTGACCTTGAAAATCAAAGAGAAATTGCTTAGAATTCCCGAATTAATTGAGGTGAAATATCGACATTTGCGAATGAGGATTATTTGGATGAGAAGAAATATTTTATGGAAGCGAACGGCCTGGTTTTATATTTCTTCTGCAATCTTCTTTTCATGTCTTTCCAGCAGTATCTGCTCATTTCTTTCGAAAGAATAGCTCTTCGAAGTTTGTTAAGGCAAAGAGATGGTAGGATGGTGTGGTTTTAAATTTCTTTGCGGCAATTTTTTTCCTGTCTTTCCAGAATCATATCTTATCGAGATTTGCTTAAACAACGAGATAATAGGAAGGTGAGGCTTCAAATTTCAAAGGCGATTTTCTGCTCATGATATTCCAGAAGAATATCTCTTTGCTAAAACAAAGAGATGAATATCTCTTTGCTAAAACAAAGAGATGATGGAGTGGCGTGGTTTTGATTACAACGGCGATTTTCTTTTGTATTTCCAGCATCATATATGTCACAGGATCATGTAATTTTTGAATTTTCACCGCAATTTTGTCTCATGTCTTTCCAGCAGCAATATCTTTTCAAGGTTTTCTAAAGCAAAGAGCATTTTTTACTCTTCTTGTTTTTTGGCGTCATGATACAAAAATAGTTCAATTATACAAGAATAGTTCAAAGTATCATTTTTGTGTCTTTTAACTGGCGAAATACTAAGAACTCTTGCAATTATTTCCCTTTTTATGAACTATTTGAGGTAGAATGTTTTGCAAGAGGATTTGGAGTACTCATGTTAGTACTTATTGCGGCTTCTTTGTGTTATTAGACGTAGTGGGTGTATTTTAACTAATTTCTTTCTTTCGTGCTCGGTTTCCGTTCATATCGATGACTCGACATTTAGTACTTCAAGGACTGCCTTTTTAGAATGAATTTTTAATTTGTTCGCTCTATTTTTACATTTTTGTAATGCGTTTTACTTTTCCTAATTTGGTCAAACAGTGAAACCCTGCCTTACGGTCTGCCGTTAATACGGTTATATGACGGTCGTATTTCTATACAAGCAAAACACTGGTGTATTTTATAACAAACAACCGTTTAATACGACCAACCTGTCAGTACTGTCCACGGGTGCATTGTGAAGTCCCATTTTAAATACGGTCAATTGAAATAATAATTGTGTTAATTGACGGAAATGGAGCATATGGTACATGTTGAAAACAATATAAAAAAATTACATCGTATAATTGTTTATAATGTTAATTGTAAATTTAAATCTCTCGAAGAGGACTTAAAACAAAAGAATAAATATGCAAGCTTCTATTAACTTCGTTTAGCTTTTCAATTTTTACAGTAACTTCTGCTTTTTTCTTGCTTCAATACAGGCTGATGAATTACTCTTAGAGCCTGATTATATGGAGGCGAGCTGGCCCGGACAGCGTGCTAGCCGTATGATTTCAAGGGACTGAGAGAGGCCAAAACTTCAAGGTTAAAAATTACAACTGTGTTTGCAAAGCGTCACACGTTATTCCTGTTGCAATTCGATAATTCGGGCAAATTGGTTGTTTTAATTTTAAATGTTTTGGGTAGTTTTTAAATCAGAATATTGTGAAATTGCTTGAGATGATTTGTCTGATGTTAAGTATTAAATCTTTTTCAAAATCATTTAACGTTTGGCTGAATCCCGGCTACCGGGATCATGTTATCAGCCCCTTAGTGTTCAAAGAGTTCTTAGGGCGTAGTTATTAGTTGCGATTTTTGTATGAGATGGTGGCATTATAATTTTCAAATAAACTATTTAACATATTTTTGATGACGTTACGCTTTTATACGGCCATTTTAAAATCCGGGTTCCAAATTCTACAACCATTTGAAAACTTCCATTAAATCGCACAGTCGAAACAAGTTCAAAAATTGTGAACAGAGTGAGGAAATGGTGTTGAATTCTCAATGATGTTGAAATGTTACGCAAAATTTTATCGACGCATCTGATACAAATGAGAGAATATTTTTTTGGAAGAATGAAAACAATTAAAGATCTTCCTGTTGGTTTTGTTGAGACGGATTCAGAGATGTAATATTGTCCAAAGATATGAATGATCACAATGGCAAAAGATAAGAAAAAATACGAGAAAAACTTTAATCAAGCTCAAGAAAATAACTTGTATGATAATGTCACTAATGGGATCTTCATTCTGATGAAGAACAAACGCCCAGAGAATGATGAATGTTTAATGACGAGAGTGGTGAGGGTCAAGACAAAGACCAAAGATAATGCGCGTATAGTTAGTGGTAGGATCAATATAAAATGTTAAAGAAGTAATTGAGCAAAACGGAGTTTAACACGAGAAGTATACTCAAGCTGTTACTTAAGCATCAAAATATGTTGAAAGTGAAAAGCTTGGCAACGAATGACTTTGAATTTGAGAACTTGTCGTGATGACATAGAGAAAACTTGTCTAGTCACTAAATGTTGAACAAAATGAATTGCATAATGTGTTGAATTCAGTTAAGGCAAGCTAACAGCCATAGAAAATTTCATGATGTGGCGGCTCTAGCGTTGGTAAAAGTACTGTACAAAGCTCTAACTAGATAAATAAATTATGACCAGAAAATTATTCTGACGACGTCAGTTTTCCAGAAGTACCTCCAACAAGCAAAGCTGCTTTAACTTAAGAGGGAATACACTCCATTTCGCATTTAAGATTCCTGTAAACACGAGATTTGATTACTTCACACTAAGTATAAATATTGGAACCAAATAAAATTTTGGCGATCTTAGTATTATAACTGTTGATGACTTGTTCCAATATTATGTGTATTTCCTCATTGGATATTTGAGGATTAACACATGTTTATCGCATAAGCAACCGAACTCCGTTCAAGGCTTTTTCAAGTATTGAGCTTCAAGAGAAGAGAAGATAAGGACTTCGCTACAATTTTAAATTGCATCATGAAAAGAATAATTAATGAAGCTGACATTAACATTTTAATATTGTAAGAAGGGATTATCTAGTATAGAGGGATATAGCAATGATTTGACTGTTGATGAACATGATCACGATGTTTTTTATTTTCATTAATCCAGAAACGAGAAAGTCTACTCAAAAGAAATTGACATTGAACTTGGCGATTTATTATAAGACATTAAGGGTTTTCTCTAAAGCATCGAACGACTCCTCAAAAATCACGAACTAGTTCTCCATTTGTTCCATACTAAAAAATATGCAAAAAATTGTCTGGCAGCAAAGTCCTCGTTTTTGATGGTATAACTAATTGTGCTGAATGTTAACCAAGGTAATAGGTTCCCTAATGCCAAGTATTATGTACGAGTTTTATTTCAAAAAGAGCGTATAATCTGGTGATACGTTCAATAAAGACTTAATGTTGTCGAGATAATCACCATCCGGAGTTAGTACAAGGTTGTTAGGGGGGGAGGGTAGTATCGTTATCACTTAGTATTTGTCGGGGATATTGTTGGCGCTTGCGAGAGTACGACTGCAGCTGTTCTGTTGCTTTAATTTTGAAACCTTTATTAAAACATTGATTTATTTTTTATACTTATAAATTTTTTATGAATTTCTATTATTTCCATCCTGCATTAAACATTAGCACCAACTAAATTACTTGATCTTGATGTTCACTGCACAAATTCGTATACTTTCTTCTCCACTTCCAAAATGCTGAATTAATGGGACTGTTGTGTTGTGCTCCAGAGATTGCAAGATATATGTTCCTGACGACTTGAAATTGGATTGAACCATCTAGCTATTTGTATTGACAATCTTCATTTTCTCTGTTGCTTTGCAACCAGGCAAGCATTGAGTGAATGGGATAAAGAGATAAGTAAAAAACCTTTGTATATTCACTGTGCAGATGAAAACGAGGTTGTGGATGCTTGCAATAGTCATTACATGTTCTCACGTTTGGTGGATTGTATTTTACTTTTGTTGTAAATTCTGTTTCGTTAACTATAAACACAAAAGGAAAAGCGTTTCAAATTTAGATCTCAGTTTAAATTTTAATTAAATACAGAAGTCCTTACTTTCGTTTGAAAATAGATACTTGTGTAGATTAAAGTTCAAGGCTGTTAAGTTTGTTTCATGTAACAAGAAGTGTGATTATATACAATATATTTGTAAAATTTTGTGTAGTTTTTAAATCAGGAACGACAATCTCGACTTCTGTCAATGTCATAGGTTGGGGCCAACATAATAAACATTCAGGAATTTTATCTATATCGATGACACATCGTTGAACTTGAACATAATATGGCTCCCTGTCCTTCGGAATGTCGGTAAAGTTTTCATCATAAATTGAGACAACTTCTTGCTTGAGGACTGGAACTATAGAAAATGACTATTAACGTTGACCATGCCATTTTCATTATGTTTAAAGCCGTCGTTTTTGTACCTAGTGCAGGATATTTCCATCTCCCATTCACGAAATTTAAAAAGATAAACAATCTTGATTTATGAACGAGTACACATTGTTGTTATACATACAATAATATGAAAAGCATTATTAACATTCACCATATTATTTTATGTTTGATTCTATGAAGTTTAATTTCATAGACTTCATATTTTATTGTACCTAATCCATGGTTTCTTCCATTCACCTTTTCGCTTATTTCAAAAACAAAGACCACGAACATCACCCAAGTATATATTAAGTTTTCAAAGATACCTTAAAAAGACAAAGCTTGGTCATACATAACAAATTGTGTCTATACACGCCTCTTATATTACATAATTATGTATTTCAAATTCGCATTACAGGTTCAATGAAAGATTTTTTATAATTAATGACTTGGTAAAGCACGAACTTTTAAATTCGATGATCAAGGTAGTCTGTTTTACTCGCCCATAGTTCGCTCTATGATATTTGCAGAGTTGAACGTTACTTACAATGAGCAGGCATGTAACTCTTACGTAAAAACAATCGCAGTTGTTTTTGTTATGAGTGGCAGTGCTCGTACGTGTCATGAAACTTAATCAGCTCTATAATGCGCGTCAGCACAGCAGGCCATCTTATGTTCAAGAATCAATCATAATTCAGCAGCATGTCATGAAACTTAATCAGCTCTATAATGTCAGCACAGCAGGTTTATGAGGTGAGGGTTCAAGAATCAATCAAAATCATGTGAAAAATGACTGTTAGAGCACGCAACAGCAAGCAGGAAAGCTCAATTAATGAAGGAGCGAAATTTTCGTATGTTTGTTTTTCTCTTTATCGCCATATCATCGGTGTGAAGGTGTTAGTTGAGCTAGGTCGTCTGTTTATAGTATGTCAACAACATCCATCGATAGTAGGAAACTAGGTGTTAAAATTAAGGCATGTAAAGTTCAAAAATCTGCTCTAAACACGAAAGGTCATAAAAAATTGAAATTTGCATTTTCGTTATTACAGAATGTCTTTACATGTTTGTAAATATAGATCGTCAGGTTGGTATAGTCCTGAGAAGGACTGTTTTTGTTGTTGTTGACCATTTACTTGTTGTTGTTGACATTTACTTTGGTTCAAACCATTTACTTTATTACAGAATGTCTTGTTGAATCAATCGTCGCCATAATTCATCCGCAAGCAGAATAAATCAGCTTGCTAGCATGAATTTGCTGCGACAAATAGAGAAAAGCTATACTTTCCTTTAGTATAATAAGAAAACATATTCCGAATAAAATGTTCATGTTTTAATCAATATTTGAGAAACAATCCGATGATGAATTGTAATAAATTCGAAATATTACTGTGTAAAAAACTGTCTTGTTTGTTTCTTAAGTATTGAGTTTTGGATCTTTTATTCGGAGGAAGTTTTTTATTATACTTTATAAAATTGTCGGCTGGTAATGGATTTTGTATAATCTCAGAACAACTATTCTTTCTATTTACGAAACTTACCAGCATTTGGACTTTGCTGGGGTTTTTTCATTTGTGAAAGTCGTCCACAGATATCAAAATTGCGAAATGAATCTTGTTTGGTATGGTCATGGCAACAGCGTTAAATTGATTCTTTTTCTGTTTTAAGTTAAACTTCCAATAATCCCTGCTCTGACCTAGAGGTTTTGGACGCCAAAATTGACCGTCTGTTAGGAAAGAGAGATGGAGAGATGTTTGAATGTGGAAAGGGCAAAACAGATCAGCCTGCCTGGGTATGAAGAATTACATAATTCCTTGAACGCGGAAAAATGATAAATTCATGTGATTACTAATAAGGGAATTCAAAAAAAAAGTAAAGCTTTGAATGTAGTTTTAGTGAACGCTAATACCTGTCACATTTAAAAGACCGTCACATTTTATAGACTATATATGGGCATAAACTTCATTTTTACGACGTAATGTATGACAAGTCGTGTTTGCTAAATTTCTCTAATTTTAATGAATAACATGTACTAAGGAAACTTATAGTTTTGACAATGGTTTGCCCTGTCAGAATTGAATACGCGTGTATGCTAATAAATAACGACGAACATGTTTGAGAGAAACTTTTAAGTGAATAGCTCGAGGAAGTAGAACGCCTCGAGAAAAACATCAATGAATTAAGATTCTTATATGGGAAAGACAACAATTAAAGATTTTTGATAAAGCCGCACGAGTTCTTAGACAAGTATACAGTTCATACAATACGTCAATGTAGCTTTCATCCGTTTCTTGTTTTGTTCTTCTTCATCAATTTTTATGTTATCCTGTTCAAGGCAAAAATTGTGGTCAAAGAAATACTCTATTGTACGATGTGTGTTCCGTGATCTTTTTACACGTAGTAAAGCCTGTTTTGAATATTGTTGTAACACTGAAAATGTTCTCTGTTGCATTGCACCCAGGCAGGCATTGGTTGAATAGAATGAAGAGTTGAAATACATCATCAACTATAAGTTCACCGTGCAAAGTAAAACGAGGCTGTGGATTCTTGCAGTAGTCATTACATCCTTTTACGTTTGGTGGATTGTATTTAACTTTAGATTTATCTTCTATTAGTTTAAGCTATGTCTATTCAAGGTCATTCTCACATTCAGTAATCCGGCTTAATTTCGTTTGAAGCAAGTCTCTTGTGTAAATCAAAGTTCATTGCCGGTCCTGAACTCTTCTTCCAATGACAAGAAATGTAATCGTTGACAATATATTTATAAAACTTCTTGTATTTTGAATCAGGAACGGCAGTCTCAATTTCGTTCATTTTTTGTGTTGAGGATAATGTTTGTCACATGGCACATAGGAACCCGTTGGACCGTCAATGACGGCGACGAACCTTTACGTAAAATGGCTCCCATGTCTTAGGGAATATTTGTGAAGTATTTGATGTGGATCGAGACAACTTCATCTTCAAGTGCTAAATATTGATAAAAGACATTAATATTCTTGACAACATTTTGTATATAACAATTATAATATATATGGATGAAAAAATACACCAGCATACATAGGTTTATTCGAATTCTCTGTTACGCAAACGATACTATGACAATGATGGATATGATTGACAACACATAGCAAAAAAGCAGAACAGCATATCCTGCCTAAAATAAAAAAAATCTGCCGATATTTATAGTAAAGACAATGACATCACCTCTTAAAGTATAGTGTTTTGTCGACACAAATATCTGTCGCAATAATATCTGCTAACATCTTTACGATAGTAATGTTGCGAGAAAAAATAGGTATGTATATTATTTCCAACATGTCTGTTTTTTTTGACAGAAATGGTTTTGCTGCATGGATTAAATCAGACAAATATAGAGACCGTGAAATATGACTCTCTACAATCGTTTCTAATTTTATTTATAATGATTTTTGAGCTTATAATAGAGTGCTTGTTAAAGAGTTGTTCAATACAAAGCTTATTTCCATACAGTAGAAAGTTCGTCCAATACAAAGTTTATCGAATAAAGTTTAGATGGCATATATTATTGTTATAGCGGAATGTTTTGCCTTAATTTCTATCTTGACCACAGGAAAATTCAAGTTTGTTATATAACCAGAAGAAATAAATAAAAAATAAGCATGTAGCAGATTACACAAGGTGTGTCTATAATTCTCAAAATGGACAAACGGAGATTTACAAGCTACTTCAAATGCGAGATACCAGGAAAAACATAGTTATATCAGTACGCTGATATTAATTTTGTTAGATTTAATTGTATTAGTACCCATAATTTTTCTGCATTTACGCTGACCACGTCACAACTAATTCAAGTCTTGTTCTTGTGGGGTCATTTCCTGTGTCTGCATCAATTTTTATTGATGACTCAGTCTGGTTCTCTGTATTCTTCATTTCTTTTGATTTGTGTCTTTTCAGCATTCTATTAAACCATTTCGATCATGGTTTGACGTCTTCTTATGCAATCTTCGCACTCTTTATTCTTTCCACAAGTCATCAACAAATACATTATTCCTTTTTTACGACAACACAAATTGCAGTCCAGAATAAGTATTGAAATGAGGACAATTGAGAGGACGAAAGCAGCAAACATCATTTTAGGTGATGTGATGTAGAGGAACAATCCTTTATTTAACAAAATGTGTTTGATATCTGTGAAGAAATTTTAATAGGAATGAAATAATAAAGAGAATAATGAAACATAAATGCAAGTGTGTACAAGAAGTATACTTCTTAAGTGATGAACATAACTTTGCGTAGTTTTTTCTTACAAGTATATCATAGAGATTCATACCTGCATCACTTCCCCTTTGATGTTTATTCAAACGTTGTGATTTCCAAGTGTTTAATATAACAGCCAGTAAATTGCTATCGGCTGGTAATTGCGTAGATGGACTCCAAGGATTGCAAGATGTATGTTTTATGATCTTTAAATGCTTATAGAAGCCATTTTTGAGTTTCGTGCTAACATTTAGAATGTTCTCTGTTGCTTTGCAACCAGGCAGGCATTGTTTGAATGGTATGAAGAGTTGATGAATATTAACTGCCATGGGTTCACTGTGTACATTAAAACGTGGCTGTTGATTCTTGCAGTAGTCATTACATCCTCTCACGTTTGGTGGATTGTATTTAACCTTAGATTTAAATTCTGTTTCGTTAACTGTAAGAACAAAATGAAGTTTTAAGTTAAGCTGTGGTTATTCAACGTCATTCTCACATTCAGTAATCTGGCTTACTTTCGTTTGAAGTAAGGTTCTTGTGTAAATCAAAATTCATTGGCTGGCCTGACCACTCCTTCCAGTAACAAGAAATGTGATCGTAGACAATATATTTATAAAACTTCTTGTAGTTTTTAAATCAGGCACAACAATCTCAATTTCTTTCATTTTGTGGGTTGAGGATAACGTTCGGGACCTGGAACATTGTAACCGTCGTCTTTCATGTTGAGTACACATCGATGAACCTTTACATAAAATGGCTCCCTGTCCTTGGGAATATTTGTGAAGTTTTTGCTGTAAATTGAGACAACTTCATCTTCGAGGGCTGGATATTAAAAAAGTTATTATTCAATAAAGTGAACTATATCTTCAAAAACCTGTCGCTGTGTAAATGAATAATAAAAGTCATTTGTTTTCCTACCTAATCCATTGTTTCCTCCATTAACGTTTTTGCTGCATAAGACAAATGCGAAAACCACCCATAATGCCTGTGAAAAGTTGGCAATGGTACCTAAACAAGATAAACGTTCGCTTGTTAAATCAAAGAGCCCGTTTCCTCGCTATTTTTACGTTGTATAAAGTTAGATTGCGTGTTTTATTAAAGCAAAAAGCGTTTCACGAGAGGTTTGTTTCGATCAATTTAATATTTATACTAATTTTGTGTGTCCGAGGTGATTCAAGTCAGTGATCTAACATTAATCTTGTCAAATAAAGTATCTTTATTAGCAATGAAAATTTTGTCAATTGATATCTATTACGGTATATTTATTAAGTCTACAATCATAGTTACGACTGTCACAATTGCAAAGCATTTTTACGTACCCATTTTTTTCAGAATCTAGTTCACTTCAAGATACAACAAACAAGTAAGTTTCTTTTCTTGTTACTTAACACCTCACAAATCTGCTGCTTATGCCTGTTTGTATTGTTACAAAATGCTGCCTTATTTTATACCGTACTCAATTGTATCAAAGGTATGCTTGACCTCCCATGGTAACCGCACCGAAAAAAAAATTTTTTTCTCGTCGAAGGACATCCTTCGACTGATTTAGTACTTGGTAGGAAGCTATGTACTGCTCGAACAAACCTTTCCTTTTGTGGGCGAATTGCTGCAGCAACATAATTATGATGATTCATGTACGCTCCGAAATTGTTAATTGTTTAATATTACTGTATTTAAAATAATCATGCATTGTTCAGCTTAATAATTTTGTAATGTTTAGGAGCCGTTTGTTACTTTGCATTTTGTCGGTATCGCCTGGGCCATACGAAGGTTGAAAATTGAGAGGCTTCATTCATGTATGCATATATAAATTATAACATGCTCATATGAATGTGAACCTCCTTAATTATCGATCTTCCTACGACCATGATGGCACAATAACCACCGCTTTACGTTCTTATATGAACTAAATTAAAAATATAGAATGTGTACTGCATCTTAAACTGTGTAAAATTCGACACATTAATCCTCCGCGAGGCACTTCAACGGAAGCCTTGATGTTTGAAAGAGCATCTTCACATCAATATTATGGGAAGAGGTTTTATTTGCCACTCTTGTTTGTTTGGAATGTGATGCTAATTAAGTGGGACTTTCTAAGATCACTTTGTATTAAATTCTTCGGTGGTCTGAATTGCTCTCCCACAAAATATATTTGGAGAATTCTTTACCAAATTAAAGAATCGATGATACCAAATTAAAGAATCGATGATACAATTGAAGTGAGACGGGATGTAGTAATTGTGTGAAGAGCAATTTATTATTATCTCGTTTGTATGAGCTCGATCAAGATTAAAAATATTAAGAATTCCTGTTTCGTTCATTCTCATTTTGTCTATTTTGGTTTGACCGCCATAGTTCCGAAATTAAGCAGATTGAATATAACTGAAACATGTGTGAAGTCAACGTGAAAAAATATTTAAATGCATGGTTAAGAAAAAGTTTAGAAATGTGGTGTATCACCCGTGGGTAGACCGGAATGGTCATTGATTCATATTTTTGAATTAATTTTTCTCACTCATGGTAGTGGTCAAGGTTTTTAGGTGCGGTGTGTTATGCAACCATTTAATTGCAAATTAATCTGCTAATAATTAGTTTCTCTCCGATACGTCGTTAATAGAAATATTTTACTTCTGTTTAATGCACTATAGAGCTATTTATGTTGATGATTATTTCATTAGTGAAAAAGCCTTTAATTTTTCTTATCATTTTGAACGTTTTAAATAAAATAATGAAGTTAAATATAAATTCTGGCAATATGCTATTGTATGAATGTGAAAAGATGTATTTTTATGTCGATTGAAGGTAAATTGGACAAAAAATGCATTTAACACATCTAATAAAAATTTTCAGTTTATTTTCAATAGCAAGTGCATGTTATAATGGTCAACTGCATACCAACATATCTTGACGACGATCTGTAAAAATTTGGCCGTAGCGACTATTTCTTTCTCTTTTTCAGTAAGTTTTTCCCATGGATGATGCTGCTATGGTTTGCCAAATAGTTTATCACAACAAATTAGCTTCGCGGGGCGATGGTCATAATAATGATAATTTCGTATCATTTCTAATTTTGAAAACATTTGTCACACCCTATTTGTTTTTTCAGAATGCGGCTTGCTTAACATTGTCAACACATATTGGGTATGTTTTTTCCTTTTTCGTATCAACAATTATTGTCTGCTGCTGCTGCTAGCTTATGTCCATTATGTTTTTCTTTTACTATGCTGTTAACGTTGCTTTACAGTAATAGTTATATTTCATATTCCGGCTTGTTGCATGTCCTAAATCATGATCAAATTTTTCTCTGGCTAGTTTCCATACTTGTCTTTATACGATATTTCAACCAACTTTCCGCTGAAAGATTGTTATATGCAGTGCGGTGTTCATATCAAGATCATATCTTCATTTAATTTCAACTTTCCGCTCCTGTAAGTTTTATAGACATGCGCCCACTCAACTAGAGTTATATATAATTATATAATTATTTTGAAGGATGTTCCTGCATTTTTGTTGCCCTGTTGTCAATCATATAAAATGTAGATACTGTTCGACGTTTGTTGAACAAGCTACTACTTTTTACACTTCGTCCCAAACAAAGCTTTTTGTTTGCATGAGCCGAACGGTAAAGAGATCCTTAATTAGTTAAATATTGTCATCTGTGATATTGTGTTGAACAAACTATCAAAGTGCGTGCGTTTAGGCAAATAACATGGTTGTTTTCGTCAGGCGCTATGTATGATTGTCGTAATGAACACGAATTCGCTTTCCGCTCGGCAAGTCTCTCGCTACTATTTTAAATAATCGCTATAATAATGGAGCACTCGAAGCATTTAGAAAATTCCAACGACTTGAACTTAAGCTGAGAAAAGCCAAACTCGACTTGGATTTTCTTACGACATGCAGAAAGCGCTCTGTGATACCAAGATTCCTGTCGTTCAAAGTAGCTAGTCATCGTTTACAAAACTCTAGCGCTTATCGCCAATGCAAAAATAAACTCCTTCAAGAAGAAATAAACGGGAAACACGCTCGCATACGCGTCCTCTCAGCACAACTAACACAAGCACACTCCAACCTGGCGTTACTAATCTCCAAAATTGACTTTATACACCTTAAGAATGTCTCCGATCGTGAAAATTCAAGAAAACTAATGCAACATCAACATATCCAAGATCGCAAACTTTTCCGTCTCACATCCAAACATGACAACAACATCCCAATCGACCCTGATAAAGTGGTGTTCAACTTCTCAAACCACCTCATTACTGACAGAGAGAAGGAAATCCTTTCAAAAGGCTTAAACTTTTCCGTCCCACCGAAAATGTTAAACATTTGCACCTTCCTAACACCCTTAGAAAACTCTACAACCGCCTTAAACGAGAACCTGTTAATGAATCATCCGGATTTTTCCAGACTCGATCAAATGCAAATTAAAAGACATTGCCCACTCAGGTTTCCAAGTTACAGCCCACCACCTTTCCTATACTCACAAGAAGACTTGAACATTTTAAATAGTTTAAAAAACGACAGAACTATCCTCATCACTAAGCCTGACAAAGGAAATGGCATCGTAATACTTAACAAAGACGACTACATAAAGAAAATGAACACACTCTTATCTGACACAACAAAGTTTCAACCTCTTGATGGAGATCCAGTAAAAGTCACTTTACAACGAGAAAATCAAGTGAAGTCTTTATTAAAAAAGTTGAAAGATGCTAAATCTATCGGCCAAGAAACTTACAAAAAACTTTACCCTACTGGTTCACGAATAGGTATATTGTATGGTCTTCCTAAAATACATAAATGTAACATCCCTCTCAGACCCATTCTTTCCTCCATTAATCACTATTCGTATAAACTAGCAAAGTTTTTTATCCCACTCCTAAAACCCTTCACTACAAGCAACTTTATCATCAAAAACTCCTTCTCTTTTGTCGAAGAAATCGTAAACTGCGAAATCAACTCCAGTAATGTTGTCCTTGCTAGTTTTGATGTCGTATCCCTATTTACTAACATACCTGTTGACGAAACCATCCGCATAATATCCAATAGCATTTTTAACAACCACAAGTACTTCAACGGACTCACTGCAACAGAATTTGAAAACTACTCTCTAGCTGTTAAGAACTGTCACTTTATCTTTAACGGGAAAATGTACCAGCAAATTGATGGTGTGGCTATGGGCAGTCCATTGGGCCCTCTCTTTGCTGATATATTCATGTCCTCTCACGAACAATCCTGGCTTAATAAATGTCCTTCTTCATTCAAACCACTACTTTACCGACGCTAAGTTGACGACTGTTTTTACTTTTCATCCCTCCGATCACGTCCTCTCTTTCTTGACTATCTGAACCGAGAGCACCCTAACATCACATTCACAGCTGAAATCGAACAAAACAGAAAACTATTATTTCTTGACATTGACATCTCTCGAGAGCAGATGAGTGGAAGCCCGTGACCAATGGTCGAGAGATCTCACTCTTTGAGGTTTTGCAATGAGCCAGTGCAAACGCGTAAAACATCTTTTTATAAATTAACAGTAATGCAAAACAGATAAATATTAAAAAAAACTTCTAATTCATTCTCTATATATATTCATGATTGATTTGCAAATTATCGTTGATTGATTATTTGCAAATTATTTTTGATTGAATTTATTGAATAAGCTCTGGTCGGATGCAAAGGCTAATGCAAATTGCAAACTCGGCAAGAGACCAATCAGCGCATGCATTTTCTTGTTCTTATCGTACAATTGATATTACTCAAAATCCCTCACTTCGGGGAGTGGACAAGTATGCAGGATAAGAGGTGCATTCCCCGTGACTGTATGGTGAAATAATAAAATTTGCTTAAACAATGAAATGAAAAGCTTATGGAATAGCATTAATCTTTTCGGTGGGAATTAAGTTCGGGGTGTGCTATAACGTAATATTATGTATGTTTTCACTTACCTACACGCCTTTCTCTGTTGTATTGAAAGACTGTTAAATTGGTGGAGCATTTACACTTGGTGTGATTATGTAAAATGTATTCGTAATATTTAAACGTCAGTGAATCTCTCAGTACGATGCCTATCTTTTGCCATCTCACTGGTTTCGACGGATAGTGAGTTTGTGAATATTCTGCACAGCGGTGTATTTTGATAAAATATGGTCCGAAGCCTTGAGGGGGGGCTTCGTCAAATTTGTCACTGTATATGGACACAACATCTTCCTGAGGTTCACACGTTTTCTTGGCTGGAAATATAAGTACATATTAATTTGGCTTGTCTGTGGACGAACAATTTTCAATTATGAGAAACCAAATGAAAAATGAAGAACGACTATTTCATTATACAATCAGTAAATTCAACATGTTTAGTTTTGTATGTTTACCTGCTGCTGCACAGAACTGGCATAGTGTTAAAACAATAACATAAACTTCCTTTTTACTTCTTAAAAAATATCGATCTGTGATGAAAGATAAAAGCGCAATCAGTACCTGATGCAAAATATATTAAAACTGCCAATTGATTGGTAAGTTTTTATTAAATTCAAAACCAAAGGCATAAACGCATTATGAATTTAAAATTACAGCTATCATTTACTTTGCTCAACTATGAAATATTTTATACAAATTGATAAGCCATTTTGTAAGTCATACTAAAACTAACGTCTATTTTGAACCCAACATACTGGAGATGGTACAGTGTTAAAAGTATTTTTATAGCAATGCAATGAATGTTGCTCTCAAATGAGCGTCTTACAAAGAGTGATAAAGAACAAAGACACAAATGTAAACATCGGGTCATTGGGGGTCAAGAGTGGTGTGAATTATTCTTATCTTTTTATATCAATAATCAATATACATATATTATTTGATCATTCGATATATTCATCAACAATTTGTTTAAGAGATGCAGGGATTCAAAATGATACTTCACCCTATTGGCCCTATTGTCCTTTGTAACTTCCCGTAATGATATTTTTTAATGTCATTTACTTAACTTTTTAGGGCATAGTTTACAAAAAAAATTTTAAATGTTTTGTATCCATACTTCCTGCGCTGTTGAACCATGTACATATCAAACCGTGTGTGAAAAAAATTGACCCTATGCTATATTCTTAATTCATGTGAACGTCTCTACTCTAGGTTCATTTAAAGAATTTTGTGGAATTACTTCAACAGAGATTCTTTGACACCGAGGACTTTGTCAAACATAATGCTTCATGATCATTGATTAAGGGTCATTATTGTAACAAATTTTATAGCTAAATTGAATACGAAAAAACGATTGAATAAATTGGTAATGGCAATCAGCATGGTATACAACAAACAATCGTGCTGTTTCTTTCAACAATTTTTTTTATACAATGCTGTTTCTTTGTTTAATTAGCGCAATTGCGCAACGCGACAGCGAATTGTTGCAGAATTTAAAACAATATGTAATCTATACATTGTATGCATCGACGACACATAGTTTTGGCTACTATACAAGGTTAACACTACTCGATGGTGCTTTAAAATCGGCGCATAAATAGTCATCAGGAAGTGCATACGATAAATTTGACCTAGTAATACTTATTCATCGTGCAATTAGAAATACAAATAGAATGTATAACTTACCCATTTTGCTTGCAGAAAAATTGGTTGATCGTTTTTTGCAAATCGTCTTTCTTTTCGATGTAAGCAACTGTTCGTTGACTTTTGAACACTTGTAAATGATTTATGGTGTTTGCGTTTTTTATATTTATAATGATGCAAGACTTGTTTTTCACTGCATGGTGAACCGCACTTTATTTTGTTGGGTTAACCATTTCCTTTGACAAATAATGGTGCAGCAGAAGGATGAATACTCTTTAGGTTATTTTGATATACTGTATTGCGCTGTTGAGGTTAGCATTCCTTCATAACTTATTTACGCAACAACACGCAATGCAAGAAAAAAAAATGCTTTTATTGATTTCTGTAAAGTAAAATTGATCAAGTCGTAAAACTTTTTTAATGCTCGAAGGTTCCTGTAGGTTCATGAAAAATACAGTGGAAGTTGTCCCACCCCAAGTTCTTCAGAAACGCATGCGTGATCGCACATAACACGCCTTAAAACTTGCTATTTTTTATAAATGTCCGGAGTTGTTTTTGACGACTTCTGGTGGGTTTTAATTAGCATGATGTAAAGTGACTTGGGTATTTCATATTTTCCCAGTTGTTTTGATAGGAAAACGTTCAACGGCTAATTGATTTCATATTAATTGATGTCATCACATCATGTGTGTACAATAAATCTACTTTACAGATACAGTTTCTCCAGTCTTTATCAATGTATGATTGCTATACAGTACATTCAATCACTAGCGTTCTTTTACTTTATTCTTCCAAGCTTAAGGAATAAAATTTTGATAATTTAGCTCGTTATAGATAAGAAAAAGAAATTGTGTGAGCGAGAGCTGTCAATAATATAGAAAAACCTTTTTCAAAACAACAAATAGTTTTGACCGTGTAGTATAGACCGTATGGTCCATGACGATTATATAGAAAGATCTGAAGATCATCATCGCTCTAAGGCCTTTTTCTAGAAAAATATATACAGAAAATTGGATTTCCCTCATTTAACTGCAATGGTTCTTAGTACTTCGTTGTTGGTTCTTTCCGTAAAACATTGAAACTAATAAAGTACATTCGTAGGTGTGAATTTAACTGTAACGTATTGTCAAAACTGAAATAATTGCGAGAGGGAATTGCGAAACGGCACAAGTGCGCTTCCGATTGTGTTAAACAGTGTTTTTCATTAGCCTATAATTGACGTAGTTACATGAAGCAAAGCTCAAAGGTTACTGCTCTACGTGCAGCACAGTGGCCTTTGTTGCGTTTAGTTGGGTTATTTTTGTGGCCTAGTCATCCCTTGGGTTTGGTCTTGCGATGTAAACTTCAGATCATTATCAGTGTTTATTTCTTTGAAGTCTTTATTGTTTCTACGATGAGTAAACACCGAAACGTTGGTGATAAATTTGCGTTCTATAAATACACAAAATTGATCACTAATCCGGAGCCTAGTACTCGGCTATAAATGACATATTTGTCAGAGATTGGATTAAGGATCAGTTTCGCGTATTATAGAACACGTGATTATTACCGAAATATTTGCAAGAGTACGGCCTAAGATAAATTTCAATAGTTGAACGTATTTTACATTGATTTGTCTTTACATGTCATGGTTGTAGCAAACATTAAACAGAGGAGAATCATTTATTTTTAAACTCCCCCTTTATTATACGATAAGTGAGAACAAAGTAAACCACATTCCATCCTATCCCCAAATTTGGGAGTTTTAACACAAGTTTGATTGAGAACTTTTGTTTACTGGGAAATTGGGAAGTTTTATATGCATTAAAATCGCCGATTTTACGACTTTTGGCATATGTGTGAACCACAAGGGAGCATGTTGCTGAATTTCAACATTTCTTTCCGGTGACCTCATGAGGAAGTTATTTGTTTTTATAGAATCTCGTGGCGAAAGAATGCCAAAATCCACGCCACTCTGTGAATTACCGTCTCTTGTTTATTAAGGTATGTAGTTTTGAATTTACCTGTTAATTGATCTACCAAAAGTCTTCATCTGGTTCATTTATGTTTCAATACCTATATTTACCAAAATTTCGTTTTACCGGAATTGTTTTGCTACTGGGAAGAATATACGCGTAGCTGTGCCTTTCGTGTTTGAATGCTTCTGACTGAAGCCCAGTGCAAACAAAGTCAACATATAGATCCAGCATTTTGGATACCACATATTGACTTCGTTAGAATCAATTTTTGTGTGTAATGTTAGGTAGTGCTAAAATTGTGTTGAGGTTAAACAAGTCCATAATTTTCAATCTGCAACATCGGTCACATAAATGCTGACTGTAATTTGAAAGTCGAGGAAAAATTGTTGCTGGAAGTTTTAATTATCGGGGTATGTGGTGGGATGTGTTTGAAGACACACTGAAAGAGTTGGTCCTATAATGGCATAGGTAGTTCCTGCGATTAGGAAGGGGGATGAGGCATATTCACATGTGCATGCAATAAATAATGCGTATATCGATAGAACTGAAGGCAGAACTTTTACGTGTGAATATTGCCCCACCCTACCTTCACCCCTTTATTATCAAGCTGGCTGTGCCACTGATGATATAGTTTGAATTTACCGGGACCTACAGTCTCATATTCTCAAACAAGCCGTTTTGATAAAAAAACACACTGGCGGAAGAGACTATACTTACTTCGATGAATTGCGTAAGACTAAAAGATTGTTCTTTAAATTTGGATGTTTTGGGGAGATAGGAGTAGAGATTTTTGTAATGACAATCAACACGATGCATTTATAAGCGGTAACAACAGACGATTGACGACAATTGTAAGCTGGTGCTGGCTATTTAGTTGAATCAAACATAATGGCGTGGATTAAAGGAAAGGAATGGAGTGTGTATCTTCTATTTTTTGTCATCCGAATGCTCTTATCGACTATTTCCTTGCACATAACTGCATAATTGAGGATGAGTCATTTGCCACAACGCATTTCATCATTTGAAGCATTCTGTTTCAAGAAGTCCATTTGACCTTGAAAATCAAAGAGAAATTGCTTAGAATTTCCGACTTAATTGAGGTGAAATATCGACATTTGCGAATGAGAATTATTTGAATGAGAAGAAATATTTTATGGAAGCGAACGGCCTGGTTTTATATTTCTTCTGCAATCTTCTTTTCATGTCTTTCCAGCAGTATCTGCTCATTTCTTTCGAAAGAATAGCTCTTCGAAGTTTGTTCAGGCAAAGAGATGGTAGGATGGTGTGGTTTTAAATTTCTTTGCGGCAATTTTCTTCTTATGTCTTTCCAGAATCATATCTTATCGAGATTTGCTAAAACAACGAGATAATAGGAAGGTGACGTTTCAAATTTCAAAGGCGATTTTCTGCTCATGATATTCCAGAAGAATATCTCTTTGCTAAAACAAAGAGATGAATATCTCTTTGCTAAAACAAAGAGATGATGGAGTGGCGTGGTTTTGATTACAACGGCGATTTTCTTTTTGTATTTCCAGCATCATATATGTCATAGGATCATGTAATTTTGAATTTTCACCGCAATTTTGTCTCATGTCTTTCCAACAGCAATATCTTTTCAAGGTTTTCTAAAGCAAAGAGCATTTTTACTCTTCTTTTTTTGGCGTCATGATACAAAATAGTTCAATGATACAAGAATAGTTCAAAGTATCATTTTTGTGTCTTTTAACTGGCGAAATACTAAGAACTCTTGCAATTATTTCCCTTTTTGTATTTGAGGTAGAATGTTTTGCAAGAGGATTTGGAGTACTCATGTTAGTACTTATTGCGGCTTCTTTGTGTTATTAGACGTAGTGGGTGTATTTTAACTAATTTCTTTCTTTCGTGCTCGGTTTCCGTTCATATCGATGACTCGACATTTAGTACTTCAAGGACTGTCTTCCTTTTAGAATGAATTTTAATTTGTTCGCTCTATTTTACATTTTGTAATGCGTTTTACTTTTCCTAATTTGGTCAAACAGTGAAACCCTGCCTTACGGTCTGCCGTTAATACGGTTATATGACGGTCGTATTTCTATACAAGCAAAACACTGGTGTATTTTATAACAAACAACCGTTTAATACGACCAACCTGTCAGTACTGTCCACGGGTGCATTGTGAAGTCCCATTTTAAATACGGTCAATTGAAATAATAATTGTGTTAATTGACGGAAATGGAGCATATGGTACATGTTGAAAACAATATAAAAAATTACATCGTATAATTGTTTATAATGTTAATTGTACATTTAAATCTCTCGCAGAGGACTTAAAACAAAAGAATAAATATGCAAGCTTCTTTTAACTTCGTTTAGCTTTTAAATTTTTACAGTAACTTCTGCTTTTTTCTTGCTTCAATACTGGCTGATGAATTACTCTTAGAGCCTGATTATATGGAGGCGAGCTGGCCCGGATAGCGTGCTAGCCCTATGATTTCAAGGGACTGAGAGAGGCCAAAACTTCAAGGTTAAAAATTACAACTGTGTTTGCAAAGCGCCACACGTTATTCCTGTTGTAATTCGATAATTCGGGCAAATTGGTTGTTTTAATTTTAAATGTTTTGGGTAGTTATTAAATCAGAATATTGTGAAATTGCTTGAGATGATTTGTCTGATGTTAAGTATTAAATCTTTTCCATTTTCCAAAATCATTTAACGTTTGGCTGAATCCCGGCTACCGGATCATGTTATCAGCCCCTTAGTGTTCAAAGAGTTCTTAGGGCGTAGTTATTAGTTGCGATTTTTGTATGAGATGGTGGCATTATAATTTTCAAATAAACTATTTAACATATCTTTGATGATGTTACGCTTTTATACGGCCATTTTAAAATCCGGGTTCCAAATTCTACAACCATTTGAAAACTTCCATTAAATCGCACAGTCGAAACAAGTTCAAAATTGTGAACAGAGTGAGGAAATGGTGTTGAATTCTCAATGATGTTGAAATGTTACGCAAAATTTTATCGACGCATCTGATGCAAATGAGAGAATATTTTTTCGGAAGAATGAAAACAATTAAAGATCTTCCTGTTGGTTTTGTTGATACGGATTCAGAGATATAATATTGTCCAAAGATATGAATGATCACAATGGCAAAAGATAAGAAACAATACGAGAAAAACTTTAATCAAGCTCAAGAAAATATTTTGTATGATAATGTCACTAATGTGATCTTCATTCTGACGAAGAACAAACACCCAGAGAATGATGAATGTTTAATGACGAGAGTGGTGAGGGTTAAGACGAAGACCAAGGATAATGCGCTTATAGTTTGTGGTAGGATCAATTTAAGATGTTATTGAGGAAAACGGAGTTTAACACGGGAAGTATACTCAAGCTGTTACTTAAGCAGCAACACATGTTGAAAGTGGAAAGCTTGGCAACGAATGACTTTGAATCTAAGAACTTGTCGTGATGACACAGAGAAAACTTGTTCAGTCACTAATTGTTGAAAAAAATGAATTGCATAATGTGTTGAGAATTGAATCAAGGCAGGCTAACAGCCGTAGAGAATTTCATGATGTGGCGGCTCTAGCGTTGGTAAAAGTACTGTACAAAGCTCTAACTAGATAAATAAATTATAGCCAGAAAATTATTCTGACGATGTCAGTTTTCCAGAAGTACCTCCAACAAGCAAAGCTGCCTTTAACACAAGAGGGAATACACTCCATTTCGCATTTAAGATTCCTGTAAACACGAGATTTGATTACTTCACACTAAGTATAAATATTGGAACCAAATAAAATTTTGGCGATCTTAGTATTATAACTGTTGATGACTTGTTCCAATATTATGTATATTTCCTCATTGGATATTTGAGGATTAACACATGTTTATCGCATAAGCAACCGAACTCCGGTCAAGGCTTCAATTATTGAGCTTCAAGAGAGAAGATAAGGACTCGCTAGAATTTTAAATTGCATCATGAAAAGAATAATTAATGAAGCTGACATTAACATTTTAATATTGTAAGAAGGGATTATCTAGTATAGAGGGATATAGCAATGATTTGACTGTTGATGAACATGATCACGATGTTTTTTATTTTCATTAATCCAGAAACGAGAAAGTCTACTCAAAAGAAATTGACATTGAACTTGGCGATTTATTATAAGACATTAAGGGTTTTCTCTAAAGCATCGAACGACTCCTCAAAAATCACGAACTAGTTCTCCATTTGTTCCATACTAAAAAATATGCAAAAAATTGTCTGGCAGCAAAGTCCTCGTTTTTGATGGTATAACTAATTGTGCTGAATGTTAACCAAGGTAATAGGTTCCCTAATGCCAAGTATTATGTACGAGTTTTATTTCAAAAAGAGCGTATAATCTGGTGATACGTTCAATAAAGACTTAATGTTGTCGAGATAATCACCATCCGGAGTTAGTACAAGGTTGTTAGGGGGGGAGGGTAGTATTGTTATCACTTAATATTTGTTGGGGATATTGTTGGCCGTTGCAAGAGTACGACTGCAGCTGTTCTGTTGCTTTAATTTTGAAACCTTTATTGAAACATTGATTTATTTTTTATACTTATAAACTTTTTATGAATTTCTATTATTTCCATCCTGCATTAAACAATAGCACCAACTAAATTACTTGATCTTGATGTTCACTGCACAAATTCGTATACTTTCTTCTCCACTTCCAAAATGCTGAATTAATGGGACTGTTGTGTTGTGCTCCAGAGATTGCAAGATATATGTTCTTTAATGACTTCAAACTGGGTTGAACCATCTAGGATTTCTGTTTTGACAATCTTCAATGTGATGAATCCGTTATTTTATTTTATGGAAATAAGATCATGAAGCAAATCTATTTTGAGTTGTGACGCTTTTGTTAATTCTTTCAATCACCTGTATCACTTCTGCATGGACTTTGATTACACGATAAGTGCTGACGACTTCATATAGTTGAACCATCTAGAGTGAATGGGATAAAGAGATAAGTTAAAAACCTTTGTATATTCACTGTGCAGATTAAAACGAGGTTGTCGATGCTTGCAATAGTCATTACATGTTCTCACGTTTGGTGGATTGTATTTTACTTTTGTTGTAAATTCTGTTTCGTTAACTGTAAACACAAAAGGAAAAGCGTTTCGAATTTAGATCTCAGTTTAAATTTTAATTAAATACAGAAGTCCTTACTTTCGTTTGAAGATAGAGTCTTGTGTAGAGTAAAGTTCAAGGCTGTTAAGTTTGTACTCATGTAACAAGAAGTGTGATTATGTACAATATATTTGTAAAATTTTGTGTCGTTTTTTAAATCAGGAACGACAATCTCGACTTCTGTCAATGTCATCGGTTGGGGCCAACATAATGGACATGTAGGAATTTTTTCTTTTTCGATGACACATCGTTGAACTTTAACATAATAGGGCTCCCTGTCCTTGGGAATGTCAGTGAAGTTTTCATTATAAATTGAGACAACTTCTTGCTTGAGGACTGGAACTATAGAAAATGAATATAAACTTTGACCATGCCATTTTCATTATGTTTAAAGCCGTCGTTTTTGTACCTATTGCAGGATATTTCCATCTCCCATTCACGAAATCTAAAAATATAAACAATCTTGATTTATGAACGAGTACACATTGTTGTTATACATACAACAATATGAAAAGCATTATTAACATTCACCATATTATTTTATGTTTGATTCTATGAAGTTTAATTTCATAGACTTCATATTTTATTGTACCTAATCCATGGTCTCTTCCATTCACCTTTTCGCTTATTTCAAAAACAAAGACCACGAACATTATCCAAGTATATATTAAGTTTTCAAAGATACCTTAAAAAGACAAAGCTTGGTCATACATAAAAAATTGTGTCTTTACACGCCTCTTATATTACATAATTATGTATTTCAAATTCGCATTACAGGTTCAATGAAAGATTTTTTATAATTAATGACTTGGTAAAGCACGAACTTTTAAATTCGATGATCAAGGTAGTCTGTTTTACTCACCCATAGTTTGCTCTATGATATTTGCAGAGTTGAACGTTACTTACAATGAGCAGGCATGTAACTCTTACGTAAAAGCAATCGCAGCTGTTTTTGTTATGAGTGGCAGTGCTCGTACGTGTCATTGAAACTTAATCTACTCTGCACGTCAGCACAGCAGGCCATCTTAAGAGGTTTATGAGAGTGAGGGGTCAAGAATCAATCATAATCATGTGAAAAATGACTGTGAGAGCACGCAACAGCAAGCAGGAAAGCTCAATTAATGAAGGAGCGAAATTTTCGTATGTTTGTCATACGTAATCAATCGATAGTAGGAAACTAGGTGTTAAAATTAAGGCATGTAAAGTTCAAAAATCTGCTCTAAACACGAAAGGTCATAAAAAATTGAAATTTGCATTTTCGTTATTACAGAATGTCTTTACATGTTTGTAAATGTAGATCGTCCAGGTTGGTATAGTCCTGAGAAGGACTGTTTTTGTTGTTGTTGACCATTTGTTGCTGTTGACATTTACTTTGGTTCAAACCATTTACTTTATTACAGAATGTCTTGTTGAATCAATCGTCGCCATAATTCATCCGCAAGCAGAATAAATCAGCTTGCTAGCATGAATTTGCTGCGACAAATAGAGAAAAGCTGTACTTTCCTTTAGTATAATAAGAAAACATATTCCGAATAAAATGTTCATGTTTTAATCAATATTTGAGAAACAATCCGATGATGAATTGTAATAAATTCGAAATATTACTGTGTAAAAAACTGTCTTGTTTGTTTCTTAAGTATTGAGTTTTGGATCTTTTATTCGGAGGAAGTTTTTTATTATACTTTATAAAATTGTCGGCTGGTAATGGATTTTGTATAATCTCAGAACAACTATTCTTTCTATTTACGAAACTTACCAGCATTTGGACTTTGCTGGGGTTTTTTCATTTGTGAAAGTCGTCCACAGATATCAAAATTGCGAAATGAATCTTGTTTGGTATGGTCATGGCAACAGCGTTAAATTGATTCTTTTTCTGTTTTAAGTTAAACTTCCAATAATCCCTTCTCTGACCTAGAGGTTTTGGACGCCAAAATTGACCGTCTGTTAGGAAAGAGAGATGGAGAGATGTTTGAATGTGGAAATAGCAAAACAGATCAGCCGGCTTGGGTATGAAGAATTACACAATTCCTTGCACGCGGAAAAATGATAAATTCATGTGATTACTAATAAGGGAATTCAAAAAAAAAGTAAAGCTTTGAATGTAGTTTTAGTGAACGCTAATACCTTTCACATTTAAAAGACGATAGTAATGTTGCGAGAAAAAAATAGGTATGTATATTATTTCCAACATGTCTGTTTTTTTTGACAGAAATGGTTTTGCTGCATGGATTAAATCAGACAAATATAGACACCGTGAAATATGACTCTTTACAATCGTTTCTAATTTTATTTATAATGATTTTTGAGCTTATAATAGAGTGCTTGTTAAAGAGTTGTTCAATACAAAGCTTATTTCCATACAGTAGAAAGTTCGTCCAATACAAAGTTTATCGAATAAAGTTTAGATGGCATATATTATTGTTATAGCGGAATGTTTTGCCTTAATTTCTATCTTGACCACAGGAAAATTGAAGTTTGTTATATAACCAGAAGAAATAAATAAAAAATAAGCATGTAGCAGATTACACAAGGTGTGTCTATAATTCTCAAAATGGACAAACGGAGATTTACAAGCTACTTCAAATGCGAGATACCAGGAAAAACATAGTTATATCAGTACGCTGATATTAATTTTGTTAGATTTAATTGTATTAGTACCCATAATTTTTCTACATTTACGCTGACCACGTCACAACTAATTCAAGTCTTGTTCTTGTGGGGTCATTTCCTGTGTCTGCATCAATTTTTATTGATGACTCAGTCTGGTTCTCTGTATTCTTCATTTCTTTTGATTTGTGTCTTTTCAGCATTCTATTAAACCATTTCGATCATGGTTTGACGTCTTCTTATGCAATCTTCGCACTCTTTATTCTTTCCACAAGTCATCAACAAATACATTATTCCTTTTTTACGACAACACAAATTGCAGTCCAGAATAAGTATTGAAATGAGGACAATTGAGAGGACGAAAGCAGCAAACATCATTTTAGGTGATGTGATGTAGAGGAACAATCCTTTATTTAACAAAATGTGTTTGATATCTGTGAAGAAATTTTAATAGGAATGAAATAATAAAGAGAATAATGAAACATAAATGCAAGTGTGTACAAGAAGTATACTTCTTAAGTGATGAACATAACTTTGCGTAGTTTTTTCTTACAAGTATATCATAGAGATTCATACCTGCATCACTTCCCCTTTGATGTTTATTCAAACGTTGTGATTTCCAAGTGTTTAATATAACAGCCAGTAAATTGCTATCGGCTGGTAATTGCGTAGATGGACTCCAAGGATTGCAAGATGTATGTTTTATGATCTTTAAATGCTTATAGAAGCCATTTTGAGTTTCGTGCTAACATTTAGAATGTTCTCTGTTGCTTTGCAACCAGGCAGGCATTGTTTGAATGGTATGAAGAGTTGATGAATATTAACTGCCATGGGTTCACTGTGTACATTAAAACGTGGCTGTTGATTCTTGCAGTAGTCATTACATCCTCTCACGTTTGGTGGATTGTATTTAACCTTAGATTTAAATTCTGTTTCGTTAACTGTAAGAACAAAATGAAGTTTTAAGTTAAGCTGTGGTTATTCAACGTCATTCTCACATTCAGTAATCTGGCTTACTTTCGTTTGAAGTAAGGTTCTTGTGTAAATCAAAATTCATTGGCTGGCCTGACCACTCCTTCCAGTAACAAGAAATGTGATCGTAGACAATATATTTATAAAACTTCTTGTAGTTTTTTAAATCAGGCACAACAATCTCAATTTCTTTCATTTTTGTGGGTTGGGGATAATATTCGAGACCTGGAACATTGTAACCGTCGTATTTCATGTTGAGTACACATCGATGAACCTTTACATAAAATGGCTCCCTGTCCTTGGGAATATTTGTGAAGTTTTTGCTGTAAATTGAGACAACTTCATCTTCGAGGGCTGGATATTAAAAAAGTTATTATTCAATAAAGTGAACTATATCTTCAAAAACCTGTCGCTGTGTAAATGAATAATAAAAGTCATTTGTTTTCCTACCTAATCCATTGTTTCCTCCATTAACGTTTTTGCTGCATAAGACAAATGCGTAAACCACCCATAATGCCTGTGAAAAGTTGGCAATGGTACCTAAACGAGATAAACGTTCGCTTGTTAAATCAAAGAGCCCGTTTCCTCGCTATTTTTACGTTGTATAAAGTTAGATTGCGTGTTTTATTAAAGCAAAAAGCGTTTCACGAGAGGTTTGTTTCGATCAATTTAATATTTATACTAATTTTGTGTGTCCGAGGTGATTCAAGTCAGTGATCTAACATTAATCTTGTCAAATAAAGTATCTTTATTAGCAATGAAAATTTTGTCAATTGATATCTATTACGGTATATTTATTAAGTCTACAATCATAGTTACTACTGTCACAATTGCAAAGCATTTTTACGTACCCATTTTTTTCAGATTCTAGTTCACTTCAAGGTACAACAAACAAGTAAGTTTCTTTTCTTGTTACTTAACACCTCACAAATCTGCTGTTTATGCCTGTTTGTATTGTTACAAAATGCTGCCTTATTTTTTACCGTACTCAATTGTATCAAAGGTATGCTTGGACCTCCCATGGTAACCGCACCGAAAAAAAAAAATTTTTCTCGTCGAAGGACATCCTTCGACTGATTTAGTACTTGGTAGGAAGCTATGTACTGCTCGAACAAACCTTTCCTTTTGTGGGCGAATTGCTGCAGCAACATAATTATGATGATTCATGTACGCTCCGAAATTGTTAATTGTTTAATATTACTGTATTTAAAATAATCATGCATTGTTCAGCTTAATAATTTTGTAATGTTTAGGAGCCGTTTGTTACTTTGCATTTTTGTCGGTATTGTCTGGGCCATACGAAGGTTGAAAATTGAGAGGCTTCATTCATGTATGCATATATAAATTATAACATGCTCATATGAATGTGAACCTCCTTAATTATCGATCTTCCTACGACCATGATGGCACAATAACCACCGCTTTACGTTCTTATATGAACTAAATTAAAAATATAGAATGTGTACTGCATCTTAAACTGTGTAAAATTCGACACATTAATCCTCCGCGAGGCACTTCAACGGAAGCCTTGATGTTTGAAAGAGCATCTTCACATCAATATTATGGGAAGAGGTTTTTATTTGCCACTCTTGTTTGTTTGGAATGTGATGCTAATTAAGTGGGACTTTCTAAGATCACTTTGTATTAAATTCTTCGGTGGTCTGAATTGCTCTCCCACAAAATATATTTGGAGAATTCTTTACCAAATTAAAGAATCGATGATACAATTGAAGTGAGACGGGATGTAGTAATTGTGTGAAAAGCAATTTATTATTATCTCGTTTGTATGAGCTCGATCAAGATTGAAAATATTAAGAATTCCTGTTTCGTTCATTCTCATTTTGTCTATTTTGGTTTGACCGCCATAGTTCCGAATATTTCGCAGATTGAATCTAACTGAAACATGTGTGAAGTCAACGTGAAAAAATATTTAAATGCATGGTTAAGAAAAAGTTTAGAAATGTGGTGTATCACCCGTGGGTAGACCGGAATGGTCATTATTGCACATTTTTGATTTAATTTTTCTCACTCATGGTAGTGGTCAAGGTTTTTAGGTGCGGTGTGTTATGCAACCATTTAATTGCAAATTAATCTGCTAATAATTAGTTTCTCTCCGATACGTCGTTAATAGAAATATTTTACTTCTGTTTAATGCACTATAGAGCTATTTATGTTGATGATTATTTCATTAGTGAAAAAGACTTTAATTTTTCTTATCAATTTGAACGTTTTAAATAAAATAATGAAGTTAAATATAAATTCTGGCAATATGCTATTGTATGAATGTGAAAAGATGTATTTTTATGTCGATTGAAGGTAAATTGGACAAAAAATGCATTTAACACATCTAATAAAATTTTTCAGTTTATTTTCAATAGGAAGTGCATGTTATAATGGTCAACTGCATACCAACATATCTTGACGACGATCTGTAAAAATTTGGCCGTAGCGACTATTTCTTTCTCTTTTTCAGTAAGTTTTTCCCATGGATGATGCTGCTATGGTTTGCCAAATAGTTTATCACAACAAATTAGCTTCGCGGGGCGATGGTCATAATAATGATAATTTTGTATCATTTCTAATTTTGAAAACATTTGTCACACCCTATTTGTTTTTTCAGAATGCGGCTTGCTTAACACATGTTGGGTATGTTTTTTCCTTTTTCGTATCAACAATTATTGTCTGCTGCTGCTGCTAGCTTATGTACATTATGTTTTTCTTTTACTATGCTGTTAACGTTGCTTTACAGTAATAGTTATATTTCATATTCCGGCTTGTTGCATGTCCTAAATCATGATCAAAATTTTTCTCTGGCTAGTTTCCATACTTGTCTTTATACGATATTTCAACCAACTTTCCGCTGAAAGATTGTTATATGCAGTGCGGTGTTCATATCAAGATCATATCTTCATTTAATTTCAACTTTCCGCTCCTGTAAGTTTTATAGACATGCGCCCACTCAACTAGAGTTATATATAATTATATAATTATTTTGAAGGATGTTCCTGCATTTTTTTGTTGCCCTGTTGTCAATCATATAAAATGTAGATACTGTTCGACGTTTGTTGAACAAGCTACTACTTTTTACACTTCGTCCCAAACAAAGCTTTTTGTTTGCATGAGCCGAACGGTAAAGAGATCCTTAATTAGTTAAATATTGTCATCTGTGATATTGTGTTGAACAAACAATCCAAACGCGTGCGTTTAGGCAAATAACATGGTTGTTTTCGTCAGGCGCTATGTATGATTGTCGTAATGAACACGAATTCGCTTTCCGCTCGGCAAGTCTCTCGCTACTATTTTAAATAATCGCTATAATAATGGAGCACTCGAAGCATTTAGAAAATTCCAACGACTTGAACTTAAGCTGAGAAAAGCCAAACTCGACTTGGATTTTCTTACGACATGCAGAAAGCGCTCTGTGATACCAAGATTCCTGTGGTTCAAAGTAGCTAGTCGTCGTTTAGAAAACTCTAGCGCTTATCGCCAATGCAAAAATAAACTCCTTCAAGAAGAAATAAACGGGAAACACGCTCGCATACGCGTCCTCTCAGCACAACTAACACAAGCACACTCCAACCTGGCGTTACTAATCTCCAAAATTGACTTTATACACCTTAAGAATGTCTCCGATCGTGAAAATTCAAGAAAACTAATGCAACATCAACATATCCAAGATCGCAAACTTTTCCGTCTCACATCCAAACATGACAACAACATCCCAATCGACCCTGATAAAGTGGTGTTCAACTTCTCAAACCACCTCATTACTGACAGAGAGAAGGAAATCCTTTCAAAAGGCTTAAACTTTTCCGTCCCACCGAAAATGTTAAACATTTGCACCTTCCTAACACCCTTAGAAAAACTCTACAACCGCCTTAAACGAGAACCTGTTAATGAATCATCCGGATTTTTTCCAGACTCGATCAAATGCAAATTAAAAGACATTGCCCACTCAGGTTTCCGAAGTTACAGCCCACCACCTTTCCTATACTCACAAGAAGACTTGAACATTTTAAATAGTTTAAAAAACGACAGAACTATCCTCATCACTAAGCCTGACAAAGGAAATGGCATCGTAATACTTAACAAAGACGACTACATAAAGAAAATGAACACACTCTTATCTGACACAACAAAGTTTCAACCTCTTGATGGAGATCCAGTAAAAGTCACTTTACAACGAGAAAATCAAGTGAAGTCTTTATTAAAAAAAGTTGAAAGATGCTAAATCTATCGGCCAAGAAACTTACAAAAAACTTTACCCTACTGGTTCACGAATAGGTATATTGTATGGTCTTCCTAAAATACATAAATGTAACATCCCTCTCAGACCCATTCTTTCCTCCATTAATCACTATTCGTATAAACTAGCAAAGTTTTTTATCCCACTCCTAAAACCCTTCACTACAAGCAACTTTATCATCAAAAACTCCTTCTCTTTTGTCGAAGAAATCGTAAACTGCGAAATCAACTCCAGTAATTTTGTCCTTGCTAGTTTTGATGTCGTATCCCTATTTACTAACATACCTGTTGACGAAACCATCCGCATAATATCCAATAGCATTTTTAACAACCACAAGTACTTCAACGGACTCACTGCAACAGAATTTGAAAAACTACTCTCTCTAGCTGTTAAGAACTGTCACTTTATCTTTAACGGGAAAATGTACCAGCAAATTGATGGTGTGGCTATGGGCAGTCCATTGGGCCCTCTCTTTGCTGATATATTCATGTCCTCTCACGAACAATCCTGGCTTAATAAATGTCCTTCTTCATTCAAACCACTACTTTACCGACGCTAAGTTGACGACTGTTTTTACTTTTCATCCCTCCGATCACGTCCCTCTCTTTCTTGACTATCTGAACCGAGAGCACCCTAACATCACATTCACAGCTGAAATCGAACAAAACAGAAAACTATTATTTCTTGACATTGACATCTCTCGAGAGCAGATGAGTGGAAGCCCGTGACCAATGGTCGAGAGATCTCACTCTTTGAGGTTTTGCAATGAGCCAGTGCAAACGCGTAAAACATCTTTTTATAAATTAACAGTAATGGAAAACAGATAAATATTAAAAAAAACTTCTAATTCATTCTCTATACATTCATGATTGATTTGCAAATTATCGTTGATTGATTATTTGCAAATTATTTTTGATTGAATTTATTGAATAAGCTCTGGTCGGATGCAAAGGCTAATGCAAATTGCAAACTCGGCAAGTGACCAATCAGCGCATGCATTTTCTTGTTCTTATCGTATAATTGATATTACTCAAAAATCCCCTCACTTCGGGGAGTGGACAAGTATGCAGGATAAGAGGTGCATTCCCCCCCGTGACTGTATGGTGAAATAATAAAAATTTGCTTAAACAATGAAATGAAAAGCTTATGGAATAGCATTAATCTTTTCGGTGGGAATTAAGTTCGGGGTGTGCTATAACGTAATATTATGTATGTTTTCACTTACCTACACGCCTTTCTCTGTTGTATTGAAAGACTGTTAAATTGGTGGAGCATTTACACTTGGTGTGATTATGTAAAATGTATTCGTAATATTTAAACGTCAGTGAATCTCTCAGTACGATGCCTATCTTTTGCCATCTCACTGGTTTCGACGGATAGTGAGTTTGTGAATATTCTGCACAGCGGTGTATTTTGATGAAATATGGTCCGAAGCCTTGAGGGGGGGCTTCGTCAAATTTGTCACTGTATATGGACACAACATCTTCCTGAGGTTCACACGTTTTCTTGGCTGGAAATATAAGTACATATTAATTTGGCTTGTCTGTGGACGAACAATTTTCAATTGTGAGAAACCAAATGAAAAATGAAGAACGACTATTTCATTATACAATCAGTAAATTCAACATGTTTAGTTTTGTATGTTTACCTGCTGCTGCACAGAGCTGGCATAGTGTTAAAACAATAACATAAACTTCCTTTTTACTTCTTAAAAAATATCGATCTGTGATGAAAGATAAAAGCGCAATCAGTACCTGATGCAAAATATATTAAAACTGCCAATTGATTGGTAGGATTTTATTAAATTCACAACCAAAGGCATAAACGCATTTATGAATTTAAAATTACAGCTATCATTTACTTTGCTCAACTATGAAATATTTTATACAAATTGATAAGCCATTTTGTAAGTCATACTAAAACTAGCGTCTATTTTGAACGCAACATACTGGAGATGGTACAGTGTTAAAAGTATTTTTATAGCAATGCAATGAATGTTGCTCTCAAATGAGCGTCTTACAAAGAGTGATAAAGAACAAAGACACAAATGTAAACATCGGGTCATTGGGGGTCAAGAGTGGTGTGAATTATTCTTATCTTTTTTATATTAATAATCAATATACATATATTATTTGATCATTCGATATATTCATCAACAATTTGTTTAAGAGATGCAGGGATTCAAAATGATATTTCACCCTATTGTCCCTATTGTCCTTTGTAACTTCCCGTAATGATATTTTTTAATGTCATTTACTTAACTTTTTAGGGCATAGTTTACAAAAAAAATTTTAAATGTTTTGTATCCATACTTCCTGCGCTGTTGAACCATGTACATATCAAATCGTATGTGAAAAAAATTGACCCTATGCTATATTCTTAATTCATGTGAACGTCTCTACTCTAGGTTCATTTAAAGAATTTTGTGGAATTACTTCAACAGAGATTCTTTGACACCGAGGACTTTGTCAAACATAATGCTTCATCATTGGGAGAGGGGTCATTATTGTAACAAATTTTATAGCTAAATTGAATACGAAAAAACGGTTGAATAAATTGGTAATGGCAATCAGCATGGTATACAACAAACAATCGTGCTGTTTATTTCAACAATTTTTTTTATACAATGCTGTTTCTTTGTTTAATTAGCGCAATTGCGCAACGCGACAGCGAATTGTTGCAGAATTTAAAACAATATGTAATCTATACATTGTATGCATCGACGACACATAGTTTTGGCTACTATACAAGGTTAACACTACTCGATGGTGCTTTAAAATCGGCGCATAAATAGTCATCAGGAAGTGCATACGATAAATTTGACCTAGTAATACTTATTCATCGTGCAATTAGAAATACAAATAGAATGTATAACTTACCCATTTTGCTTGCAGAAAAATTGGTTGATCGTTTTTTGCAAATCGTCTTTCTTTTCGATGTAAGCAACTGTTCGTTGACTTTTGAACACTTGTAAATGATTTATGGTGTTTGCGTTTTTTATATTTATAATGATGCAAGACTTGTTTTTCACTGCATGGTGAACCGCACTTTATTTTGTTGGGTTAACCATTTCCTTTTGACAAATAATGGTGCAGCAGAAGGATGAATACTCTTTAGGTTATTTTTGATATACTGTATTGCGCTGTTGAGGTTAGCATTCCTTCATAACTTATTTACGCAACAACATGCAATGCAAGAAAAATAAAAATGCTTTTATTGATTTCTGTAAAGTAAAATAGATCATGTCGTAAAATTTTTTTTAATGCTCGAAGGTTCCTGTAGGTTCATGAAAAAATACAGTGGAAGTTGTCCCACCCCAAGTGGGACAACTTCCACTGTAGAAAAACGCTCAACGGCTAATTGATTTCATATTAATTGATGGTTGTCATCTCATCATGTGTGTACAATAAATCTACTTTACAGATACAGTTTCTCCAGTCTTTATCAATGTATGATTGCTATATAGTACATTCAATCACAAGCGTTCTTTTACTTTATTCTTCCAAGCTTAAGGAACAAAATTTTGATAATTTAGCTCGTTATAGATAAGAAAAAGAAATCGTGTGAGCGAGAGCTGTCAATAATATAGAAAAACCTTTTCAAAACAACAAATAGTTTTGACCGTGTAGTATAGACCGTATGGTCCATGACGATTATATAGAAAGATCTGAAGATCATCATCACTCTAAGGCCTTTTTCTAGAAAAATATATATAGAAAATAGGATTTTCCTCATTTAACTGCAATGGTTCTTAGTACTTCGTTGTTGGTTCTTTCCGTAAAACATTGAAACTAATAAAGTACATTCGTAGGTGTGAATTTAACTGTAACGTATTGTCAAAACTGAAATAATTGCGAGGGAATTGCGAAACGGCACAAGTGCGCTTCCGATTGTGTTAAACAGTGTTTTTAATTAGCCTATAATTGACGTAGTTACATGAAGCAAAGCTCAAAGGTTACTGTTTTACGTGCAGCACAGTGGCCTTTGTTGCGTTTAGTTGGTTATTTTGTGGCCTAGTCAGCCCTTGGGTTTGGTCTTGTGATGTAAACTTCAGATCATTATCAGTGTTTATTTCTTTGAAGTCTTTATTGTTTCTACGATGAGTAAACACCGAAACGTTGGTGATAAATTTGCGTTCGATAAATACACAAAATTGATCACTAATCCGGAGCCCAGTACTCGGCTATAAATGACATATTTGTCAGAGATTGGATTGAGGATCAGTTTCGCGTATTATAGAACACGTGATTATTACCGAAATATTTGCAAGAGTAAACGGCCTAAGATAAATTTCAATAGTTGAACGTATTTTACATTGATTTGTCTTTACATGTCATGGTTGTAGCAAACATTAAACAGAGGAGAATCATTTATTTTAAACTCCCCTTTATTATACGATAAGTGAGAACAAAGTAAACCACATTCCATCCTATCCCCAAATTTGGGAGTTTTAACACAAGTTTGATTGAGAACTTTTGTTTACTGGGAAATGGGAAGTTTTATATGCATTAAATCGCCGATTTTACGACTTTTGGCATATGTGTGAACCACAAGGGAGCATGTTGCTGAATTTCAACATTTCTTTCGGGTGACCTCATGAGGAAGTTATTTGTTTTTTTTATAGAATCTCGTGGCGAAAGAATGCCAAAAATCCACGCCACTATTTGAATTACCGTCTCTTGTTTATTAAGGTATATAGTTTTGAATTTACCTGTTAATTGATCTACCAAAAGTCTTCATCTGGTTCATTTAAGTTTCAATGCCTATATTTACCAAAATTTCGTTTTTACTGGAATTGTTTTTGCTACTGGGAAGAATATACGCGTAGCTGTGCCTTTCGTGTTAGAATGCTTCTGACTGAAGCCCAGTGCAAACAAAGTCAACATATAGATCCAGCATTTTTGGATACCACATATTGACTTCGTTAGAATCAATTTTATGTGTGTAATGTTAGGTAGTGCTAAAATTGTGTTAGGTAGTGCTAAAATTGTGTTAGGTAGTGCTAAAATGCTGACTGTAATTTGAAAGTCGAGGAAAAATTGTTGCTGGAAGTTTTAATTATCGGGGGGGGGAGGGGTATGTGGTGGGATGTGTTTGAAGACACACTGAAAGAGTTGATCCTATAATGGCATAGGTAGTTCCTGCGATTAGGAAGGGGGATGAGGCATATTCACATGTGCATGCAATAAATAATGCGTATATCGATAGAACTGAAGGCAGAACTTTTACGTGTGAATATTGCCCCACCCTACCTTCACCCCTTTATTATCAAGCTGGCTGTGCCACTGATGATATAGTTTGAATTTACCGGGACCTACAGTCTCATATTCTCAAACAAGCCGTTTTGATAAAAAAACACACTGGCGGAAGAGACTATACTTACTTCGATGAATTGCGTAAGACTAAAAGATTGTTCTTTAAATTTGGATGTTTTGGGGGAGATAGGAGTAGAGATTTTTCGTAATGACAATCAACACGATGCATTTATAAGCGGTAACAACAGACGATTGACGACAAATGTAAGCTGGTGCTGGCTATTTAGTTGAATCAAACATAATGGCGTGGATTAAAAGAAAGGAATGGAGTGTGTACCTACTATTGTTTTGTCATCCGAATGTTCTTATCGACTATTTCCTTGCACATAACTGCATAATTGAGAATGAGTCGTTTGCCATAACGCATTTCATCATTTGAAGCATTCTGTTTCAAGAAGTCCATTTGACCTTGAAAATCAAAGAGAAATTGCTTAGAATTTCCGAATTAATTGAGGTGAAATATCGACATTTGCGAATGAGGATTATTTGAATGAGAAGAAATATTTTATGGAAGCGAACGGCCTGGTTTTATATTTCTTCTGCAATCTTCTTTTCATGTCTTTCCAGCAGTATCTGCTCATTTCTTTCGAAAGAATAGCTCTTCGAAGTTTGTTAAGGCAAAGAGATGGTAGGATGGTGTGGTTTTAAATTTTTTGCGGCAATTTTCTTCTTATGTCTTTCCAGAATCATATCTTATCGAGATTTGCTAAAACAACGAGATAATAGGAAGGTGAGGCTTCAAATTTCAAAGGCGATTTTCTGCTAATGATATTCCAGAAGAATATCTCTTTGCTAAAACAAAGAGATGAATATCTCTTTGCTAAAACAAAGAGATGATGGAGTGGCGTGGTTTTGATTACAACGGCGATTTTCTTCTTTGTATTTCCAGCATCATATATGTCATAGGATCATGTAATTTTTGAATTTTCACCGCAATTTTGTCTCATGTCTTTCCAACAGCAGAATCTTTTCAAGGTTTTCTAAAGCAAAGAGCATTTTTTACTCTTCTTTTTTTTGGCGTCATGATACAAAAATAGTTCAATGATACAAGAATAGTTCAAAGTATCATTTTTGTGTCTTTTAACTGGCGAAATACTAAGAACTCTTGCAATTATTTCCCTTTTTGTATTTGAGGTAGAATGTTTTGCAAGAGGATTTGGAGTACTCATGTTAGTACTTATTGCGGCTTCTTTGTATTATTAGACGTAGTGGGTGTATTTTGACTAATTTCTTTCTTTCGTGCTCGGTTTCCGTTCATATCGATGACTCGACATTTAGTACTTCAAGGACTGCCTTTTTAGAATGAATTTTAATTTGTTCGCTCTATTTTACATTTTGTAATGCGTTTTACTTTTCCTAATTTGGTCAAACAGTGACACCCCGCCTTACGGTCTGCCGTTAATACGGTTATATGACGGTCGTATTTCTATACAAGCAAAACACTGGTGTATTTTATAACAAACAACCGTTTAATACGACCAACCTGTCAGTACTGTCCACGGGTGCATTGTGAAGTCCCATTTTAAATACGGTCAATTGAAATAATAATTGTGTTAATTGACGGAAATGGAGCATATGGTACATGTTGAAAACAATATAAAAAAAATACATCGTATAATTGTTTATAATGTTAATTGTACATTTAAATCTATCGCAGAGGACTTAAAACAAAAGAATAAATATGCAAGCTTCTTTTAACTTCGTTTAGCTTTTAAATTTTTACAGTAACTTCTGCTTTTTTCTTGCTTCAATACTGGCTGATGAATTACTCTTAGAGCCTGATTATATGGAGGCGAGCTGGCCCGGATAGCGTGCTAGCCCTATGATTTCAAGGGACTGAGAGAGGCCAAAACTTCAAGGTTAAAAATTACAACTGTGATTGCAAAGCGCCACACGTTATTCCTGTTGTAATTCGATAATTCGGGCAAATTGGTTGTTTTAATTTTAAATGTTTTGGGTAGTTTTTAAATCAGAATATTGTGAAATTGCTTGAGATGATTTGTCTGATGTTAAGTATTAAATCTTTTCCATTTTCCAAAATCATTTAACGCTTGGCTGAATCCCGGCTACCGGGATCATGTTATCAGCCCCTTAGTGTTCAAAGAGTTCTTAGGGCGTAGTTATTAGTTGCGATTTTTGTATGAGATGGTGGCATTATAATTTTCAAATAAACTATTTAACATATTTTTGATGATGTTACGCTTTTATACGGCCATTTTAAAAATCGGGGCTAAATTCTACAACCATTTGAAAACTTCCATTAAACCGCACAGTCGAAACAAGTTCAAAAATTGTGAACAGAGTGAGGAAAATGGTGTTGAATTCTCAATGATGTTGAAATGTTACGCAAAATTTTATCGACGCATCTGATACAAATGAGAGAATATTTTTTTCGGAAGAAGTAATCGAGCAAAACAGAGTTTAACACGGGAAGTATACTCAAGCTGTTACTTAAGCAGCAAAATATGTTGAAAGTGAAAAGCTTGGCAACGAATGACTTTGAATCGAAGAACTTGTCGTGATGACGTAGAGAAAACTTGTTCAGTCACTAATTGTTGAACAAAATGAATTGCATAATGTGTTGAATTCAGTTAAGGCAGTAAAACTGGCGGCTCTAGCGTTGGTAAAAGTACTGTACAAAGCTCTAACTAGATAAATAAATTATGACCAGAAAATTATTCTGACGACGTCAGTTTTCCAGAAGTACCTCCAACAAGCAAAGCTGCTTTAACTTAAGAGGGAATACACTCCATTTCGCATTTAAGATTCCTGTAAACACGAGATTTGATTACTTCACACTAAGTATAAATATTGGAACCAAATAAAATTTTGGCGATCTTAGTATTATAACTGTTGATGACTTGTTCCAATATTATGTGTATTTCCTCATTGGATATTTGAGGATTAACACATGTTTATCGCATAAGCAACCGAACTCGGTCAAGGTAGTTCTCCATTTGTTCCATACTAAAAAATGCAAAAATTGTCTGGCAGCAAAGTCATCGTTTTTGATGGATGTTAACTAAATTGGATGTATAACTAATTGTGCTGAATGTTAACTAAAAAAGTAAATTACCAAGTAATAGGTTCAGTAATGCCAAGTATTATGTACGAGTTTTATTTCAAAAAGAGCGCATAATCTGGAGATACGTTCAATAAAGACTTAATGTTGTCGAGATAATCACCATCCGGAGTTAGTGCAAGGTTGTTAGGGGTGAGGGTAGTATCGTTATCACTTAGTATTTGTCGGGGATATTGTTGGCGGTTGCGAGAGTACGACTGCATCTGTTCTGTTGCTTTAATTTTGAAACCTTTATTGAAACATTCATTTATTTTTATACTTATAAACTTTTTGTGAATTTCTATTATTTCCATCCTGCATTAAACAATAGCACCAACTAAATTACTTGATCTTTATGTTCACTGCACAAATTCGTATACTTTCTTCTCCACTTCCAAAATGCTGAATAAATGGGACTGTTGTGTTGTGCTCCAGAGATTGCAAGATATATGTTCTTCAATGACTTCAAACTGGTTTGAACCATATAGGGTTTGTGTTTTGATGTTCGTTGTGTTTTTTGTTGCTTTGCAACCAGGCAAGCATTGAGTGAATGGGATGAAGAGATAATTTAAAAAGAACCTTTGTATATTCACTGTGCAGATGAAAACGAGGTTGTGGATGCTTGCAATAGTCATTACATGTTCTCACGTTTGGTGGATTGTAGTTTACTTTTGTTGTAAATTCTGTTTCGTTAACTGTAAACACAAAAGGAAAAACGTTTAAAATTTAGATCTCAGTTTAAATTTTAATTAAATACAGAAGTCCTTACTTTCGTTTGAAGGTAGATTCTTGTGTAGATTAAAGTTCACGGCTGTCATGTTCTTTTCCAGGTAACAAGAAGTGTGATTATATACAATATATTTGTAGAATTTTGTGTAGTTTTTTAAATCAGGAACGACAATCTCGACTTCTGTAAATGTCATAGGTTGGGGCCAACAATCTACACATTTAGGAAGTTTATCTTTTTCGATGACACATCGTTGAACTTTAACATAATATGGCTCCCTGTCCTTCGGAATGTCAGTGAAGTTTTCATCATAAATTGAGACAACTTCTTGCTTGAGGACTGGAACTATAGAAAATGAATATTAACGTTGACTATGCCATTTTCATTATGTTTAAAGCCGTCGTTTTTGTACCTATTGCAGGATATTTCCATCTCCCATTCACGAAATCTAAAAAGATAAACAATCTTGATTTATGAACGAGTACACATTGTTGTTATACATACAACAATATAAAAAGCATTATTAACATTCACCATATTATTTTATGTTTGATTCTATGAAGTTTAATTTCATAGACTTCATATTTTATTGTACCTAATCCATGGTTTCTTCCATTCACCTTTTCGCTTATTTCAAAAACAAAGACCACGAACATTACCCAAGTATATATTAAGTTTTCAAAGATACCTTAAAAAGACAAAGCTTGGTCATACATAAAAAATTGTGTCTATACACGCCTCTTATATCACATAATTATGTATTTCGAATTCGCATTACAGGTTCAATGATAGATTTTTTATAATTAATTACTTGGTAAAGCACGAACTTTTAAATTCGATGATCAAGGTAGTCTGTTTTACTCACCCATAGTTCGCTTTATGATATTTGCAGAGTTGAACGTTACTTACTATGAGCAGGCATGTAACTCTTACGTAAAAACAATCGCAGTTGTTTTTGTTATGAGTGGCAGTGCTCGTACGTGTCATGAAACTTAATCAGCTCTTTAATGCACTTCAGCACAGCAGGCCATCTTAAGAGGTTTATGAGAGTGAGGGTTCAAGAATCAATCATAACCATGTGAAAAACGACTGTGAGAGCACGCAACAGCAAGCAGGAAAGCTAAATTAATGAAGGAGCGAAATTTTCGTATTGGAACCAAATAAATTTTGGCGATCTTAGTATTATAACTGTTGATGACTTGTTCCAATATTATGTATATTTCCTCATTGGATATTTGAGGATTAACACATGTTTATCGCATAAGCAACCGAACTCCGGTCAAGGCTTCAAGTATTGAGCTTCAAGAGAAGAGAAGATAAGGACTTCGCTAGAATTTTAAATTGCATCATGAAAAGAATAATTAATGAAGCTGACATTAACATTTTAATATTGTAAGAAGGGATTATCTAGTATAGGGGGGATATAGCAATGATTTGACTGTTGATGAACATGATCACGATGTTTTTTATTTTCATTAATCCAGAAACGAGAAAGTCTACTCAAAAGAAATTGACATTGAACTTGGCGATTTATTACAAGACATTAAGGTTTTTTTCTAAAGCATCGAACGACTCCTCAAAAATCACGAGGTAGTTCTCCATTTGTTCCATACTAAAAAAAATGCAAAAAATTGTCTGGCAGCAAAGTCCTCGTTTTTGATGGTATAACTAATTGTGCTGAATGCTTACTAAAAAAGTAAATTACCAAGTAATAGGTTCACTAATGCCAAGTATTATGTACGAGTTTTATTTCAAGAAGAGCGTATAATCTGGAGATACGTTCAATAAAGACTTAATGTTGTCGAGATAATCACCAACTGGAGTTAGTACAAGGTTGTTAGGGGGGAGGGTAGTATCGTTATCACTTAGTATTTGTTGGGGATATTGTTGGCGGTTGCGATATTGTTGACTGCAGCTGTTCTGTTGCTTTAATTTTGAAACCTTTATTGAAACATTGATTTATTTTTTATACTTATAAACTTTTTGTGAATTTCTATTATTTCCATCCTGCATTAAACAATAGCACCAACTAAATTACTTGATCTTGATGTTCACTGCACAAATTCGTATACTTTCTTCTCCACTTCCAAAATGCTGAATTAATGGGACTGTTGTGTTGTGCTCCAGAGATTGCAAGATTTATGTTCTTTAATGACTTCAATCTGGATTGAACCATCTAGGATTTTTGTTTTGACAATCTTCATTGTCTCTGTTGCTTTGCAACCAGGCAAGCATTGAGTGAATGGGATAAAGAGATAAGGTAAAAAAACCATTGTATATTCACTGTGCAGATGAAAACGAGGTTGTGGATGCTTGCAATAGTCATTACATGTTCTCACGTTTGGTGGATTGTATTTTACTTTTGTTGTAAATTCTGTTTCGTTAACTGTAAACACAAAAGGAAAAGAGTTTCAAATTTAGATCTCAGTTTAAATTTTAATTAAATACAGAAGTCCTTACTTTCGTTTGAAGATAGAGTCTTGTGTAGATTAAAGTTCGAAGCTGTTAAGGTGTTTTTCCAGTAACAAGAAGTGTGATTATGTACAATATATTTATAAAATTTTGTGTAGTTTTTTAAATCAGGAACGACAATCTCGACTTCTGTCAATGTCATAGGTTGGGGCCAACATAATAAACATGTAGGAACATTATCTTTATCGTTGATACATCGTTGAACTTTAATATAATATGGCTCCCTGTCCTTGGGAATGTCAGTGAAGTTTTTATCATAAATTGAGACAACTTCTTGCTTGAGGACTATAATTATAGAAAATGAATATTAATGTTGACCATGCCATTTTCATTATGTTTAAAGCCGTCCTTTTTGTACCTAGTGCAGGATATTTCCATCTCCCATTCACGAAATTTAAAAAGATAAACAATCTTGATTTATGAACGAGTACACATTGTTGTTATACATACAATAATATGAAAAGCATTATTAACATTCACCATATTATTTTATGTTTGATTCTATGAAGTTTAATTTCATAGACATCATATTTTATCGTACCTAATCCATGGTTTGTTCCATTCACCTTTGCGCTTATTTCAAAAACAAAGACCACGAGCATTACCCAAGTATATATTAAGTTTTCAAAGATACCTTAAAAAGACAAAGCTTGGTCATAAATAACAAATTGTGTCTTTACACGCCTCTTATATTATATAATTATGTATTTCAAATTCGCATTACAGGTTCAATGAAAGATTTTTTATAATTAATTACTTGGTAAAGCACGAACTTTTAAATTCGATGATCAAGGTAGTCTGTTTTACTCACCCATAGTTCGCTCTATGATATTTGCAGAGTTGAACGTTACTTACAATGAGCAGGCATGTAACTCTTATGTAAAAACAATCGCAGCTGTTTTTATTATGAGTGGCGGTGCTCGTACATGTCATGAAACTTAATCAGCTCTATAATGCACGTCAGCACAGCAGGCCATCTATTTATGAGAATGAGGGTTCAAGAATCAATCATAATTCAGCTCTAATTCAGCTTTAATGTCATGAAACTTAATCAGCTCTATAATGCACGTCAGCACAGCAGGCCATCTATTTATGAGAGTGAGGGTTCAAGAATCAATCATAATCATGTGAAAAATGACTGTTAGAGCACGCAACAGCAAGCAGGAAAGCTAAATTAATGAAGGAGCTAAATTTTCGTATGTATGTATGTATGTATGTATGTATGTATGTATGTATGTATGTACGTATTTTCGTATGTATGAGCAGGCATGTAACTCTTACGTAAAAACAATCGCAGCTGTTTTTGTTATGAGTGGCGGTGCTCGTACGTGTCATGAAACTTAATCAGCTCTATAATGCACGTCAGCACAGCAGGCCATCTATTCATGAGAGTGAGGGTTCAAGAATCAATCATAATCATGTGAAAAAAAACTGTTAGAGCACGCAACAGCCAGCAGGAAAGCTCAATTAATGAAGGAGCGAAATTTTCGTATCTTAGTTTTTCTCTTTATCGCCATATAATCGGTAGGAAGGTGTTAGTTGAGCTAGGTCCTCTGTTTATAATTTGTCAACAACATCAGTCGATAGTAGGAAACTAGGTGTTAAAATTAAGGCATGTAAATTTCAAAAATCTGCTCTAAACACGAAAGGTCATAAAAAATTGAAATTTGCATTTTCGTTATTACAGAATGTCTTTACATGTTTGTAAATGTAGATCGTCCAGGTTGGTATAGTCCTGAGAAGGACTGTTTTTGTTGCAGTTGACCATTTACTTGTTGTTGACATTTACTTTGGTTCAAACCATTTACTTTATTACAGAATGTCTTGTTGAATCAATCGTCGCCATAATTCATCCGCAAGCAGACAGAATAAATCAGCTTGCTAGCATGAATTTGCTGTGACAAATAGAGAAAAGCTATACTTTCCTTTAGTATAATAAGAAAACATATTCCAAATAAAATGTTCATGTTTAACTCAATATTTGAGAAACAATCCGATGATTAATTGTAATAAATTCGAAATATTACTGTGTAAAAAAACTGTCTTGTTTGTTTCTTAAGTATTGAGTTTTGGACCTTTTATTCGGAGGAAGTTTTTTATTATACTTTATAAAATTTTCGGCTGGTAATGGATTATGTATAATCTTAGAACAACTATTCTTTCTATTTACGAAACTTACTAACATTTGGACTTTGCTGGGGTTTTTTCATTTGTGAAAGTTTGGTATTGTCATGGCAACAGCGTTAAATTGATTCTTTTTCTGTTTCGAGTTAAACTTCCAATAATCCCTGCCCTGACCTAGAGGTTTTGGACGCCAAAATTGACCGTCTGTTAGGAAAGAGATGGAAAGATGTTTCAATGTGGTAAGGGCAAAACAGATCAGCCGGCTTGGGTATGAAGAATTACATAATTCCTTGAACGCGGAAAAATGATAAATTCATGTGATTACTAATAAGGGAATTCAAGAAAAAGTAAAGCTTTGAATGTAGTTTTAGTGAACGCTAATACCTGTCACATTTTATAGACTGTAACATTTCATAGACTATATATGGGCATAAACGTCATTTTAGCGTTATATTTAACGACGTTATGTATGACAAGTCGTGTTTGCTAAATTTTTCTAATTTTAATGAATAACATGCACTAAGGAAACTTATAGATTTGACAATGGTTTGCCCTGTCAGAACTGAATACGCGTGTATGCTAATAAATAACGACGAAACGACGAACATGTTTGAGAGAAACTTTTGAGTGAATAGCTCGAGGAAGTAGAACGCCTGTAAAAAACATCAATGAATTAAGATTCTTATATGGGAAAGACAACAATTAAAGATTTTTGATAAAGCTGCACGAGTTCTTAGACAAGTATACAGTTCATACAACACGTCAATGTAGCTTTCAGCCGTTTCTTGTTTTGTTCTTCATCAATTTTTATGTTATCCTGTTCTAGGCAAAAATTGTGGTCAAAGAAATACGTCAGAAATACTGTGTTTTTTTTTCAACAGAAATGATTTTGCTGCATGGATTAAATCAGACAAATATAGAGACCGTGAAATATGACTCTCTACAATCGTTTCTAAGTTTATTTATAATCATTTTTGAGCCTGTAATAGAGTGCTTGTTAAAGAGTTGTCCAATACAAAGTTTATTTGCATACAGTAGAAAGTTCGTCCAATACAAAGTTTATTTCCATACAGTAGAAAGTTCGTCCAATACAAAGTTTATTTCCATACAGTAGAAAGTTCGTCCAATACAAAGTTTATTTCCTTACAGTAGAAAGTTCGTCCAATACAAAGCTTATTTCCATGTAGTAGAAAGTTCGTCCAATACAAAGTTTATTTCCTTACAGTAGAAAGTTCGTCCAATACAAAGCTTATTTCCATGCAGTAGAAAGTTCGTCCAATACAAAGTTTATTTCCTTACAGTAGAAAGTTCGTCCAATACAAAGTTTATCGAATAAAGTTTAGATGGCATATATTATTGTTATAGCGGAATGTTTTGCCTTAATTTCTATCTTGACCACAGGAAAATTCAAGTTTGTTATATATCCAGAAGAAATAAATAAAAATAAGCATGTAGCAGATTACACAAGGTGTGTCTATAATTCCCAAAATGGACAAACGGAGATTTACAAGCTACTTCAAATGCGAGATACCAGGAAAAACATAGTAATATCAGTACGCTGATATTAATTTTGTTAGATTTAATTGTACTAGTACCCATAATTTTTCTGCATTTACGCTGACCACGTCACAACTAATTCAAGTCTTCTTGTGGGGTCATTCCCTGTGTCTGCATCGATTTTTATTGATGACTCAGTCTGGTTCTCTGTATTCTTCATTTCTTTTGATTTGTGTCTTTTCAGCATTCTATTAAACCATTTCGATCATGGTTTGACGTCCTCTTATGCAGTCTTCGCACTCTTTATTCTTTCCACAAGTCATCAACAAATACATTATTCCTTTTTTACGACAACACAAATTGCAGTCCAGAATAAGTATTGAAATGAGGACAATTGAGAGGACAAAAGCAGCAAACATCATTTTAGGTGATTTGATGTAGAGGAACAATCCTTTATTTAACAAAATGTGTTTGATATCTGTGAAGAAATTTTAATAGGAATGAAATAATAAAGAGAATGATGAAACATAAATGCAAGTGTGTACAAGAAGTATACTTCTTAAGTGATGAATATAACTTTGCGTAGTTTTTTCTTACAAGTATATCATAGAGATTCATACCTTCATCATTTCCCCTTTGATGTTTATTCAAACTTTGTGATTTCCAAGTGTTTAATATAACAGCCAGTAAATTGCTATCGGTTTGTGATTGCGTAGATGGGCTCCAAGGATTGCAAGATGTATGTCTTATGATCTTTAAATGCTTATAGAAGCCATTTTTGAGTTTCGTACTAACATTGAGAATGTTCTCTGTTGCTTTGCAACCAGGCAGGCATTGTTTGAATGGTATGAAGAGTTGATCTATATTAACTGCCATGGGTTCACTGTGTACATTAAAACGTGGCTGTTGATTCTTGCAGTAGTCATTACATTCTCTCACGTTTGGTGGATTGTATTTAACCTTAGATTTAAATTCTGTTTCGTTAACTGTAAGAACAAAATGAAGTTTTTAAGTTAAGCTGTGGTTATTCAACGTCATTCTCACATTTAGTAATCTGGCTTACTTTCGTTTGAAGTAAGGTTCTTGTGTAAATCAAAATTCATTGGCTGGCCTAACCACCTCTTCCAGTCACAAGAAATGTGATCGTAGACAGTATATTTATAAAACTTCTTGTAGTTTTTTAAATCAGGCACAACAATCTCAATTTCTTTCATTTTTGTGGGTTGAGGATAACGTTCCGGACCTGGAACATTGTAACCGACGTCTTTCATGTTTAGTACACATCGATGAACCTTTACATAAAATGGCTCCCTGTCCTTGGGAATATTTGTGAAGTTTTTGCTGTAAATTGAGACAACTTCATCTTCGAGGGCTGGATATTAAAAAAGTTATTATTCAATAAAGTGAACTATATCTTCAAAAACCTGTCGCTGTGTAAATGAATAATAAAAGTCATTTGTTTTCCTACCTAATCCATTGTTTCCTCCATTAACGTTTTTGCTGCATAAGACAAATGCGCAAACCACCCATAATGCCTGTGAAAAGTTGGCAATGGTGCCTAAACGAGATAAACGTTCGCTTGTTAAATCAAAGAGCCCGTTTCCTCGCTATTTTTACGTTGTATAAAGTTAGATTGCGTGTTTTATTAAAGCAAAAAGCGTTTCACGAGAGGTTTGTTTCGATCAATTTAATATTTATACTAATTTTGTGTGTCCTAGGTGATTCAAGTCAGTGATCTAACATTAATCTTGTCAAATAAAGTATCTTTATTAGCAATGAAAATTTTGTCAATTGATATCTATTACGGTATATTTATTAAGTCTACAATCATAGTTACTACTGTCACAATTGCAAAGCATTTTTAGGTACCCATTTTTTTCAGATTCTAGTTCACTTCAAGGTACAACAAACAAGTAAGTTTCTTTTCTTGTTACTTAACACCTCACAAATCTGCTGTTTATGCCTGTTTGTATTGTTACAAAATGCTGCCTTATTTTTTACCGTACTCAATTGTATCAAAGGTATGCTTGACCTCCCATGGTTAACCGCACCGAAAAAATTTTTCTCGTCGAAGGACATCCTTCGACTGATTTAGTACTTGGTAGGAAGCTATGTACTGCTCGAACAAACCTTTCCTTTTGTGGGCGAATTGCTGCAGCAACATAATTATGATGATTCATGTACGCTCCGAAATTGTTAATTGTTTAATATTACTGTATTTAAAATAATCATGCATTGTTCAGCTTAATAATTTTGTAATGTTTAGGAGCCGTTTGTTACTTTGCATTTTTGTCGGTATCGCCTGGGCCATACGAAGGTTGAAAATTGAGAGGCTTCATTCATGTATGCATATATAAATTATAACATGCTCATATAAATGTGAACCTCCTTAATTATCGATCTTCCTAAGACCATGATGGCACAATAACCACCGCTTTACGTTCTTATATGAACTACATTAAAAATATAGAATGTGTACTGCATCTTAAACTGTGTAAAATTCGACACATTAATCCTCCGCGAGGCACTTCAACGGAAGCCTTGATGTTTGAAAGAGCATCTTCACATCAATATTATGGGAAGAGGTTTTTATTTGCCACTCTTGTTTGTTTGGAATGTGATGCTAATTAAGTGGGACTTTCTAAGATCACTTTGTATTAAATTCTTCGGTGGTCTGAATTGCTCTCCCACGAAATATATTTGGAGAATTCTTTACCAAATTAAAGAATCGATGATACAATTGAAGTGAGACGGGATGTAGTAATTGTGTGAAAAGCAATTTATTATTATCTCGTTTGTATGAGCTCGATCAAGATTGAAAATATTAAGAATTCCTGTTTCGTTCATTCTCATTTTGTCTATTTTGGTTTGACCGCCATAGTTCCGAATATTTCGCAGATTGAATCTAACTGAAACATGTGTGAAGTCAACGTGAAAAATATTTAAATGCATGGTTAAGAAAAGTTTAGAAATGTGGTGTATCACCCGTGGGTAGACCGGAATGGTCATTATTGCACATTTTTGATTTAATTTTTCTCACTCATGGTAGTGGTCAAGGTTTTTAGGTGCGGTGTGTTATGCAACCATTTAATTGCAAATTAATCTGCTAATAATTAGTTTCTCTCCGATACGTCGTTAATAGAAACATTTTACTTCTGTTTAATGCACTATAGAGGCTATTTATGTTGATGATTATTTCATTAGTGAAAAAGCCTTTAATTTTTCTTATCATTTTGAGCGTTTTAAATAAAATAATGAAGTTAAATATAAATTCTGGCAATATGCTATTGTATGAATGTGAAAAGATGTATTTTTATGTCGATTGAAGGTAAATTGGACAAAAAATGCATTTAACACATCTAATAAAAATTTTCAGTTTATTTTCAATAGGAAGTGCATGTTATAATGGTCAACTGCATACCAACATATCTTGAAGACGATCTGTAAAAATTTGGCCGTAGCGACTATTTCTTTCTCTTTTTCTGTAAGTTTTTCCCATGGATGATGCTGCTATGGTTTGCCAAATAGTTTATCACAACAAATTAGCTTCGCGGGGCGATGGTCATAATAATGATAATTTCGTGTCATTTCTAATTTTGAAAACATTTGTCACACCCTACTTGTTTTTTCAGAATTCGGCTTGCTTAACATTGTCAACACATGTTGGGTATGTTTTTTCCTTTTTCGTATCAACAATTATTGTCTGCTGCTGCTGCTAGCTTATGTACATTATGTTTTTCTTTTACTATGCTGTTAACGTTGCTTTACAGTAATAGTTATATTTCATATTCCGGCTTGTTGCATGTCCTAAATCATGATCAAAATTTTCTCTGGCTTGTTTCCATACTTGTCTTTATACGATATTTCAACCAACTTTCCGCTGAAAGATTGTTATATGCAGTGCGGTGTTCATATCAAGATCATATCTTCATTTAATTTCAACTTTCCGCTCCTGCAAGTTTTATAGACATGCGCCCACTCAATTAGAGTTATATATAATTATATAATTATTTTGAAGGATGTTCCTGCATTTTTTTGTTGCCCTGTTGTCAATCATATAAAATGTAGATACTGTTCGACGTTTGTTGAACAAGCTACTACTTTTTACACTTCGTCCCAAACAAAGCTTTTTTGTTTGCATGAGCCGAACGGTAAAGAGATCCTTAATTAGTTAAATATTGTCATCTGTGATATTGTGTTGAACAAACTATCAAAGTGCGTGCGTTTAGGCAAATAACATGGTTGTTTTCGTCAGGCGCTATGTATGATTGTCGTAATGAACACGAATTCGATTTCCGCTCGGCAAGTCTCTCGCTACTGTTTTAAATAATCGCTATAATAATGGAGCACTCGAAGCATTTAGAAAATTCCAACGACTTGAACTTAAGCTGAGAAAAGCCAAACTCGACTTGGATTTTCTTACGACATGCAGAAAGCGCTCTGTGATACCAAGATTCCTGTGGTTCAAAGTAGCTAGTCGTCGTTTACAAAACTCTAGCGCTTATCGCCAATGCCAAAATAAACTCCTTCAAGAAGAAATAAACGGGAAACACGCTCGCATACGCGTCCTCTCAGCACAACTAACACAAGCACACTCCAACCTGGCGTTACTAATCTCCAAAATTGACTTTATACACCTTAAGAATGTCTCCGATCGTGAAAATTGAAGAAAACTAATGCAACATCAACATATCGAAGATCGCAAACTTTTCCGTCTCACATCCAAACATGACAACAACATCCCAATCGACCCTGATAAAGTGGTGTTCAACTTCTCAAACCGCCTCATTACTGACAGAGAGAAAGAAATCCTTTCAAAAGGCTTAAACTTTTCCGTCCCACCGAAAATGTTAAACATTTGCACCTTCCTAACACCCTTTGAAAAACTCTACAACCGCCTTAAACGACAACCTGTTAATGAATCATCAGGATTTTTTCCAGACTCGATCAAATGCAAATTAAAAGACATTGCCCACTCAGGTTTCCGAAGTTACAGCCCACCACCTTTCCTATACTCACAAGAAGACTTGAACATTTTAAATAGTTTAAAAAACGACAGAACTATCCTCATCACTAAGCCTGACAAAGGAAATGGCATCGTAATACTTAACAAAGACGACTACATAAAGAAAATGAACACACTCTTATCTGACACAACAAAGTTTCAACCTCTTGATGGAGATCCAGTAAAAGTCACTTTACAACGAGAAAATCAAGTGAAGTCTTTATTAAAAAAGTTGAAAGAGGCTAAATCTTTCGGCCAAGAAACTTACAAAAAACTTTACCCTACTGGTTCACGAATAGGTATATTGTATGGTCTTCCTAAAATACATAAATGTAACATCCCTCTCAGACCCATTCTTTCCTCCATTAATCACTATTCGTATAAACTAGCAAAGTTTTTCATCGCACTCCTAAAACCCTTCACTATAAGCAACCTTATCATCAAAAACTCCTTCTCTTTTGTTGAAGAAATCGTAAACTGCGAAATCAACTCCAGTAATGTTGTCCTTGCTAGTTTTGATGTCGTATCCCTATTTACTAACATACCTGTTGACGAAACCATCCGCATAATATCCAATAGCATTTTTAACAACCACAAGTACTTCAACGGACTCACTGCAACAGAATTTGAAAAACTACTCTCTCTAGCTGTTAAGAACTGTCACTTTATCTTCAACGGGAAAATGTACCAGCAAATTGATGGTGTGGCTATGGGCAGTCCATTGGGCCCTCTCCTTGCTGATATATTCATGTCCTCTCACGAACAATCCTGGCTTAATAAATGTCCTTCTTCATTCAAACCACTACTTTACCGACGCTAAGTTGACGACTGTTTTTTACTTTTTCATCCCTCCGATCACGTCCCTCTCTTTCTTGACTATCTGAACCGAGAGCACCCTAACATCACATTCACAGCTGAAATCGAACCAAACAGAAAACTATCATTTCTTGACATTGACATGTCTCGCACTAATGGAAAATTCACCACTTCTGTCTACCGCAAACCTACTTTCACTGGCCTCTTCACTAACTTCCACAGCTTCATCCCACTTACTTACAAACTTTCACTAGTCTCCTGCTTACTACACCGCATCTTCAACCTTTGTTCTACTTACGAAAATTTTCATACACAACTCGAATTTACCAGAAAGTCACTCACCAAAAACGGTTTTCCTTCACGCATAATTGACCAAATCACACGTCGCTTCCTTAACAACACCTTTGCCCCTAAACCACCTGTCCTGACTGCTAACAAAATGCCCATCTATTTTTGTCTTCCTTTCACCGGCATACACTCCCTTCAAATTCGCACACAAATCAATAGCCTTTGTGCTGCAGCCTTCCCACATATATCTATTAAATTCGTTTTCCGCCCTTCCCAACGTATCTCTTCTTTCTTCCCCTTTAAGGACAAAATTCCCAAACCTCTGAGATCTGGTGTAGTCTATTTATTCAAGTGTCGAAGCTGCAACACTCGTATGTGGGTCAAACCACACGCCATCTACACACCAGATTTTCGGAGCACTTGGGAATATCCCCCCTTACAGGCAACCAAGTTTCCCACCCTGCGTTATCAAGCATTTTTGCTCACATTAACGCAACTGGACACCCCCCAAATTAGACGACTTTAATATAATCTCCTCTTCCAACGATTCTTATGAACTCTCCATTCATGAGAACCTTCTAATCAATAAATACAAGCCTTCACTTAATGTGCAAGGAAATTCCATTCCACTTAGCCTCTTTTAATTTCTCTTTATTTTACTTCCTAACTTCCTTATCATATAATCCATTTGACACTGCCTCCTTTCGTAGTAATTTAACACCTTTTTGTAAATATAATATTTTGTCTTAACATCCTATTTATTATTTGTCTGAAGATGTCTTGAGTAAAGACGAAACGTTACAATAGATTCAATTTTACAATTTTTCTGGTCTATTTCTTTTGATCTAATCAAAACTTTGTTGAGCATTAATTTTTATTACACGAATTCGATTTCCGCTCGGCAAGTCTCTCGCTACTCTTTTAATAGTAGTTTTAGGCGGCGCTGTACAAACTCTCTTTAATAGCGGGCTGTCTGCAAGGATCTGTCCTTTGTATTTAGATACAGTTCATGCATACTAAATTCATATTTTGTCTTATTGGCATCTTGTTTGTGTCATGTCTTCGCTTGCGGTTACACTCTGCATTCTTCTCACTCTTTTGCATTCATCTTCTCTCCAGCCTGATATCCAAGACTTGATCCGGATCTCTGCGCTCTCTTTTTCTCTCTGTTTTCTCCTTTGCAACAATCTACACAATCATTTCGATCATAGTTTGCTTGCTTTTCATGCAATCTTTGCACTCCTTTTTCTTCCCACAAGTCAACAACAAATACATTATTCCTTTTTTACGACAACACAGACTGCAGTCCAGAATAAGTATTGAAATAAGGACAATTGTGAGAACAAAAGCAGCAAAAATCATTTTGGGTGATTGATGTAGAGGAACAATCCTTTATTTAACAAAATGTGTTTGATATCTGTGAAGAAATTTTAATAGGAATGAAATAATAAAGAGAATGATGAAACATAAATGCAAGTGCTTGCAAGAAGTATACTTCTTAAGTGATGAACATAACTTTGCATGGTTTTTTCTTACAAGTATATCATAGAGATTCATACCTGCATCACTCTCCCTTTGATGTTTAGTGAAACTTTGTGATTTCGAGGTGTTCAAAACAGCCAGTAAATTGCTATCGGCTTGTGATTGCGTAGATGTGCTCCAAGGATTGCAAGATGTATGTTTTATGATAATGAAATGCGTATAGAAGCCAGTTTTGAGTTTCGTTCTAACATTGAGAATGTTCTCTGTTGCTTTGCAACCAGGCAGGCATTGTTTGAATGGTATGAAGAGTTGATCTATATTAACTGCCATAGGTTCACTGTGTACATAAAAACGTGGCTGCTTATTCTTGCAGTAGTCATTACATCCTCTCACGTTTGGTGGATTGTATTTAACCTTAGATTTAAATTCTGTTTCGTTAACTGTAAGAAAAAAATGAAGTTTTTAAGTTAAGCTGTGGTTATTCAACGTCATTCTCACATTCAGTAATCCGGCTTACTTTCGTTTGAAGTAAGGTTCTTGTGTAAATCAAAGTTCATTGGCTGGCCTAACCACTTCTTCCAGTTACAAGAAATGTGATCGTAGACAATATATTTATAAAACTTCTTGTAGTTTTTTAAATCAGGCACAACAATCTCAATTTCTTTCATTTTTGTGGGTTGGGGATAATATTCGAGACCTGGAACATTGTAACCGTCGTCTTTCATGTTGAGTACACATCGATGAACCTTTACATAAAATGGCTCCCTGTCCTTGGGAATATTTGTGAAGTTTTTGCTGTAAATTGAGACAACTTCATCTTCGAGGGCTGGATATTAAAAAAGTTATTATTCAATAAAGTGAACTATATCTTCAAAAACCTGTCGCTGTGTAAATGAATAATAAAAGTCATTTGTTTTCCTACCTAATCCATTGTTTCCTCCATTAACGTTTTTGCTGCATAAGACAAATGCGAAAACCACCCATAATGCCTGTGAAAAGTTGGCAATGGTACCTAAACGAGATAAACGTTAATTTGTTAAATCAAAGAGCCTGTTTCATGGCTATTTTTACGTTGTATAAAGTTAGATTGCGTGTTTTATTAAAGCATAGCAAGCGTTTCACGAGAGGATGCTTCGGTTAATCTAATATTAATACTAATTTTGTGTATTCGAGGTGATTCAAGTCAGTGAACTAAGGCCCCGTCCATTTATAGCCCATGTCAATTTATAGCCCATTGTCAATTTATAGCCATCATTATTCACTATGTAAACATTGACCGTTTTATTGGTCAACTACCTGCAAATAATTCTCGATACTGTAATTGTGACATCGTATCTATAAAGAGTTTGTTGAGATGACTAATAATACAATTATTAAATTCAGCTTTCATATGATATCAAGGATTATTCATACTTTGGTCTATGTTATTCGCCTTAGCTTTGCTTCGACAATATTATTGATATCGATCTGAATATTGATGTCATGCCCAACCTCATCCAACAATTGTATATTACGATGTATTTATGAAATCTACATATGTATTACAATTTCCACAATTGCAAAGCATTATTTTTACTTACCCATTTTTTTCAGATTCTGGTTCACTTCAAGATACAACAAACAAGTAAGTTTCTTTTCTTGTTACTTAACACCTCACAAGTCTGCTGTTTATGCCTGTTTGTATTGCTACAAAACGCTGCCTCATTTTATACCGTACTCAATTGTATTTAAGGTATAATTCACCTCCTTGCGGTAAACCCCAACGAAAAAAAATTTTTCTCTCCTCGAAGTACATTTACCTAACATTTCCTGTTGTGGGCGAATTGCTGCCGTAACATGATTATGATGATTCATGCACTTGTCAAAATTGTTAATTGTTTATTATTACTGTATTTGAAATAATCATGCATTGTTCCAGATGTAAACGATAACATTCTCACGAATGTGAACCTCCTTAATTATCGATCTTCCTACTGTCACGATGGCACAATAACCAACACCTTACGTTCGTTGGTACAAAACTGTATTGAATATAGAATGTGTACACCAAGTGTAAAATTTGGCTCACGACACCCTGCAAGGCACTTCAACGGAAGCCTTGATGTTTGAAAGAGCATCTTAGAGGGACAATACATATACTGTCAAAACGGACCCGTGCTGACGCACGACTCTCAGAATTTCCCTCTGGCTTCTTTCACACTGCAAAAATGCTTGAGTAAATTATACACAATGTTTGAGTAACTCGAATTCGTACGCAATTTTTGAGTAAGTTTCACTCATTGTGGCGTAATGATCAATTTTACTCTTTTCTGGATTAAAGCTGTTAGTCAAAATTTTTAGTAGTTGTTATCGCTGAGTAATTGGTACTCACTTTGAACGAGTTTGTTTTACTCAGCAATTAAGCGTACTTTTACTTAAAACGTGAGTCAGTCATTCTCAATCAATATTTTAAGTAAAACTCTTAGATTATAAAATTTCTTTGTCGTAATGAAAATATAAAAACAAACATCTTTTTTACAAGTTTGAAAATTTTACCATCCAATGGTTGACGCTATACAGGCTTCGTGCAACCGGCACCTGTTGAGTAAATTGATTCTTACTCATTTTTTCTTGAGTAAAAGAAATAAGAGATTTTTAAATTCGAAAAACAGCACGCGCAAAACATTCGAGAAAAAGGCGTGCTACAGCACGGGGTAAACGCACGGTGTTCACGTGTAACATTTGGTCATTCAAATAATTCATGAAGTGTCCTAATTTATTGTGAGGAGGGGAGGGGGGTGTTTTTGAGTGGTATTTCTGAGTGTTTCTTCCTATTAGAATTGCAGAGTTGGTATTATGTCCGTGCCACTTCGTATTAAAATTCATGTTTTTCAAGTGGTTAGTGAGAGCGTTCGTAATATTGACTAATTCGCACGTCCATATAAATGGTAGACAAAGAGCAGAACTATCGACTGTAGGTGTTTGTCTATTGTGCAAAAAAGAACTTGACCAAGCATGCCTAAGGTCTAACTGGAATTTATCGCTGTTGCATATTTTAATTTATCAACTGTCCTATACTCTGAAAGAGAGAAATCAAACACTTTTTGGTCAACAGTATCGTTTGCTATAATAACGGAATTATCTCAACGACTATCGATAGTGGCGGTTAATGAAAAAAACAACAGCGCTTTATGCATATGGCTATGTTGTAAAATTTAAGTAGCCATATTTCATGGAATGGCTGTCAATAACAAAAATTTTTCAACGTCATAAAAATCTTTGCGACTTTCGGTGATCTATTTTAAGACGCCATGAAAATGGCGTGGCATGCGCTTTTTACTTCCGGTTCAATCTACGACGGCAGTTGTGTTGACGGCTTCGACGTGAAAACATACAATTTGACGTCGTGTCGGCGACGGAATTATTTTTGATATTTGCCTCTCCTAAAATATTATATAGGCCTACATATATTCATTTAAGAAAAAACAGCGAATGTTTTGTTTCCTAAAGCGAAAAAAAACACAAACAAATAAACAAAGTGAGGTCTGCCCTAATTTCGGGGGCTTCCTCGGAGTCAAAACAATTTTAGTCACAAAACCGCATGTCGATGATTTTGCTTTTATTTATAATTTTTTAAAATAAATATACTGCAGTATATTTTTGATATCAAAAATTTGGTTTAAAATCATCGGAAAACACGATTCAACAGGAAAAATGCCGAAATGGATGAAACTTGTTTCATACTATAATTTAACGAAGTCCTACAAAAGGTTTGCTAAATCATAAATACTTTACGACGTGGTGGCGTCCTAGACCCAGATCCCTCGCGAAAATTTGACGACTTATTAGTCGAAACGTCGTTTTTGCTAAATCACTTTATTGCTCAAGGGAGGAGGCTCTGCTAAGGGAGTTTGGACTGCCTTAAACAAGTTTGTTTTTGAGATATTTAAATGCTTTTTATGAAAATACAATTATCTCCTTGATGAATCAATTCAAGACAAAAAAAAGATAGAAACAGAGTTACAGAAACCATGAAACTTTCATTCACTTTCGTGTTATTCTAGAAAAAATCACATCTTACAAGAAAGGAACAATAAAAAGAAATATGTGAAGTGCCTGAACTTTAGAGAGTAATTTCAGTGCTTTTAAAAATACTTTTAGGCGTGGGGGATGTACAAACACTCTTTAATAGCGGGGCTGTCTGCAAGGAGAGAGTTTGTTGTATTTTTATATTGTTCATACATGCTAAATTTATATTTTCTCTTATTGGCATCTTGTTTGTGTCATGTCTTCGCTTGCGGTTACACTCTGCATTCTTCTCACTCTTTTGCATTCATCTTCTTCTCTCCAGCCTGATATCCAAGACTTGATCCGGATCTCTGCTCTCTCTTTTTCTCTCTGTTTTTCTCCTTTGCAACAATCTACACAATCATTTCGATCATAGTTTGCTTGCTTTTGATGCAATCTTTGCACTCCTTTTTCTTTCCACAAGTCAACAACAAATACATTATTCCTTTTTTACGACAACACAGACTGCAGTCCAGAATAAGTATTGAAATAAGGACAATTGTGAGAACAAAAGCAGCAAAAATCATTTTGGGTGATGTGATGTAGAGGAACAATCCTTTATTTAACAAAATGTGTTTGATATCTGTGAAGAAATTTTAATAGGAATGAAATAATAAAGAGAATGATGAAACATAAATGCAAGTGTGTACAAGAAGTATACTTCTTAAGTGATGAACATAACTTTGCGTAGTTTTTTCTTACAAGTACATCATAGAGATTCATACCTTCATCACTCTCCCTTTGATGTTTAGTGAAACTTTGTGATTTCGAGGTGTTCAAAACAGCAAGTAAATTGCTATCGGCTTGTGATTGCGTAGATGGGCTCCAAGGATTGCAAGATGTATGTTTTATGATAATGAAATGCGTATAGAAGCCAGTTTTGAGTTTCGTTCTAACATTGAGAATGTTCTCTGTTGCTTTGCAACCAGGCAGGCATTGTTTGAGTGGTATGAAGAGTTGATCTATATTAACTGCCATGGGTTCACTGTGTACATAAAAACGTGGCTGTTGATTCTTGCAGTAGTCATTACATCCTCTCACGTTTGGTGGATTGTAATTAACCTTAGATTTAAATTCTGTTTCGTTAACTGTAAGAACAAAATGAAGTTTTTAAGTTAAGCTGTGGTTATTCAACGTCATTCTCACATTCAGTAATCCGGCTTACTTTCGTTTGAAGTAAGGTTCTTGTGTAAATCAAAGTTCATTGGCTGGCCTAACCACTTCTTCCAGTTACAAGAAATGTGATCGTAGACAATATATTTATAAAACTTCTTGTAGTTTTTTAAATCAGGCACAACAATCTCAATTTCTTTCATTTTTGTGGGTTGGGGATAATATTCGAGACCTGGAACATTGTAACCGTCGTATTTCATGTTGAGTACACATCGATGAACCTTTACATAAAATGGCTCCCTGTCCTTGGGAATATTTGTGAAGTTTTTGCTGTAAATTGAGACAACTTCATCTTCGAGGGCTGGATATTAAAAAAGTTATTATTCAATAAAATGAACTATATCTTCAAAAACCTGTCGCTGTTTAAATGAATAATAAAAGTCATTTGTTTTCCTACCTAATCCATTGTTTCCTCCATTAACGTTTTTGCTGCATAAGACAAATGCGAAAACCACCCATAATGCCTGTGAAAAGTTGGCAATGGTACCTAAACGAGATAAAAGTTAACTTGTTAAATCAAAGAGCCTGTTTCATGGCTATTTTACGTTGTATAAAGTTAGATTGCGTGTTTTATTAAAGCATAGCAAGGGTTTCACGAGAGGATGCTTCGGTTAATCTAATATTAATACTAATTTTGTGTATTCGAGGTGATTCAAGTCAGTGAACTAAGGCCCCGTCCATTTATAGCCCATGTCAATTTATATGTCCCCATTATTATTCACTATGTAAACATTGACCGTTTTATTGGTCAAGTACCTGCAAATAATTCTCGATACTGTAATTGTGACATCGTATCTACAAAGAGTTTGTTAAGATGACTAATAATACAATTATTAAATTCAGCTTTCATATGATATCAAGGATTATTTATACTTCGGTCTATGTTATTCGCCTTAGCTTTGCTTCGACAATATTATTGATATCGATCTGAATATTGATGTCATGCCCAACCTCATCCAACAATTGTATATTACGATGTATTTATGAAATCTACATATGTATTACAATTTCCACAATCGCAAAGCATTATTTTTACTTACCCATTTTTTTCAGATTCTGGTTCACTTCAAGATACAACAAACAAGTAAGTTTCTTTTCTTGTTACTTAACACCTCACAAGTCTTCTGTTTATGCCTGTTTGTATTGCTACAAAACGCTGCCTCATTTTATACCGTACTCAATTGTATTTAAGGTATAATTCACCTCCTTGCGGTAAACCCCAACGAAAAAAAATTTTTCTCTCCTCGAAGTACATTTACCTAACATTTCCTGTTGTGGGCGAATTGCTGCCGTAACATGATTATGATGATTCATGCACTTGTCGAAATTGTTAATTGTTTATTATTACTGTACTTGAAATAATCATGCATTGTTCCAGATGTAAACGATAACATTCTCACGAATGTGAACCTCCTTAATTATCGATCTTCCTACTGTCACGATGGCACAATAACCAACACCTTACGTTCGTTGGTACAAAACTGTATTGAATATAGAATGTGTACACCAAGTGTAAAATTTGGCTCACGACACCCTGCAAGGCACTTCAACGGAAGCCTTGATGTTTGAAAGAGCATCTTAGAGGGACAATACATATACTGTCAAAACGGACCCGTGCTGACGCACGACTCTCAGAATTTTCCTCTGGCTTCTTTCACACTGCAAAAATGCTTGAGTAAATTATACACAATGTTTGAGTAACTCGAATTCGCACGCAATTTTTTGAGTAAGTTTCACTCATTGTGGCGTAATGATCAATTTTACTCTTTTCTGGATTAAAGCTGTTAGTCAAAATTTTTAGTAGTTGTTATCGCTGAGTAATTGGTACTCACTTTGAACGAGTTTGTTTTACTCAGCAATTAAGCGTACTTTTACTTAAAACGTGAGTCAGTCATTCTCAATCAATATTTTAAGTAAAACTCTTAGATTATAAAATTTCTTTGTCGTAATGTGAAAATATAAAAACAAACATCTTTTTTACAAGTTTGAAAATTTTACCATCCAATGGTTTACGCTATACAGGCTTCGTGCAACCGGCCCTTGTTGAGTAAATTGATTCTTACTCATTTTTTCTTGAGTAAAATAAATAAGAGATTTTTAAATTCGAAAAACAGCACGCGCAAAACATTCGAGAAAAAGGCGTGCTACAGCACGGGGTAAACGCACGGTGTTCACGTGTAACATTTGGTCATTCAAATAATTCATGAAGTGTCCTAATTTATTGTGAGGAGGGGAGGGGGGTGTTTTTGAGTGGTATTTCTAAGTGTTTCTTCCTATTAGAATTGCAGAGTTGGTATTATGTCCGTGCCACTTCGTATTAAAATTCATGTTTTTCAAGTGGTTAGTGAGAGCGTTCGTAATATTGACTGATTCGCACGTCCATATAAATGGTAGACAAAGAGCAGAACTATCAACTGTACGTGTTTGTCTATTGTGCAAAAAAGAACTTGACCAAGCATGCCTAAGGTCTAACTGGAATTTATCGCTGTTGCATATTTTAATTTATCAACTGTCCTATACTCTGAAAGAGAGAAATCAAACACTTTTTGGTCAACAGGATCGTTTGCTATAATAACGGAATTATCTCAACGACTATCGATAGTCGCGGTTAATGAAAAAAACAACAGCGCTTTATGCATATGGCTATGTTGTAAAATTTAAGTAGCCATATTTCATGGAATGGCTGTCAATAACAAAAATTTTTCAACGTCATAAAAATCTTTGCGACTTTCGGTGATCTATTTTAAGACGCCATGAAAATGGCGTGGCATGCGCTTTTTACTTCCGGTTCAATCTACGACGGCAGTTGTGTTGACGGCTTCGACGTGAAAACATACAATTTGACGTCGTGTCGGCGACGGAATTATTTTTGATATTTGCCTCTCCTAAAATATTATATAGGCCTACATATATTCATTTAAGAAAAAACAGCGAATGTTTTATTTCCTAAAGCGAAAAAAAACACAAACAAATAAACAAAGTGAGGTCTGCCCTAATTTCGGGGGCTTCCTCGGAGTCAAAACAATTTTAGTCACAAAACCGCATGTCGATGATTTTGCTTTTATTTATAATTTTTTAAAATAAATATACTGCAGTATATTTTTGATATCAAAAATTTGGTTTAAAATCATCGGAAAACACGATTCAGCAGGAAAAATGCCGAAATGGATGAAACTTGTTTCATACTATAATTTAACGAAGTCCTACAAAAGGTTTGCTAAATCATAAATACTTTACGACGTGGTGGCGTCCTAGACCCAGATCCCTCATGAAAATTTGACGACTTATTAGTCGAAACGTTGTTTTGCTAAATCACTTTATTGCTCAAGGGAGGAGGCTCTGCTAAGGGAGTTTGGACTGCCTTAAACAAGTTTGTTTTGAGATATTTAAATGCTTTTATGAAAATACAATTATCTCCTTGATGAATCAATTCAAGACAAAAAAAAGATAGAAACAGAGTTACAGAAACCATGAAACTTTCATTCACTTTCGTGTTATTCTAGAAAAAATCACATCTTACAAGAAAGGAACAATAAAAGAAATATGTGAAGTGCCTGAACTTTAGAGATAATTTCAGTGCTTTTAAAATACTTTTAGGCGTGGGGATGTACAAACACTCATTAATAGCGGGGCTGTCCAGGAGAGAGTTTGTTGTATTTGTATATAGTTCATACATTCTAAATTCATAATTCTCTTATTGGCATCTTGTTTGTGTCATGTCTTCGCTTGCGGTTACACTCTGCATTCTTCTTCTTGTGCATTCATCCTGTCTCTCCAGCCTGATATCCAAGACTTGATCCGGATCTCTGCTCTCTTCATTTCTTCTGTTTTTCTCTTTGCAACAATCTACACAATCATTTCGATCATAGTTTGCTTGCTTTTGATGCAATCTTTGCACTCCTTTTTCTTTCCACAAGTCAACAACAAATACATTATTCCTTTTTTACGACAACACAGACTGCAGTCCAGAATAAGTATTGAAATGAGGACAATTGTGAGAACAAAAGCAGCAAAAATCATTTTGGGTGATGTGATGTAGAGGAACAATCCTTTATTTAACAAAATGTGTTTGATATCTGTGAAGAAATTTTAATAGGAATGAAGTAATAAAGAGAATGATGAAACATAAATGCAAGTGTGTACAAGAAGTATACTTCTTAAGTGATGAACATAACTTTGCTTTGTTTTTTCTTACAAGTATATCATAGAGATTCATACCTTCATCACTTCCCCTTTGATGTTTATTCAAACTGTGTGATTTCGAGATGTTTAAAACAGCCAGTAAATTGCTATCGGTTTGTGATTGCGTAGATGGGCTCCAAGGATTGCAAGATGTATGTCTTATGATCTTTAAATGCTTATAGAATGCGCAAGAATGCGCAAGATGTATGTCCATTTTTGAGTTTCGTGCTAACATTGCGAATGTTCTCTGTTGCTTTGCAACCAGGCAGGCATTGTTTGAATGGTATGAAAAGTTGATCTATATTAACTGCCATGGGTTCACTGTGTACATTAAAACGTGGCTGTTGATTCTTGCAGTAGTCATTACATCCTCTCACGTTTGGTGGATTGTATTTAACCTTAGATTTAAATTCTGTTTCGTTAACTGTAAGAAAAAAAATGAAGTTTTTAAGTTAAGCTGTGGTTATTCAACGTCATTCTCACATTCAGTAATCCGGCTTACTTTCGTTTGAAGTAAGGTTCTTGTGTAAATCAAAGTTCATTGGCTGGCCTAACCACTTCTTCCAGTTACAAGAAATGTGATCGTAGACAATATATTTATAAAACTTCTTGTAGCTTTTAAATCAGCAACGACGATCTCAATTTCTTTCATTTTGTGGGTTGGGGATAATATTCGAGACCTGGAACATTGTAACCGTCGTCTGTCATGTTGAGTACACATCGATGTACCTTTACATAAAATGGCTCCCTGTCCTTGGGAATATTTGTGAAGTTTTGCTGTAAATTGAGACAACTTCATCTTCGAGTGCTGGATATTAAAAAGTTATTATTCAATAAAGTGAACTATATCTTCAAAACCTGTTGCTGTGTAAATGAATAATAAAAGTCATTTGTTTTCCTACCTAATCCATTGTTTCCTCCATTAACGTTTTTGCTGCATAAGACAAATGCAAACCACCCATAATGCCTGTGAAAAGTTGGCAATGGTACCTAAACGAGATAAACGTTCGCTTGTTAAATCAAAGAGCCCGTTTCCTCGCTATTTTTACGTTGTATAAAGTTAGATTGCGTGTTTTATTAAAGCAAAAAGCGTTTCACGAGAGGTTTGTTTCGATCAATTTAATATTTATACTAATTTTGTGTGTCCGAGGTGATTCAAGTCAGTGATCTAACATTAATCTTGTCAAATAAAGTATCTTTATTAGCAATGAAAATTTTGTCAATTGATATCTATTACGGTATATTTATTAAGTCTACAATCATAGTTACTACTGTCACAATTGCAAAGCATTTTTACGTACCCATTTTTTTCAGATTCTAGTTCACTTCAAGGTACAACAAACAAGTAAGTTTCTTTTCTTGTTACTTAACACCTCACAAATCTGCTGTTTATGCCTGTTTGTATTGTTACAAAATGCTGCCTTATTTTTTACCGTACTCAATTGTATCAAAGGTATGCTTGGACCTCCCATGGTAACCGCACCGAAAAAAAAAAATTTTTCTCGTCGAAGGACATCCTTCGACTGATTTAGTACTTGGTAGGAAGCTATGTACTGCTCGAACAAACCTTTCCTTTGTGGGCGAATTGCTGCAGCAACATAATTATGATGATTCATGTACGCTCCGAAATTGTTAATTGTTTAATATTACTGTATTTAAAATAATCATGCATTGTTCAGCTTAATAATTTTGTAATGTTTAGGAGCCGTTTGTTACTTTGCATTTTGTCGGTATTGTCTGGGCCATACGAAGGTTGAAAATTGAGAGGCTTCATTCATGTATGCATATATAAATTATAACATGCTCATATGAATGTGAACCTCCTTAATTATCGATCTTCCTAAGACCATGATGGCACAATAACCACCGCTTTACGTTCTTATATGAACTAAATTAAAATATAGAATGTGTACTGCATCTTAAACTGTGTAAAATTCGACACATTAATCCTCCGCGAGGCACTTCAACGGAAGCCTTGATGTTTGAAAGAGCATCTTCACATCAATATTATGGGAAGAGGTTTTATTTGCCACTCTTGTTTGTTTGGAATGTGATGCTAATTAAGTGGGACTTTCTAAGATCACTTTGTATTAAATTCTTCGGTGGTCTGAATTGCTCTCCCACAAAATATATTTGGAGAATTCTTTACCAAATTAAAGAATCGATGATACAATTGAAGTGAGACGGGATGTAGTAATTGTGTGAAAAGCAATTTATTATTATCTCGTTTGTATGAGCTCGATCAAGATTGAAAATATTAAGAATTCCTGTTTCGTTCATTCTCATTTTGTCTATTTTGGTTTGACCGCCATAGTTCCGAATATTTCGCAGATTGAATCTAACTGAAACATGTGTGAAGTCAACGTGAAAAATATTTAAATGCATGGTTAAGAAAAGTTTAGAAATGTGGTGTATCACCCGTGGGTAGACCGGAATGGTCATTATTGCACATTTTGATTTAATTTTTCTCACTCATGGTAGTGGTCAAGGTTTTTAGGTGCGGTGTGTTATGCAACCATTTAATTGCAAATTAATCTGCTAATAATTAGTTTCTCTCCGATACGTCGTTAATAGAAACATTTTACTTCTGTTTAATGCACTATAGAGGCTATTTATGTTGATGATTATTTCATTAGTGAAAAGCCTTTAATTTTTCTTATCATTTTGAACGTTTTAAATAAAATAATGAAGTTAAATATAAATTCTGGCAATATGCTATTGTATGAATGTGAAAAGATGTATTTTATGTCGATTGAAGGTAAATTGGACAAAAATGCATTTAACACATCTAATAAAATTTTCAGTTTATTTTCAATAGCAAGTGCATGTTATAATGGTCAACTGCATACCAACATATCTTGACGACGATCTGTAAAATTTGGCCGTAGCGACTATTTCTTTCTCTTTTTCGTAAGTTTTTCCCATGGATGATGCTGCTATGGTTTGCCAAATAGTTTATCACAACAAATTAGCTTCGCGGGGCGATGGTCATAATAATGATAATTTCGTATCATTTCTAATTTTGAAAACATTTGTCACACCCTATTTGTTTTTTCAGAATGCGGCTTGCTTAACATTGTCAACACATATTGGGTATGTTTTTTCCTTTTTCGTATCAACAATTATTGTCTGCTGCTGCTGCTAGCTTATGTCCATTATGTTTTTCTTTTACTATGCTGTTAACGTTGCTTTACAGTAATAGTTATATTTCATATTCCAGCTTGTTGCATGTCCTAAATCATGATCAAAATTTTTCTCTGGCTAGTTTCCATACTTGTCTTTATACGATATTTCAACCAACTTTCCGCTGAAAGATTGTTATATGCAGTGCGGTGTTGATATCAAGATCATATCATCATTTAATTTCAACTTTCCGCTCCTGTAAATTTTATAGACATGCGCCCACTCAATTAGAGTTATATATAATTATATAATTATTTTGAAGGATGTTACTGCATTTTTTTGTTGCCCTGTTGTCAATCATATAAAATGTAGATACTGTTCGACGTTTGTTGAACAAGCTACTACTTTTTACACTTCGTCCCAAACAAAGCTTTTTGTTTGCATGAGCCGAACGGTAAAGAGATCCTTAATTAGTTAAATATTGTCATCTGTGATATTGTGTTGAACAAACAATCCAAGCGCGTGCGTTTAGGCAAATAACATGGTTGTTTTCGTCAGGCGCTATGTATGATTGTCGTAATGAACACGAATTCGCTTTCCGCTCGGCAAGTCTCTCGCTACTATTTTAAATAATCGCTATAATAATGGAGCACTCGAAGCATTTAGAAAATTCCAACGACTTGAACTTAAGCTGAGAAAAGCCAAACTCGACTTGGATTTTCTTACGACATGCAGAAAGCGCTCTGTGATACCAAGATTCCTGTCGTTCAAAGGAGCTAGTCATCGTTTACAAAACTCTAGCGCTTATCGCCAATGCAAAAATAAACTCCTTCAAGAAGAAATAAACGGGAAACACGCTCGCATACGCGTCCTCTCAGCACAACTAACACAAGCACACTCCAACCTGGCGTTACTAATCTCCAAAATTGACTTTATACACCTTAAGAATGTCTCCGATCGTGAAAATTCAAGAAAACTAATGCAACATCAACATATCCAAGATCGCAAACTTTTCCGTCTCACATCCAAACATGACAACAACATCCCAATCGACCCTGATAAAGTGGTGTTCAACTTCTCAAACCACCTCATTACTGACAGAGAGAAGGAAATCCTTTCAAAGGCTTAAACTTTTCCGTCCCACCGAAAATGTTAAACATTTGCACCTTCCTAACACCCTTAGAAAAACTCTACAACCGCCTTAAACGAGAACCTGTTAATGAATCATCAGGTTTTTCCAGACTCGATCAAATGCAAATTAAAAGACATTGCCCACTCAGGTTTCCGAAGTTACAGCCCACCACCTTTCCTATACTCACAAGAAGACTTGAACATTTTAAATAGTTTAAAAAACGACAGAACTATCCTCATCACTAAGCCTGACAAAGGAAATGGCATCGTAATACTTAACAAAGACGACTACATAAAGAAAATGAACACACTCTTATCTGACACAACAAAGTTTCAACCTCTTGATGGAGATCCAGTAAAAGTCACTTTACAACGAGAAAATCAAGTGAAGTCTTTATTAAAAAAGTTGAAAGATGCTAAATCTATCGGCCAAGAAACTTACAAAAAACTTTACCCTACTGGTTCACGAATAGGTATATTGTATGGTCTTCCTAAAATACATAAATGTAACATCCCTCTCAGACCCATTCTTTCCTCCATTAATCACTATTCGTATAAACTAGCAAAGTTTTTTATCCCACTCCTAAAACCCTTCACTACAAGCAACTTTATCATCAAAACTCCTTCTCTTGTCGAAGAAATCGTAAACTGCGAAATCAACTCCAGTAATTTTGTCCTTGCTAGTTTTGATGTCGTATCCCTATTTACTAACATACCTGTTGACGAAACCATCCGCATAATATCCAATAGCATTTTTAACAACCACAAGTACTTCAACGGACTCACTGCAACAGAATTTGAAAAACTACTCTCTCTAGCTGTTAAGAACTGTCACTTTATCTTTAACGGGAAAATGTACCAGCAAATTGATGGTGTGGCTATGGGCAGTCCATTGGGCCCTCTCTTTGCTGATATATTCATGTCCTCTCACGAACAATCCTGGCTTAATAAATGTCCTTCTTCATTCAAACCACTACTTTACCGACGCTAAGTTGACGACTGTTTTTACTTTTCATCCCTCCGATCACGTCCCTCTCTTTCTTGACTATCTGAACCGAGAGCACCCTAACATCACATTCACAGCTGAAATCGAACAAAACAGAAAACTATTATTTCTTGACATTGACATCTCTCGCAGATGAGTGGAAGCCCGTGACCAATGGTCGAGAGATCTCACTCTTTGAGGTTTTGCAATGAGCCAGTCAAACGCGTAAAACATCTTTTATAAATTAACATTAATTCAAAACAGATAAATATTCCAACTTCTAATTCATTCTCTATATATATTCATGATGATTTGCAAATTATCGTTATTGATTATTTGCAAAATTTTGATTGAATTTATTGAATAAGCTCTGTCGGATGCAAAGGCTAATGCAAATTGCAAACTCGGCAAGAGACCAATCAGCGCATGCATTTTCTTGTTCTTATCGTACAATTGATATTACTCAAAATCCCTCACTTCGGGGAGTGGACAAGTATGCAGGATAAAGGTGCATTCCCCGTGACTGTATGGTGAAATAATAAAAATTTTCTTAAACAATGAAGGAAAAGCTTATGGAATAGCATTAATCTTTTCGGTGGGAATTAAGTTCGGTGTGCTATAACGTAATATTATGTATGTTTTCACTTACCTACACGCCTTTCTCTGTTGTATTGAAAGACTGTTAAATTGGTGGAGCATTTACACTTGGTGTGATTATGAAATGTATTCGTAATATTTAAACGTCAGTGAATCTCTCAGTACATGCCTATCTTTGCCATCTCACTGGTTTCGACGGATAGTGAGTTTGTGAATATTCTGCACAGCGGTGTATTTTGATGAAATATGGTCCGAAGCCTTGGGGGCTTCGTCAAATTTGTCACGTATATGGACACAACATCTTCCTGAGGTTCACACGTTTTCTTGGCTGGAAATATAAGTACATATTAATTTGGCTTGTCTGTGGACGAACAATTTTCAATTGTGAGAAACCAAATGAAAATCTTGAACGCTATTTCATTATACAATCAGTAAATTCAACATGTTTAGTTTTGTATGTTTACCTGCTGCTGCACAGAGCTGGCATAGTGTTAAAACAATAACATAAACTTCCTTTTTACTTCTTAAAAAATATCGATCTGTGATGAAAGATAAAAGCGCAATCAGTACCTGATGCAAAATATATTAAAACTGCCAATTGATTGGATTTTATTAAATTCACAACCAAAGGCATAAACGCATTTATGAATTTAAAATTACAGCTATCATTTACTTTGCTCAACTATGAAATATTTTATACAAATTGATAAGCCATTTTGTAAGTACTAAAACTAGCGTCTTTTTGAACCCAACATACTGGAGATGGTACTGTTAAAAGTATTTTATAGCAATGCAATGAATGTTGCTCTCAAATGAGCGTCTTACAAAGAGTGATAAAGAACAAAGACACAAATGTAAACATCGGGTCATTGGAGGTCAAGAGTGGCGTGAATTGTTCTTATCTTTTTTATATCAATAATCAATATACATATATTATTTGATCATTCGATATATTCATCAACAATTTGTTTAAGAGATGGGGATTCAAAATGATATTTACCCTTTGTCCTTTGTAACTTCCCGTAATGATATTTTTTAATGTCATTTAGTTAACTTTTAGGGCATAGAAAAAATTTAAATGTTTTGTATACATACTTCCTGCGCTGTTGAACCATGTACATATCAAACCGTGTGTGAAAAAATTGACCCTATGCTATATTCTTAATTCATGTCAACGTCTCTACTCTAGGTTCATTTAAAGAATTTTGTGGAATTACTTCAACAAGATTCTTTGACACCGAGGACTTTGTCAAACATAATGCTTCATGATTGGGAGAGGGTCATTATTGTAACAAATTTTATAGCTAAATTGAATACGAAAAACGATTGAATAAATTGGTAATGGCAATCAGCATGGTTACAACAAACAATCGTGCTGTTTCTTTCAACAATTTTTTTATACAATGCTGTTTCTTTGTTTAATTAGGCAATTGCGCATCGACAGCGAATTGTTGCAGAATTTAAAACAATATGTAATCTATACATTGTATGCATCGACGACACATAGTTTGGCTACTATACAAGGTTAACACTACTCGATGGTGCTTTAAAATCGCGCATAAATAGTCATCAGGAAGTGCATACGATAAATTTAACCTAGTAATTCTTCATGGTGCAATTAGAAAAACAAATAGAATGTATAACTTACCCATTTGCTTGCAGAAAAATTGGTTGATCGTTTTTGCAAATCGTCTTTCTTTTCGATGTAAGCAACTGTTCGTTGACTTTTGAACACTTGTAAATGATTTATGGTGTTTGCGTTTTTATATTTATAATGATGCAAGACTTGTTTTCACTGCATGGTGAACCGCACTTTATTTTGTTGGGTTAACCATTTCCTTTGACAAATAATGGTGCAGCAGAAGGATGAATACTCTTTAGGTTATTTTGATACTGTATTGCGCTGTTGAGGTTAGCATTCCTTCATAACTTATTTACGCAACAACACGCAATGCAAGAAAAAAAATAATGCTTTTATTGATTTCTGTAAAGTAAAATAGATCATGTCGTAAAATTTTTTTTAATTCTCGAAGGTTCCTGAGGTTCATGAAAAAATACAGTGGAAGTTGTCCCACTCCAAGTTCTTCAGAAACGCATGCGTGATCGCACCTAACACGCCTTAAAACTTGCTATTTTTTATAAATGTCCGGAATTGTTTTTGACGACTTCTGGTGGGTTTTAATTAGCATGATGTAAAGTGACTTGGGTATTTCATATTTTCCCAGTTGTTTTGATAGGAAAACGCTCAACGGCTAATTGATTTCATATGTGTACAATAAATCTACTTTACAGATACAGTTTCTCCAGTCTTTATCAATGTATGATTGCTATATAGTACATTCAATCACAAGCGTTCTTTTACTTTATTCTTCCAAGCTTAAGGAACAAAATTTTGATAATTTAGCTCGTTATAGATAAGAAAAAGAAATCGTGTGAGCGAGAGCTGTCAATAATTTAGAAAAACCGTTTTCTAAGGAACAAAGAGTTTTGACCGTGTAGTATAGACCGTGAGGTCCATGACGATTATATAGAAAGGTCTGAAGATGATCATCACTATATGGCCTTTTTCTAGAAAAATATATATGGAAAATAGGATTTTCCTCATTTAACTGCAATGGTTCTTAGTACTTCGTTGTTGTTTCTTTCCGTAAAACATTGAAATAATAAAGTACATTCGTAGGTGTGAATTTAACTGTAACGTATTGTCAAAACTGAAATAATTGCGAAAGAATTGCGAAACGGCACAAGTGCGCTTCCGATTGTGATAAACAGTGTTTTTATTAGCCTATAATTACGGTGGCTACCACACAAAATAAAAATATTAATACACAAAATAAAAATGCACATACATTATACACACGAAATACACACAAAAATATTATACACACACAAAATAAAATACACACACAAAATACATTATACACACAAAAAATAAAAATAAATACATTATACACAAAAATAAATACACACGCAAAATATACACTAAAAATGACACACAAAATATGATTGCGGGCGCTTGCAGTGTCGGCTTCTCATTGCTCGTAATTGATCGTTTTTGTTTTTAAAGTTCTAATGGTTCCAACTTCAGAGTACATAACAAATTCACTGATTTCACTGTGATCAATTATTTCAAAGTTGCTTACGAATTGCTAATTATTCTGGTTAAAATTAAGGTTAATGTGTTGTCCTTTGAAAGGACATTATTGGTCTAACCTGTTGTACCAGTTATAAACAGCTTTGGGGTACTTGAAGTTGAAGTTAACGGACTAGCAGAGCTCGAAGGGCAATTCTTGAAGAGACGCTACTCTTCATTGACGCTTCAGACATTTTGGCGAAGTTAATCTTCAAACGCACACCGCATTTGTGACAAAGAAGCTTCGTCAAGTGATTGTAACACAGTTGGCACAAACATAATTATGCCAGGATTATGCAAGGCTTGCTTTCGATTCCTTTAAAATGTAATTTCAAATGTTTCGCAGTTGAAACAGTTAAATACGACGACAAGTCGACCACATGTTAAAATACAATTGGTAATTACATATCTGATTACAAACTGATAATATGACAGTCAGATCATCCGACACTGCAAGCGCCCGCATCAATATTTGTTGTGTATTTTGTGTGTATTTTTATTTTTGTGTTATTATTTTATGATTTTATTTGTTATAATATATTTTGAAACATTTTTATTTTAATGGTATATATCATTTTGTTGTATTCCTAATATGTCAATAAAGTTTTTATGTGTATTTATTTCGTGTGTAATGTTTTATGTAATATTTATTTTGTTAATAATATTTTTATTTTAATGGTGGTTTTGTTACCTATAATTGACGTAGTTACATGAAGCAAAGCTCAAGGTTACTGTTTTACGTGCATAGTGGCCTCTGTTGCGTTTAGTTTGGTTATTTTTGTGACCTAAGCCCTTGGGTTTGGTCTTGTGATGTAAACTTCAGATCATTATCAGTGTTTATTTCTTTGAAGTCTTTATTGTTTCTACGATGAGTAAACACCGAAACGTTGGTGATAAATTTGCGTTCGATAAATACACAAAATTGATCACTAATCCGGAGCCCAGTACTCGGCTATAAATGACATATTTGTCAGAGATTGGATTGAGGATCAGTTTCGCGTATTATAGAACACGTGATTATTACCGAAATATTTGCAAGAGTACATAAACGGCCTAAGATAAATTTCAATAGTTGAACGTATTTTACATTAATTTGTCTTTACATGTCATGGTTGTAGCAAACATTAAACAGAGGAGAATCATTTATTTTTAAACTCCCTTTATTATACGATAAGTGAGAACAAAGTAAACCACATTCCATCCTATCCCCAAATTTGGGAGTTTTAACACAAGTTTGATTGAGAACTTTTGTTTACTGGGAAATTGGGAAGTTTTATATGCATTAAAATCGCCGATTTTTACGACTTTTGGCATATGTGTGAACCACAAGGGAGCATGTTGCTGAATTTCAACATTTCTTTCGGGTGACCTCATGAGGAAGTTATTTGTTTTTTTTTATAGAATCTCGTGGCGAAAGAATGCCAAAAATCCACGGCACTATGTGAATTACCGTCTCTTGTTTATTAAGGTATGTAGTTTTGAATTTACCTGTAAATTGATCTACCAAAAGTCTTCATCTGGTTCATTTAAGTTTCAATGCCTATATTTACCAAAATTTCGTTTTTACCGGAATTGTTTTTGCTACTGGGAAGAATATACGCGTAGCTGTGCCTTTCGTGTTAGAATGCTTCTGACTGAAGCCCAGTGCAAACAAAGTCAACATATAGATCCAGCATTTTTGGATACCACATATTGACTTCGTCAGAATCAATTTTTTGTGTGTAATGTTAGGTAGTGCTAAAATTGTGTTAGGTAGTGCTAAAATGCTGACTGTAATTTGAAAGTCGAGGGAAAATTGTTGCTGGAAGTTTTAATTATCGAGGGTATGTGGTGGGATGTGTTTGAAGACACACTGAAAGAGTTGGTCCTATAATGGCATAGGTAGTTCCTGCGATTAGGAAGGGGGATGAGGCATATTCACATGTGCATGCAATAAATAATGCGTATATCGATAGAACTGAAGGCAGAACTTTTACGTGTGAATATTGCCCCACCCTACCTTCACCCCTTCATTATCAAGCTGGCTGTGCCACTGATGATATAGTTTGAATTTACCGGGACCTACAGTCTCACATTCTCAAACAAGCCGTTTTGATAAAAAAAAACACACTGGCGGAAGAGACTATACTTACTTCGATGAATTGCATAAGACTAAAAGATTGTTGTTTAAATTTGGATGTTTTTTCAAAACTGACACGATGCATTTATAAGCGGTAGCAACAGACGATTGACGACAATTGTAAGCTGGTGCTTGGCTATTTAGTTGAATCAAACATAATGGCGTCGATTAAAGGAAAGGAATGGAGTGTGTACCTACTATTGTTTTGTCATCCGAATGTTCTTATCGACTATTTCCTTGCACATAACTGCATAATTGAAGATGAGTCATTTGCCACAACGCATTTCATCATTTGAAGCATTCTGTTTCAAGAAGTCCATTTGACCTTGAAAATCAAAGAGAAATTGCTTAGAATTTCCGACTTAATTGAGGTGAAATATCGACATTTGCGAATGAGAATTATTTGAATGAGAAGAAATATTTTATGGAAGCGAACGGCCTGGTTTTATATTTCTTCTGCAATCTTCTTTTCATGTCTTTCCAGCAGTATCTGCTCATTTCTTTCGAAAGAATAGCTCTTCGAAGTTTGTTAAGGCAAAGAGATGGTAGGATGGTGTGGTTTTAAATTTCTTTGCGGCAATTTTCTTCCTATGTCTTTCCAGAATCATATCTTATCGAGATTTGCTAAAACAACGAGATAATAGGAAGGTGAGGCTTCAAATTTCAAAGGCGATTTTCTGCTAATGATATTCCAGAAGAATATCTCTTTGCTAAAACAAAGAGATGATGGAGTGGCGTGGTTTTGATTACAACGGCGATTTTCTTCTTTTGTATTTCCAGCATCATATATGTCATAGGATCATGTAATTTTTGAATTTTCACCGCAATTTTGTCTCATGTCTTTCCAACAGCAGAATCTTTTCAAGGTTTTTTAAAGCAAAGAGCATTTTTTACTCTTCTTTTTTTTGGCGTCATGATACAAAAATAGTTCAATGATACAAGAATAGTTCAAAGTATCATTTTTGTGTCTTTTAACTGGCGAAATACTAAGAACTCTTGCAATTATTTCCCTTTTTGTATTTGAGGTAGAATGTTTTGCAAGAGGATTTGGAGTACCCATGTTAGTACTTATTGCGGCTTCTTTGTATTATTAGACGTAGTGGGTGTATTTTGACTAATTTCTTTCTTTCGTGCTCGGTTTCCGTTCATATCGATGACTCGACATTTAGTACTTCAAGGACTGTCTTCCCTTTTTAGAATGAATTTTAATTTGTTCGCTCTATTTTACATTTTGTAATGCGTTTTACTTTTCCTAATTTGGTCAAACAGTGAAACCCCGCCTTACGGTCTGCCGTTAATACGGTTATATGACGGTCGTATTTCTATACAAGCAAAACACTGGTGTATTTTATAACAAACAACCGTTTAATACGACCAACCTGTCAGTACTGTCCACGGGTGCATTGTGAAGTCCCATTTTAAATACGGTCAATTGAAATAATAATTGTGTTAATTGACGGAAATGGAGCATATGGTACATGTTGAAAACAATATAAAAAATTACATCGTATAATTGTTTATAATGTTAATTGTACATTTAAATCTCTCGCAGAGGACTTAAAACAAAAGAATAAATATGCAAGCTTCTTTTAACTTCGTTTAGCTTTTAAATTTTTACAGTAACTTCTGCTTTTTTCTTGCTTCAATACTGGCTGATGAATTACTCTTAGAGCCTGATTATATGGAGGCGAGCTGGCCCGGATAGCGTGCTAGCCCTATGATTTCAAGGGACTGAGAGAGGCCAAAACTTCAAGGTTAAAAATTACAACTGTGTTTGCAAAGCGCCACACGTTATTCCTGTTGTAATTCGATAATTCGGGCAAATTGGTTGTTTTAATTTTAAATGTTTTGGGTAGTTATTAAATCAGAATATTGTGAAATTGCTTGAGATGATTTGTCTGATGTTAAGTATTAAATCTTTTCCATTTTCCAAAATCATTTAACGTTTGGCTGAATCCCGGCTACCGGATCATGTTATCAGCCCCTTAGTGTTCAAAGAGTTCTTAGGGCGTAGTTATTAGTTGCGATTTTTGTATGAGATGGTGGCATTATAATTTTCAAATAAACTATTTAACATATCTTTGATGATGTTACGCTTTTATACGGCTATTTTAAAATCCCGGTTTCAAATTCTACAACCATTTGAAAACTTCCATTAAACCGCACTGTCGAAACAAGTTCAAAAATTGTGAACAGAGTGAGGAAAATGGTGTTGAATTCTCAATGATGTTGAAATGTTACGCAAAATTTTATCGACGCATCTGATGCAAATGAGAGAATATTTTTTTCGGAAGAATGAAAACAATTAAAGATCTTCCTGTTGGTTTTGTTGATACGGATTCAGAGATATAATATTGTCCAAAGATATGAATGATCACAATGGCAAAAGATAAGAAACAATACGAGAAAAACTTTAATCAAGCTCAAGAAAATATTTTGTATGATAATGTCACTAATGTGATCTTCATTCTGACGAAGAACAAACACCCAGAGAATGATGAATGTTTAATGACGAGAGTGGTGAGGGTTAAGACGAAGACCAAGGATAATGCGCTTATAGTTTGTGGTAGGATCAATTTAAGATGTTATTGAGGAAAACGGAGTTTAACACGGGAAGTATACTCAAGCTGTTACTTAAGCAGCAACACATGTTGAAAGTGGAAAGCTTGGCAACGAATGACTTTGAATCTAAGAACTTGTCGTGATGACACAGAGAAAACTTGTTCAGTCACTAATTGTTGAAAAAAATGAATTGCATAATGTGTTGAGAATTGAATCAAGGCAGGCTAACAGCCGTAGAAAATTTCATGATGTGGCGGCTCTAGCGTTGGTAAAAGTACTGTACAAAGCTCTAACTAGATAAATAAATTATAACCAGAAAATTATTCTGACGATGTCAGTTTTCCAGAAGTACCTCCAACAAGTAAAGCTGCCTTTAACATAAGAGGGAATACACTCCATTTCGCATTTAAGATTCCTGTAAACACGAGATTTGATTACTTCACACTAAGTATAAATATTGGAACCAAATAAAATTTTGGCGATCTTAGTATTATAATTGTTGATGACTTGTTCCAATATTATGTATATTTCCTCATTGGATATTTGAGGATTAACACATGTTTATCGCATAAGCAACAGAATTCCGGTCAAGGCTTCAATTATTGAGCTTCAAGAGAAGAGAAGATAAGGATTTCGCTAGAATTTTAAATTGCATCATGAAAAGAATAATTAATGAAGCTGACATTAACATTTTAATATTGTAAGAAGGGATTATCTAGTATAGGGGGATATAGCAATGATTTGACTGTTGATGAACATGATCACGATGTTTTTTATTTTCATTAATCCAGAAACGAGAAAGTCTACTCAAAAGAAATTGACATTGAACTTGGCGATTTATTATAAGACATTAAGGTTTTTTTCTAAAGCATCAAAAGACTCCTCAAAAATCACGAGGTAGTTCTCCATTTGTTCCATACTAAAAAAAATGCAAAAAATTGTCTGGCAGCAAAGTCCTCGTTTTTGATGGTATAACTAATTGTGCTGAATGTTAACTAAATAAGTAAATTACCAAGTAATAGGTTCACTAATGCCAAGTATTATGTACCAGTTTTATTTCAAGAAGAGCGTATAATCTGGAGATACGTTCGATAAAGACTTAATGTTGTCGAGATAATCACCATCCGGAGTTAGTACAAGGTTGTTAGGGGGGAGGGTAGTATCGTTATCACTTAATATTTGTTGGGGATATTGTTGGCGGTTGCGAGAGTACGACTGCAGCTGTTCTGTTGCTTTAATTTTGAAACCTTTATTGAAACATTGATTTATTTTTTATACTTATAAAATTCTTGTGAATTTCTATTATTTCCATCCTGCATTAAACAATAGCACCAACTAAATTACTTGATCTTGATGTTCACTGCACAAATTCGTATACTTTCTTCCCCACTTCCAAAATGCTGAATTAATGGGACTGTTGTGTTGTGCTCCAGAGATTGCAAGATATATGTTCTTCAATGACTTCAAACTGGGTTGAACCATCTAGGATTTCTGTTTTGACAATCTTCATTGCCTCTGGGTGATGTGATGTAGACAAATAATCCGTTATTTAGCACGAGGGGTCGACTTTCTGTAGAAAAATTTTATGGAAATAAGATCATGAAGCAAATCGTAAAATATGATTATTTTGCAATTTTTCTCAAAAGTTGTGCACATCTAACTACACGCATAACGCTTTTTGGTTAATTCTTTCAATCATAATTGAAAATTTTTTACCTGTATCACTGCGTCTGCTATTGGAAGGTGGATTTTATGAACTTTTATAGACTTTTGTATTCCAAAAATTACACGATAAGTGTTCCCTGACAACTTCATATAGGGTTGAACCATCTAGGGTTTGTGTTTCGATGTTTGTTGTGTTTTTTGTTGCTTTGCAACCAGGCAAACATTGAGTGAATGGGATAAAGAGATAAGTTAAAAAAACCTTTGTATATTCACTGTGCAGATGAAAACGAGGTTGTGGATGCTTGCAATAGTCATTACATGTTCTCACGTTTGGTGGATTGTATTTTACTTTTGTTGTAAATTCTGTTTCGTTAACTGTAAACACAAAAGGAAAAGCGTTTCAAATTTAGATCTCAGTTTAAATTTTAATTAAATACAGAAGTCCTTACTTTCGTTTGAAGGTAGATTCTTGTGTAGATTAAAGTTCAAAACTGTTAAGGTCCTTTCCCAGTAACAAGAAGTGTGATTATATACAATATATTTATAAAATTTTGTGTAGTTTTTTAAATCAGGAACGACAATCTCGACTTCTGTCAATGTAATAGGTTGGGGCCAACAAACTCCACATCTAGGAATTTTATCTTTTTCCATGACACAACGTTGAACTTTAACATAATATGGCTCCCTGTCCTTCGGAATGTCAGTGAAGTTTTCATCATAAATTGAGACAACTTCTTGCTTGAGGACTATAATTATAGAAAATGAATATTAACGTTGACCATGCCATTTTCATTATGTTTAAAGCCGTCGTTTTTGTACCTAGTGCAGGATATTTCTATCTCCCATTCACGAAATTTAAAAAGATAAACAATCTTGATTTATGAACGAGTACACATTGTTGTTATACATACAATAATATGAAAAGCATTATTAACATTCACCATATTATTTTATGTTTGATTCTATGAAGTTTAATTTCATAGACTTCATATTTTATTGTACCTAATCCATGGTTTCTTCCATTCACCTTTTCGCTTATTTCAAAAACAAAGACCACGAACATTACCCAAGTATATATTAAGTTTTCAAAGATACCTTAAAAAGACAAAGCTTGGTCATACATAAAAAATTGTGTCTATACACGCCTCTTATATTACATAATTATGTATTTCAAATTCGCATTACAGGTTCAATGAAAGATTTTTTATAATTAATGACTTGGTAAAGCACGAACTTTTAAATTCGATGATCAAGGTAGTCTGTTTTACTCACCCATAGTTCGCTCTATGATATTTGCATAGTTGAACGTTACTTACAATGAGCAGGCATGTAACTCTTACGTAAAAACAATCGCAGCTGTTTTTATTATGAGTGGCGGTGCGTGTCATGAAACTTAATCACCTCTATAATGCACGTCGGCACAGCAGGCCATCTATTTATGAGAGTGAGGGTTCAAGAATCAATCATAATTCAGCTCTAATTCAGCTTAATGTCATGAAACTTAATCAGCTCTATAATGCACGTCAGCACAGCAGGCCATCTATTTATGAGAGTGAGGGTTCAAGAATCAATCATAATCATGTGAAAAATGACTGTTAGAGCACGCAACAGCAAGCAGGAAAGCTAAATTAATGAAGGAGCTAAATTTTCGTATGTTTGTATGTATGTATGTATGTATGTACGTATTTTCGTATGTACGAGCAGGCATGTAACTCTTACGTAAAAACAATCGCAGCTGTTTTTGTTATGAGTGGCGGTGCTCGTACGTGTCATGAAACTTAATCAGCTCTATAATGCACGTCAACACAGCAGGCCATCTATTCATGAGAGTGAGGGTTCAAGAATCAATCATAATCATGTGAAAAATGACTGTTAGAGCACGCAACAGCCAGCAGGAAAGCTCAATTAATGAAGGAGCGAAATTTTCGTATGTTTGTTTTTTTCTTTATCGCCATATCATCGGTGTGAAGGTGTTAGTTGAGCTAGGTCGTCTGTTTATGGCGCGCCAAGATGGACATTATTACCAAAATCGAAAATATTTACAACGAAACACATTATCGTATGTCGAAAATAATATACTGGCAACTTTTTCAATATTTGTAAAACGAAACGCAAAAATATAAAAGAAAACAAAAATTCGTTTACCATAATTTATATATACACAACGAAATTTATTTTTCAAGTTATGAAAATTATTTTTTTAAAACGAAACTCATTTATATAAAACGAAATTGACATTCATAAAGCGACATTTTCTTCGAACAAACGACATTTTTACCGCGCCTGCCACTGACATCAAGAAAAACGGCGTTTTGACTTTTCCTCCTCCATAATTTACACTTGGGTTGAACAGTGGAGACGTGTGGTGCATTGAAGTATTAGCTGCTGTAGTCGCTGCTCCTCCGACTGTTGTGGTTGTGGATGAACGACCATTTGCAGGAACAGAGTGCGTATCGTACTTTCAATATTGCCAGCGTTAGCATCGTTATCTCCTTCAAAAGTTCTTTCACAATTGTTGGAGCAATCACTTTCAGAGCTGAGTGATTGCTGCAACAAAGATTTGTCAAGTTATGTAAGTTCCTTCGCGAACATCCTCAAAATTTTAGTATGGATGGCTCTTTGCAACTACAAAATAATGGCTGCAAAAAGCGGTAAAAATGTCGTTTGTTCGAAGAAAATGTCGTTTATGAATGTCAATTTCGTTTTATATAAATGAGTTTCGTTTTATAAAAATAATTTTCATAACTTGAAAAATAAATTTCGTTGTGTATATATAAATTATGGTAAACGAATTTTTGTTTTCTTTTATATTTTTGCGTTTCGTTTTACAAATATTGAAAAAGTTGCCAGTATATTATTTTCGACATACGATAATGTGTTTCGTTGTAAATATTTTCGATTTTGGTAATATTGTCCATCTTGGCGCGCCATATCTGTTTATAGTATGTCAACAACATCCATCGATAGTAGGAAACTAGGTGTTAAAATTAAGGCATGTAAAGTTCAAAAATCTGCTCTAAACACGAAAGGTCATAAAAAATTGAAATTTGCATTTTCGTTATTACAGAATGTCTTTACATGTTTGTAAATATAGATCGTCAGGTTGGTATAGTCCTGAGAAGGACTGTTTTTGTTGTTGTTGACCATTTACTTGTTGTTGACATTTACTTTGGTTCAAACCATTTACTTTATTACAGAATGTCTTGTTGAATCAATCGTCGCCATAGTTCATCCGCAAGCAGAATAAATCAGCTTGCTAGCATGAATTTGCTGCGACAAATAGAGAAAAGCTATACTTTCCTTTAGTATAATAAGAAAACATATTCCGAATAAAATGTTCATGTTTTAATCAATATTTGAGAAACAATCCGATGATGAATTGTAATAAATTCGAAATATTACTGTGTAAAAAAACTGTCTTGTTTGTTTCTTAAGTATTAAGTTTTGGATCTTTTATTCGGAGGAAGTTTTTTATTATACTTTATAAAATTGTCGGCTGGTAATGGATTTTGTATAATCTCAGAACAACTATTCTTTCTATTTACGAAATTTACTAACATTTGGACTTTGCTGGGGTTTTTTCATTTGTGAAAGTCGTCCACAGATTTCAAAATTGCGAAATGAATCTTGTTTGGTATGGTCATGGCAACAGCGTTAAATTGATTCTTTTTCTGTTTTAAGTTAAACTTCCAATAATCCCTGCTCTGACCTAGAGGTTTTGGACGCCAAAATTGACCGTCTGTTAGGAAAGAGAGATGGAGAGATGTTTGAATGTGGAAAGGGCAAAACAGATCAGCCTGCCTGGGTATGAAGAATTACATAATTCCTTGAACGCGGAAAAATGATAAATTCATGTGATTACTAATAAGGGAATTCAAAAAAAAAGTAAAGCTTTGAATGTAGTTTTAGTGAACGCTAATACCTGTCACATTTAAAAGACCGTCACATTTAAAAGACCGTCACATTTTATAGACTATATATGGGCATAAACTTCATTTTTACGACGTAATGTATGACAAGTCGTGTTTGCTAAATTTGTCTAATTTTAATGAATAACATGTACTAAGGAAACTTATAGTTTTGACAATGGTTTGCCCTGTCAGAATTGAATACGCGTGTATGCTAATAATAACGACGAACATGTTTGAGAGAAACTTTTAAGTGAATAGCTCGAGGAAGTAGAACGCCTCGAGAAAAACATCAATGAATTAAGATTCTTATATGGGAAAGACAACAATTAAAGATTTTTGATAAAGCCGCACGAGTTCTTAGACAAGTATACAGTTCATACAATACGTCAATGTAGCTTTCAGCCGTTTCTTGTTTTGTTCTTCTTCATCAATTTTTATGTTATCCTGTTCAAGGCAAAAATTGTGGTCAAAGAAATACTCTATTGTACGATGTGTGTTCCGTGATCTTTTTACACGTAATAAAGCCTGTTTTGAATATTGTTGTAACACTGAAAATGTTCTCTGTTGCATTGCACCAGGCAGGCATTGGTTGAATAGAATGAAGAGTTGAAATACATCATCAACTATAAGTTCACCGTGCAAAGTAAAACGAGGCTGTGGATTCTTGCAGTAGTCATTACATCCTTTTACGTTTGGTGGATTGTATTTAACTTTAGATTTATCTTCTATTAGTATAAGCTATGTCTATTCAAGGTCATTCTCACATTCAGTAATCCGGCTTAATTTCGTTTGAAGCAAGTCTCTTGTGTAAATCAAAGTTCATTGCCGGTCCTGAACTCTTCTTCCAATGACAAGAAATGTAATCGTTGACAATATATTTATAAAACTTCTTGTATTTTGAATCAGGAACGGCAGTCTCAATTTCTTTCATTGTTTGTGTTGAGGATAATGTTTCTCACATGGCACATAGGAACATGTTGGACCGTCAATGACGGCGACGAACCTTTACGTAAAATGGCTCCCATGTCTTAGGGAATATTTGTGAAGTATTTGATGTGGATCGAGACAACTTCATCTTCAAGTGCTAAATATTGATAAAAGACATTAATATTCTTGACAACATTTTATATATAACAATTATAATATATATGGATGAAAAAATACACCAGCATACATAGGTTTATGCGAATTCTCTGTTATGCAAACGATACTATGACAATGATGGATATGATTGACAACACATAGCAAAAAAGCAGAACAGCATATCCTGCCTAAAATAAAAAAATCTACCGATATTTATAGTAAAGACAATGACATCACCTCTTAAAGTATAGTGTTTTGTCGACACAAATATCTGTCGCAATAATATCTGCTAACATCTTTACGATAGTAATGTTGCGAGAAAAAATAGGTATGTATATTATTTCCAACATGTCTGTTTTTTTTTGACAGAAATGGTTTTGCTGCATGGATTAAATCAGACAAATATAGAGACCGTGAAATATGACTCTCTACAATCGTTTCTAATTTTATTTATAATGATTTTTGAGCTTAAATAGAGTGCTTGTTAAAGAGTTGTTCAATACAAAGCTTATTTCCATACAGTAGAAAGTTCGTCCAATACAAAGTTTATCGAATAAAGTTTAGATGGCATATATTATTGTTATAGCGGAATGTTTTGCCTTAATTTCTATCTTGACCACAGGAAAATTCAAGTTTGTTATATAACCAGAAGAAATAAATAAAAAATAAGCATGTAGCAGATTAAACAAGGTGTGTCTATAATTCTCAAAATGGACAAACGGAGATTTACAAGCTACTTCAAATGCGAGATACCAGGAAAAACATAGTTATATCAGTACGCTGATATTAATTTTGTTAGATTTAATTGTATTAGTACCCATAATTTTTCTGCATTTACGCTGACCACGTCACAACTAATTCAAGTCTTGTTCTTGTGGGGTCATTTCCTGTGTCTGCATCAATTTTTATTGATGACTCAGTCTGGTTCTCTGTATTCTTCATTTCTTTTGATTTGTGTCTTTTCAGCATTCTATTAAACCATTTCGATCATGGTTTGACGTCTTCTTATGCAATCTTCGCACTCTTTATTCTTTCCACAAGTCATCAACAAATACATTATTCCTTTTTTACGACAACACAAATTGCAGTCCAGAATAAGTATTGAAATGAGGACAATTGAGAGGACGAAAGCAGCAAACATCATTTTAGGTGATGTGATGTAGAGGAACAATCCTTTATTTAACAAAATGTGTTTGATATCTGTGAAGAAATTTTAATAGGAATGAAATAATAAAGAGAATAATGAAACATAAATGCAAGTGTGTACAAGAAGTATACTTCTTAAGTGATGAACATAACTTTGCGTAGTTTTTTCTTACAAGTATATCATAGAGATTCATACCTGCATCACTTCCCCTTTGATGTTTATTCAAACGTTGTGATTTCCAAGTGTTTAATATAACAGCCAGTAAATTGCTATCGGCTGGTAATTGCGTAGATGGACTCCAAGGATTGCAAGATGTATGTTTTATGATCTTTAAATGCTTATAGAAGCCATTTTTGAGTTTCGTGCTAACATTTAGAATGTTCTCTGTTGCTTTGCAACCAGGCAGGCATTGTTTGAATGGTATGAAGAGTTGATGAATATTAACTGCCATGGGTTCACTGTGTACATTAAAACGTGGCTGTTGATTCTTGCAGTAGTCATTACATCCTCTCACGTTTGGTGGATTGTATTTAACCTTAGATTTAAATTCTGTTTCGTTAACTGTAAGAACAAAATGAAGTTTTTTAAGTTAAGCTGTGGTTATTCAACGTCATTCTCACATTCAGTAATCTGGCTTACTTTCGTTTGAAGTAAGGTTCTTGTGTAAATCAAAATTCATTGGCTGGCCTGACCACTCCTTCCAGTAACAAGAAATGTGATCGTAGACAATATATTTATAAAACTTCTTGTAGCTTTTTAAATCAGGCACAACAATCTCAATTTCTTTCATTTTTGTGGGTTGAGGATAACGTTCGGGACCTGGAACATTGTAACCGTCGTCTTTCATGTTGAGTACACATCGATGAACCTTTACATAAAATGGCTCCCTGTCCTTGGGAATATTTGTGAAGTTTTTGCTGTAAATTGAGACAACTTCATCTTCGAGGGCTGGATATTAAAAAAGTTATTATTCAATAAAGTGAACTATATCTTCAAAAACCTGTCGCTGTGTAAATGAATAATAAAAGTCATTTGTTTTCCTACCTAATCCATTGTTTCCTCCATTAACGTTTTTGCTGCATAAGACAAATGCGAAAACCACCCATAATGCCTGTGAAAAGTTGGCAATGGTACCTAAACGAGATAAACGTTCGCTTGTTAAATCAAAGAGCCCGTTTCCTCGCTATTTTTACGTTGTATAAAGTTAGATTGCGTGTTTTATTAAAGCAAAAAGCGTTTCACGAGAGGTTTGTTTCGATCAATTTAATATTTATACTAATTTTGTGTGTCCGAGGTGATTCAAGTCAGTGATCTAACATTAATCTTGTCAAATAAAGTATCTTTATTAGCAATGAAAATTTTGTCAATTGATATCTATTACGGTATATTTATTAAGTCTACAATCATAGTTACGACTGTCACAATTGCAAAGCATTTTTACTTACCCATTTTTTTCAGAATCTAGTTCACTTCAAGATACAACAAACAAGTAAGTTTCTTTTCTTGTTACTTAACACCTCACAAATCTGCTGCTTATGCCTGTTTGTATTGTTACAAAATGCTGCCTTATTTTATACCGTACTCAATTGTATCAAAGGTATGCTTGACCTCCCATGGTAACCGCACCGAAAAAAAAATTTTTTTCTCGTCGAAGGACATCCTTCGACTGATTTAGTACTTGGTAGGAAGCTATGTACTGGAACAAACCTTTCCTTTGTGGGCGAATTGCTGCAGCAACATAATTATGATGATTCATGTACGCTCCGAAATTGTTAATTGTTTAATATTACTGTATTTAAAATAATCATGCATTGTTCAGCTTAATAATTTTGTAATGTTTAGGAGCCGTTTGTTACTTTGCATTTTTGTCGGTATCGCCTGGGCCATACGAAGGTTGAAAATTGAGAGGCTTCATTCATGTATGCATATATAAATTATAACATGCTCATATGAATGTGAACCTCCTTAATTATCGATCTTCCTACGACCATGATGGCACAATAACCACCGCTTTACGTTCTTATATGAACTAAATTAAAAATATAGAATGTGTACTGCATCTTAAACTGTGTAAAATTCGACACATTAATCCTCCGCGAGGCACTTCAACGGAAGCCTTGATGTTTGAAAGAGCATCTTCACATCAATATTATGGGAAGAGGTTTTTATTTGCCACTCTTGTTTGTTTGGAATGTGATGCTAATTAAGTGGGACTTTCTAAGATCACTTTGTATTAAATTCTTCGGTGGTCTGAATTGCTCTCCCACAAAATATATTTGGAGAATTCTTTACCAAATTAAAGAATCGATGATACAATTGAAGTGAGACGGGATGTAGTAATTGTGTGAAAAGCAATTTATTATTATCTCGTTTGTATGAGCTCGATCAAGATTGAAAATATTAAGAATTCCTGTTTCGTTCATTCTCATTTTGTCTATTTTGGTTTGACCGCCATAGTTCCGAATATTTCGCAGATTGAATCTAACTGAAACATGTGTGAAGTCAACGTGAAAAATATTTAAATGCATGGTTAAGAAAAAGTTTAGAAATGTGGTGTATCACCCGTGGGTAGACCGGAATGGTCATTATTGCACATTTTTGATTTAATTTTTCTCACTCATGGTAGTGGTCAAGGTTTTTAGGTGCGGTGTGTTATGCAACCATTTAATTGCAAATTAATCTGCTAATAATTAGTTTCTCTCCGATACGTCGTTAATAGAAACATTTTACTTCTGTTTAATGCACTATAGAGGCTATTTATGTTGATGATTATTTCATTAGTGAAAAAGCCTTTAATTTTTCTTATCATTTTGAACGTTTTAAATAAAATAATGAAGTTAAATATAAATTCTGGCAATATGCTATTGTATGAATGTGAAAAGATGTATTTTTATGTCGATTGAAGGTAAATTGGACAAAAAATGCATTTAACACATCTAATAAAATTTTCAGTTTATTTTCAATAGGAAGTGCATGTTATAATGGTCAACTGCATACCAACATATCTTGACGACGATCTGTAAAAATTTGGCCGTAGCGACTATTTCTTTCTCTTTTTCAGTAAGTTTTTCCCATGGATGATGCTGCTATGGTTTGCCAAATAGTTTATCACAACAAATTAGCTTCGCGGGGCGATGGTCATAATAATGATAATTTCGTATCATTTCTAATTTTGAAAACATTTGTCACACCCTATTTGTTTTTTCAGAATGCGGCTTGCTTAACATTGTCAACACATATTGGGTATGTTTTTCCCTTTTTCGTATCAACAATTATTGTCTGCTGCTGCTGCTAGCTTATGTACATTATGTTTTTCTTTTACTATGCTGTTAACGTTGCTTTACAGTAATAGTTATATTTCATATTCCGGCTTGTTGCATGTCCTAAATCATGATCAAAATTTTTCTCTGGCTAGTTTCCATACTTGTCTTACGATATCAACCAACGACATTTCATATCCAATTTCAACTTTCCGCTCCTGTAAGTTTTATAGACATGCGCCCACTCAATTAGAGTTATATATAATTATATAATTATTTTGAAGGATGTTCCTGCATTTTTTTGTTGCCCTGTTGTCAATCATATAAAATGTAGATACTGTTCGACGTTTGTTGAACAAGCTACTACTTTTTACACTTCGTCCCAAACAAAGCTTTTTGTTTGCATGAGCCGAACGGTAAAGAGATCCTTAATTAGTTAAATATTGTCATCTGTGATATTGTGTTGAACAAACTATCAAAGTGCGTGCGTTTAGGCAAATAACATGGTTGTTTTCGTCAGGCGCTATGTATGATTGTCGTAATGAACACGAATTCGATTTCCGCTCGGCAAGTCTCTCGCTACTATTTTAAATAATCGCTATAATAATGGAGCACTCGAAGCATTTAGAAAATTCCAACGACTTGAACTTAAGCTGGGAAAAGCCAAACTCGACTTGGATTTTCTTACGACATGCAGAAAGCGCTCTGTGATACCAAGATTCCTGTGGTTCAAAGTAGCTAGTCGTCGTTTACAAAACTCTAGCGCTTATCGCCAATGCCAAAATAAACTCCTTCAAGAAGAAATAAACGGAAACACGCATACGCGTCCTCTCAGCATGGTAACACAAGCACACTCCATTGGGCCTCTCTTTGCTGATATATTCATGTCATCTGACAATCCTGGCTTAAGAATGTCCTTCTTCATTTGAAAACCATGCAACTTTACCGATCTAAGTCGCAAACTTTTACTTCACATCCCTCCATCACGTCCCAATCTTTCTTGACTATCTGAACCAGCACCTAACACCACATTTACAAGGAAATCTTTCAAAACTTAAACTATTCCCACCGACATTGACACATCTCGCACTAATAAAATTCACCACTCTAAACCTCTGCAAACCTACTTTCACTGGCCTTTTCCAGACTCGATCAAATGCAAATTCAAGACATTGCCCACAAGGTTTCACTAGTCCCCTGCTTACTACAAGAAGACTTGAACCTTTTCTATAGAAAAAGACAGAACTATGTTTCTAAATACAAAGGAAAAGGCATGTTACTTAACAAAGACGACTACATAAAGAAAATGAACACACTCATCTGACACAAAAAGTTTCTTCCGCATGATTGATCCAGTAAAAGTCACTTTACAACGAGAAAATCAAGTGAAGTCTTTAAAAAAGTTGAAAGACTGCTAAATCTATCGGCCAAGAAACTTACAAAAACTTTACCCTACTGGTTCACGAATAGGTATATTGTATGGTCTTCTAAAATACATAAATGTAACATCCCTCTCAGACCCATTCTTTCCTCCATTTCACTATTCGTATAAACTAGCAAATTTATTTTCCGCCCTTTACAAGCAACTTTATCATCTTCTTTCTTCCCTAAGGACAAAATTCTAAACCTCTGAGATCTGGTGTAGTCTATTTATTCAAGTGTCGAAGCTGCTAACGCCTCGTATGTTGACAAACCATCCGCATAATATCCAATAGCATTTTAACAACCACAAGTACTTCAACGGACTCACTGCAACAGAGTTTGAAAACTACTCTCTGCTGTTAAGAACTGTCACTTATCTTTAACGGGAAAATGTACCAGCAAATTGATGGTGTGGCTATGGGCAGTCCATTGGGCCCTTCTTATGAACTCTCCATTCATGAACCTTCTAATCAATAAATACTGGCTTACTTAATGTGCAAGGAAATTCCATTCCACTTAACCTCTTTAATTTCTCTTTTTTTACTTCTAACTTCTTATCATATAATCCATTTGACATCTCCTTTCGTAGTAATTTAACACCTTTTGTAAATATAATATTTTGTCTTAACATCCTATTTATTATTTGTCTTGAGTAAAGACGAAACGTTACAATAAATTCAATTTTACAATTTTTCTGGTCTATTTCTATGGCTCTAATCAAAACTTTGTTGGGCATTAATTTTTATTACACGAATTCGATTTCCACTCGGCAAGTCTCTCGCTACTCTTTTAATAGTAGTTTTAGGCGGCGCTGTACAAACTCTCTTTAATAGCGGGCTGTCTGCAAGGATCTGTCCTTTGTATTTAGATACAGTTCATGCATACTAAATTCATATTTTGTCTTATTGACATCTTGTTTGTGTCATGTCTTCGCTTGCGGTAACACTCTGCATTCTGCTCTCTCTTTTGATTTCACCTTATTCTCTCCAGCTTGATATCCAAGACTTGATCTGGATCTCTGCGCTCTAGATCTCTTTTTCTCGCCATTTTCTCCTTTGCAACAATCTACACAATCATCTCGATCATAGTTTGCTTGCTTTTGATACAATCTTTGCACTCCTTTTTCTTCCCACAAGTCAACAACAAATACATTATTCCTTTTTTACGACAACACGGTTGCAGTCCAGAATGAGTATTGAAATGAGGACAATTGAGAGAGCAAAAGCAGCAACCATTATTTTAGGTGATGTGATGTAGAGGAACAATCTTTTATTTAACAAAATGTGTTTGATATCTGTGAAGAAATTTTAAGAGGAATGAAATAATAAATAGAATTATGAAACATAAATGCAAGTGTTTACAAGAAGTATACTTCTTAAGTGATGAACATAACTTGTCGTAAAAATGGCGTGGCATGCGCTTTTTACTTCCGGTTCAATCTACGACGGCAGTTGTGTTGACGGCTTCGACGTGAAAACATATCATGTCTATGTTATTCGCCTTAGCTTTGCTTCGACAATATTATTGATATCGATCTGAATATTGATGTCATGCCCTACCTCATCCAACAATTGTATATTACGATGTATTTATGAAATCTACATATGTATTACAATTTCCACAATTGCAAAGCATTATTTTTACTTACCCATTTTTTTCAGATTCTGGTTCACTTCAAGATACAACAAACAAGTAAGTTTCTTTTCTTGTTACTTAACACCTCACAAGTCTGCTGTTTATGCCTGTTTGTATTGCTACAAAACGCTGCCTCATTTTATACCGTACTCAATTGTATTTAAGGTATAATTCACCTCCTTGCGGTAAACCCCAACGAAAAAATTTTCTCTCCTCGAAGTACATTTACCTAACATTTCCTGTTGTGGGCGAATTGCTGCCGTAACATGATTATGATGATTCATGCACTTGTCGAAATTGTTAATTGTTTATTATTACTGTATTTGAAATAATCATGCATTGTTCCAGATGTAAACGATAACATTCTCACGAATGTGAACCTCCTTAATTATCGATCTTCCTACTGTCACGATGGCACAATAACCAACACCTTACGTTCGTTGGTACAAAACTGTATTGAATATAGAATGTGTACACCAAGTGTAAAATTTGGCTCACGACACCCTGCAAGGCACTTCAACGGAAGCCTTGATGTTTGAAAGAGCATCTTAGAGGGACAATACATATACTGTCAAAACGGACCCGTGCTGACGCACGACTCTCAGAATTTTCCTCTGGCTTCTTTCACACTGCAAAAAATGCTTGAGTAAATTATACACAATGTTTGAGTAACTCGAATTCGTACGCAATTTTTTTGAGTAAGTTTCACTCATTGTGGCGTAATGATCAATTTTACTCTTTTCTGGATTAAAGCTGTTAGTCAAAATTTTTAGTAGTTGTTATCGCTGAGTAATTGGTACTCACTTTGAACGAGTTTGTTTTACTCAGCAATTAAGCGTACTTTTACTTAAAACGTGAGTCAGTCATTCTCAATCAATATTTTAAGTAAAACTCTTAGATTATAAAATTTCTTTGTCGTAATGTCAAAATATAAAAACAAACATCTTTTTTACAAGTTTGAAAATTTTACCATCCAATGGTTTACGCTATACAGGCTTCGTGCAACCGGCCCCTGTTGAGTAAATTGATTCTTACTCATTTTTTCTTGAGTAAAAGAAATAAGAGATTTTTAAATTCGAAAAACAGCACGCGCAAAACATTCGAGAAAAAGGCGTGCTACAGCACGGGGTAAACGCACGGTGTTCACGTGTAACATTTGGTCATTCAAATAATTCATGAAGTGTCCTAATTTATTGTGAGGAGGGAAGGGGGGTGTTTTGAGTGGTATTTCTGAGTGTTTCTTCCTATTAGAATTGCAGAGTTGGTATTATGTCCGTGCCACTTCGTAATAAAATTCATGTTTTTCAAGTGGTTAGTGAGAGCGTTCGTAATATTGACTGATTCGCACGTCCATATAAATGGTCGACAAAGAGCAGAACTATCAACTGTACGTGTTTGTCTATTGTGCAAAAAAGAACTTGACCAAGCATGCCTAAAGTCTAACTGGAATTTATCACTGTTGCATATTTTAATTTATCAACTGTCCTATACTCTAAAAGAGAGAAATCAAACACTTTTTGGTCAACAGTATCGTTTGCTATAAAAACTTAATTATCTAAACAACTTTCGATAGTCGCGGTTAATGAAAAATCAACAGCGCTTTATGCATATGGCTATGTTGTAAAATTTAAGTAGCCATGTTTCATGGAATGGCTGTCGATAACAAAAATTTTTAGAGTGTGACAACAAAAAGACGTCGTGAAAATGGCGTGGCATGCGCTTTTTACTTCCGGTTCAATCTACGACGGCAGTTGTGTTGACGGCTTCGACGTGAAAACATACAATTTGACGTCGTATCGGCGACGGAATTATTTTTGATATTTGCCTCTCCTAAATTATTATATAGGCCTACATATATTCATTTAAGAAAAACAGCGAATGTTTTGTTTCCTAAAGCGAAAAAAAACACAAACAAATAAACAAAGTGGGGTCTGCCCTAATTTCGGGGGCTTCCTCGGAGTCAAAACAATTTTAGTCACAAAGCCGCATGTCGATGATTTTGCTTTTATTTATAATTTTTTAAAATAAATATACTGCAGTATATTTTTGATATCAAAAATTTGGTTTAAAATCATCGGAAAACACGATTCAGCAGGAAAAATGCCGAAATGGATGAAACTTGTTTCATACTATAATTTAACGAAGTCCTACAAAAGGTTTTCTAAATCATAAATACTTTACGACGTGGTGGCATCCTAGACCCAGATCCCTCGCGAAAATTTGACGACTTATTAGTCGAAACGTCGTGTTTGCTAAATCACTTTATTGCTCAAGGGAGGAGGCTCTGCTAAGGGAGTTTGGACTGCCTTAAACAAGTTTGTTTTTGAGATATTTAAATGCTTTTTATGAAAATACAATTATCTCCTTGATGAATCAATTCAAGATAAAAAAAGATAGATACAGAGTTACAGAAACCATGAAACTTTCATTCACTTTCGTGTTATTCTAGAAAAAATCCCATCTTACAAGAAAGGAACAATAAAAAGAAATATGTGAAGTGCCTGAACTTTAGAGAGTAATTTCAGTGCTTTTAATAATACTTTTAGGCGTGGGGGATGTACAAACACTCTTTAATAGCGGGGCTGTCTGCAAGGAGAGAGTTTGTTGTATTTGTATATAGTTCATACATTCTAAATTCATATTTTCTCTTATTGGCATCTTGTTTGTGTCATGTCTTCGCTTGCGGTTACACTCTGCATTCTTCTCACTCTTTTGCATTCATCTTCTTCTCTCCAGCCTGATATCCAAGACTTGATCCGGATCTCTGCGCTCTCTTTTTCTCTCTGTTTTCTCCTTTGCAACAATCTACACAATCATTTCGATCATAGTTTGCTTGCTTTTGATGCAATCTTTGCACTCCTTTTTCTTCCCACAAGTCAACAACAAATACATTATTCCTTTTTTACGACAACACAGACTGCAGTCCAGAATAAGTATTGAAATAAGGACAATTGTGAGAACAAAAGCAGCAAAAATCATTTTGGGTGATGTGATGTAGAGGAACAATCCTTTATTTAACAAAATGTGTTTGATATCTGTGAAGAAATTTTAATAGGAATGAAATAATAAAGAGAATGATGAAACATAAATGCAAGTGCTTGCAAGAAGTATACTTCTTAAGTGATGAACATAACTTTGCGTAGTTTTTTCTTACAAGTACATCATAGAGATTCATACCTTCATCACTCTCCCTTTGATGTTTAGTGAAACTTTGTGATTTCGAGGTGTTCAAAACAGCAAGTAAATTGCTATCGGCTTGTGATTGCGTAGATGGGCTCCAAGGATTGCAAGATGTATGTTTTATGATAATGAAATGCGTATAGAAGCCAGTTTTGAGTTTCGTTCTAATATTGAGAATGTTCTCTGTTGCTTTGCAACCAGGCAGGCATTGTTTGAATGGTATGAAGAGTTGATCTATATTAACTGCCATGGGTTCACTGTGTACATAAAAACGTGGCTGTTGATTCTTGCAGTAGTCATTACATCCTCTCACGTTTGGTGGATTGTATTTAACCTTAGATTTAAATTCTGTTTCGTTAACTGTAAGAACAAAATGAAGTTTTTAAGTTAAGCTGTGGTTATTCAACGTCATTCTCACATTCAGTAATCCGGCTTACTTTCGTTTGAAGTAAGGTTCTTGTGTAAATCAAAGTTCATTGGCTGGCCTAACCACTTCTTCCAGTTACAAGAAATGTGATCGTAGACAATATATTTATAAAACTTCTTGTAGTTTTTTAAATCAGGCACAACAATCTCAATTTCTTTCATTTTTGTGGGTTGGGGATAATATTCGAGACCTGGAACATTGTAACCGTCGTATTTCATGTTGAGTACACATCGATGAACCTTTACATAAAATGGCTCCCTGTCCTTGGGAATATTTGTGAAGTTTTTGCTGTAAATTGAGACAACTTCATCTTCGAGGGCTGGATATTAAAAAAGTTATTATTCAATAAAGTGAACTATATCTTCAAAAACCTGTCGCTGTTTAAATGAATAATAAAAGTCATTTGTTTTCCTACCTAATCCATTGTTTCCTCCATTAACGTTTTTGCTGCATAAGACAAATGCGAAAACCACCCATAATGCCTGTGAAAAGTTGGCAATGGTACCTAAACGAGATAAAAGTTAACTTGTTAAATCAAAGAGCCTGTTTCATGGCTATTTTTACGTTGTATAAAGTTAGATTGCGTGTTTTATTAAAGCATAGCAAGGGTTTCACGAGAGGATGCTTCGGTTAATCTAATATTAATACTAATTTTGTGTATTCGAGGTGATTCAAGTCAGTGAACTAAGGCCCCGTCCATTTATAGCCCATGTCAATTTATATGTCCCCATTATTATTCACTATGTAAACATTGACCGTTTTATTGGTCAAGTACCTGCAAATAATTCTCGATACTGTAATTGTGACATCGTATCTACAAAGAGTTTGTTAAGATGACTAATAATACAATTATTAAATTCAGCTTTCATATGATATCAAGGATTATTTATACTTCGGTCTATGTTATTCGCCTTAGCTTTGCTTCGACAATATTATTGATATCTATCTGAATATTGATGTCATGCCCAACCTCATCCAACAATTGTATATTACGATGTATTTATGAAATCTACATATGTATTACAATTTCCACAATCAAAGCATTATTTTTACTTACCCATTTTTTTCAGATTCTGGTTCACTTCAAGATACAACAAACAAGTAAGTTTCTTTTCTTGTTACTTAACACCTCACAAGTCTGCTGTTTATGCCTGTTTGTATTGCTACAAAACGCTGCCTCATTTTATACCGTACTCAATTGTATTTAAGGTATAATTCACCTCCTTGCGGTAAACCCCAACGAAAAAAAATTTTTCTCTCCTCGAAGTACATTTACCTAACATTTCCTGTTGTGGGCGAATTGCTGCCGTAACATGATTATGATGATTCATGCACTTGTCGAAATTGTTAATTGTTTATTATTACTGTATTTGAAATAATCATGCATTGTTCCAGATGTAAACGATAACATTCTCACGAATGTGAACCTCCTTAATTATCGATCTTCCTACTGTCACGATGGCACAATAACCAACACCTTACGTTCGTTGGTACAAAACTGTATTGAATATAGAATGTGTACACCAAGTGTAAAATTTGGCTCACGACACCCTGCAAGGCACTTCAACGGAAGCCTTGATGTTTGAAAGAGCATCTTAGAGGGACAATACATATAAACGGACCCGTGCTGACGCACGACTCTCAGAATTTTCCTCTGGCTTCTTTCACACTGCAAAATGCTTGAGTAAATTATACACAATGTTTGAGTAACTCGAATTCGTACGCAACTTTTTGAGTAAGTTTCACTCATTGTGGCGTAATGATCAATTTTACTCTTTTCTGGATTAAAGCTGTTAGTCAAAATTTTTAGTAGTTGTTATCGCTGAGTAATTGGTACTCACTTTGAACGAGTTTGTTTTACTCAGCAATTAAGCGTACTTTTACTTAAAACGTGAGTCAGTCATTCTCAATCAATATTTTAAGTAAAACTCTTAGATTATAAAATTTCTTTGTCGTAATGTGAAAATATAAAAACAAACATCTTTTTTACAAGTTTGAAAATTTTACCATCCAATGGTTTACGCTATACAGGCTTCGTGCAACCGGCCCCTGTTGAGTAAATTGATTCTTACTCATTTTTTCTTGAGTAAAATAAATAAGAGATTTTAAATTCGAAAACAGCACGCGCAAAACATTCGAGAAAAAGGCGTGCTACAGCACGGGGTAAACGCACGGTGTTCACGTGTAACATTTGGTCATTCAAATAATTCATGAAGTGTCCTAATTTATTGTGAGGAGGGAAGGGGGGTGTTTTGAGTGGTATTTCTAAGTGTTTCTTCCTATTAGAATTGCAGAGTTGGTATTATGTCCGTGCCACTTCGTATTAAAATTCATGTTTTTCAAGTGGTTAGTGAGAGCGTTCGTAATATTGACTAATTCGCACGTCCATATAAATGGTAGACAAAGAGCAGAACTATCGACTGTACGTGTTTGTCTATTGTGCAAAAAAGAACTTGACCAAGCATGCCTAAGGTCTAACTGGAATTTATCGCTGTTGCATATTTTAATTTATCAACTGTCCTATACTCTGAAAGAGAGAAATCAAACACTTTTTGGTCAACAGTATCGTTTGCTATAATAACGGAATTATCTCAACGACTATCGATAGTCGCGGTTAATGAAAAAAACAACAGCGCTTTATGCATATGGCTATGTTGTAAAATTTAAGTAGCCATATTTCATGGAATGGCTGTCAATAACAAAATTTTCAACGTCATAAAATCTTTGCGACTTTCGGTGATCTATTTTAAGACGCCATGAAAATGGCGTGGCATGCGCTTTTTACTTCCGGTTCAATCTACGACGGCAGTTGTGTTGACGGCTTCGACGTGAAAACATACAATTTGACGTCGTGTCGGCGACGGAATTATTTTTGATATTTGCTCTCCTAAAATATTATATAGGCCTACATATATTCATTTAAGAAAAACAGCGAATGTTTTATTTCCTAAAGCGAAAAAACACAAACAAATAAACAAAGTGAGGTCTGCCCTAATTTCGGGGCTTCCTCGAGTCAAAACAATTTTAGTCACAAAGCCGCATGTCGATGATTTTGCTTTTATTTATAATTTTTTAAAATAAATATACTGCAGTATATTTTTGATATCAAAAATTTGGTTTAAAATCATCGGAAAACACGATTCAGCAGGAAAATGCCGAAATGGATGAAACTTGTTTCATACTATAATTTAACGAAGTCCTACAAAGGTTTGCTAAATCATAAATACTTTACGACGTGGTGGCGTCCTAGACCCAGATCCCTCGCGAAAATTTGACGACTTATTAGTCGAAACGTCGTTTTTGCTAAATCACTTTATTGCTCAAGGGAGGAGGCTCTGCTAAGGGAGTTTGGACTGCCTTAAACAAGTTTGTTTTGAGATATTTAAATGCTTTTATGAAAATACAATTATCTCCTTGATGAATCAATTCAAGACAAAAAAAAGATAGAAACAGAGTTACAGAAACCATGAAACTTTCATTCACTTTCGTGTTATTCTAGAAAAAATCACATCTTACAAGAAAGGAACAATAAAAAGAAATATGTGAAGTGCCTGAACTTTAGAGAGTAATTTCAGTGCTTTTAAAAATACTTTTAGGCGTGGGGGATGTACAAACACTCTTTAATAGCGGGGCTGTCTGCAAGGAGAGAGTTTGTTGTATTTGTATATAGTTCATACATTCTAAATTCATATTTTCTCTTATTGGCATCTTGTTTGTGTCATGTCTTCGCTTGCGGTTACACTCTGCATTCTTCTCACTCTTTTGCATTCATCCTCTTCTCTCCAGCCTGATATCCAAGACTTGATCCGGATCTCTGCTCTCTCTTTTTCTCTCTGTTTTTCTCCTTTGCAACAATCTACACAATCATTTCGATCATAGTTTGCTTGCTTTTGATGCAATCTTTGCACTCCTTTTTCTTTCCACAAGTCAACAACAAATACATTATTCCTTTTTTACGACAACACAGACTGCAGTCCAGAATAAGTATTGAAATGAGGACAATTGTGAGAACAAAAGCAGCAAAAATCATTTTGGGTGATGTGATGTAGAGCAACAATCCTTTATTTAACAAAATGTGTTTGATATCTGTGAAGAAATTTTAATAGGAATGAAATAATAAAGAGAATGATGAAACATAAATGCAAGTGCTTACAAGAAGTATACTTCTTAAGTGATGAACATAACTTTGCTTTGTTTTTTCTTACAAGTATATCATAGAAATTCATACCTTCATCACTTCCCCTTTGATGTTTATTCAAACTTTGTGATTTCGAGATGTTTAAAACAGCCAGTAAATTGCTATCGGTTTGTGATTGCGTAGATGGGCTCCAACGATTGCAAGATGTATGTCTTATGATCTTTAAATGCTTATAGAAGCCATTTTTGAGTTTCGTGCTAACATTGCGAATGTTCTCTGTTGCTTTGCAACCAGGCAGGCATTGTTTGAATGGTATGAAAAGTTGATCTATATTAACTGCCATGGGTTCACTGTGTACATTAAAACGTGGCTGTTGATTCTTGCAGTAGTCATTACATCCTCTCACGTTTGGTGGATTGTATTTAACCTTAGATTTAAATTCTGTTTCGTTAACTGTAAGAAAAAAATGAAGTTTTTAAGTTAAGCTGTGGTTATTCAACGTCATTCTCACATTCAGTAATCCGGCTTACTTTCGTTTGAAGTAAGGTTCTTGTGTAAATCAAAGTTCATTGGCTGGCCTAACCACTTCTTCCAGTTACAAGAAATGTGATCGTAGACAATATATTTATAAAACTTCTTGTAGCTTTTTAAATCAGCAACGGCGATCTCAATTTCTTTCATTTTTGTGGGTTGGGGATAATATTCGAGACCTGGAACATTGTAACCGTCGTCTGTCATGTTGAGTACACATCGATGTACCTTTACATAAAATGGCTCCCTGTCCTTGGGAATATTTGTGAAGTTTTTGCTGTAAATTGAGACAACTTCATCTTCAAGTGCTAAATATTAAAAATATACATAATGGTATATCGTTTAAACGTTGAACTTTGACTATATCATTAAAATTTGCTTCAGAAACTAAATTCTTTAATGTATTTATACATGACTTTATGGATCAACATGTCAAAAGCCGTCGTCTTCATACCTAATCCACGGCTTTCTGCATTCGCGTTTTTGCTGTTTGAGACAAATATCAAAGCCATACATAATGCCTTTGTGTATTTGAAATACAAAAGATTACCTAAACAAGAGAGAAATTTTTCGTTAGTGACAAGGCTTTATGTTCATTATTTCGTACATTTTAGGGTAGTTTAAATTTATTAAACGACCACGTAAAGTGAAATACTTTATCTCTTATTTTGTATGGAGGAACTGATCGAAACGCTGCAGGTTGATTGATAAATTTCCATGGTCGATTATTTAAATATTTTGTTAATTTGTTTTATTTTTTTTCATTTTGTACATTTTTTCCTGACTACAAGTTTCCGTTAATTTTTCCAATTAACTCTGATCTCCTACACAAAACTGCGTCATAAAAATATGGATAGTAATGTCTAGTTGTAGTGATGTGAATAGTTATAGTTATGTCTTGAGTTATGTAGTAATGTCTTTTATCGTGCATTCAGCGAATGGCGCGTACATGTTTGTAAATTAAGTGCAAGATCTTCGTTAGTGCGAAAGATATGCGTCTAGTAGATTCGCAGTGATATTGCTTTTTATGGCATAAACGATCTTAAGTCTCCATCAGTGAAAGAATTTCTTTGTGCTTTTCCACACCCTGTTGTTTGGTGAAATAATTACAGAAATAAAAAGAAAACTGAAGTCCTGCAATTATTTCAAAATCGCAACGCCTACAATGTTATTGATTTAAATTTAGCAAAACAATTTTAAATGTAATAAATTCATCATCAAGGCGCTTTTATTATCCTACTGGCTAATATATCAGTTAACACATTTCTATCTACTACAGTTTTCTTTTCCTTTTATTCCATAAATTGGCCTTAATATTGCATTATACTGGTTACATTTTGTAAATGATTTTATAAAATAAACTTTTGTATAATCACACTTTTTAATTAGCTACATTCGTATACATACTCACCCATATTTTCTTTTTTAGAATTTGATTTCTCCACGAAATTTCACAATGTCAGGTATTGTGCTCCTATTTATATTTTACAAGTTTAGTGTGTGTCTGCAGATTGTATTTGCTTTTATACTTAAACCGACATGCTGTGAACCTCAAATGGTTAACTGCGATCGTGACGATTTCAAATAAATTTCCTTTTCAAAATACATTACTGAAATTGTTTTCTGTGGTCTGCTTGATTTCCATTGGAATGACTGATTTTGATAAGATATTAAGTAATGATTGAAAACTACACTTTAACTTTGGTCTTATAAAATCGATGCATGTGAATGTACAATGTACTTGCATTAATCTACTGCGGATTTCTGTCAGTAAGTAATCAATGACCCCGATGATTTTATCAAACAACGTCACGTGCAAGTTCTAGAAAGTCGCGAAAGAGAGTTTGCTTTTGTACAAATATATTAACACAATGAAAATGAGAAAATTTTGAAAGGCGGGCTGCGTTAAATAGCATCAGCAAAAGTATGCATCATCTTCTTGTAGTTTTATGACACAAACATGGCTTTGACCGTCGGTGGGGTATTTTGTTCAATATTCATCGACGACTTCTAGTTACACTATATTTGTTGCTAATGTCTTTTCCGGTGGTTTTCTAAGATGACTTGTCAAAAAATGTTTGCATTTCAATAATTAGCATATTTCTTAATATCACATGTTATTTTTAGCTTATGAGTTGGTCTTTACATTTGCAATTTCTGGTATTGTACCAAGTACGAAAGTAAACTTTTGTAGCGGTAAAAAAAAATGAAACTTAAAGTGACCAACTAAAGGCACAGAGCGCTTGCATTGAATGATTCCTTCTCTGCCGCAGTGTCTATTACGCTTTGACTTAGTGACTCGTATCAATCATTACAGTCAATTTTTTTGCAATATTGGGTAATCTTTTGAAAAGATTCACCTATATTTGCTTGTTAGTTTGAACAAATTTATATATTTGACATTATTCGATGAAAACCACACATGGAAAACCACAATTAGTATCCAATTTGTTTGTGGTTCAGCACAGCAAGTTTTTTTTAGTTGTTGACATCATTTTATCAACATGTAATGATCAATTCATTTAAAAAACAATCCATGAATCCTGGAGAAGCCTGATATAATTTTTTCCCGTCTACTGTACAAAGCCTCATAAAATTAACCTCGATTTAGTTTCAATCGTGACTTTCTCCAATTTTATCAGCAATGAGCCGTTTGAATAACTGATTTCACTAAAGGAACACATTTACATTTCTTGTTATTAAACCTCATAAAATACAATACGTTTGTCTATTTGGAAAAACAAATCATGTCCTTTATTGCTTATATAAAGCTATATTATATGCAACATAATGTAAAGATAAATTTCAGCTTTAGAGATGTTCATTTATCTCTACAAATTTGCATTTTTATACTGGAAAAATACTTCAACTGGGTTTGTCATATTAGGTAGAAATATTATTGTTCATTTAAACGACAATTTTAAAAAATATACATCTTTCATATGGTATACCGCTTATATCATCATTTATACTGAAGAGATGAGCATCCTTGTTAGATTATAAATATAATTTACACTTTCTCACGGTTGAAATTCTATACTTTTGACCTGATAATGGGGATTTCAACAACATAACTATCCGGATATTGGATATCACATTGAGAGTTAAGTGTTTTTTATGAGGCGCCAAGCCGGACAAATTTGTCTTTCATAAAATATATGTGCTGAACTTCAAATTTGCATTTTCTGAATCGAATAAATCGGTTCTCAACTCAAAATATATCTGATAAACTTAAAAAATATATGCCAAAATTAAAAAATATTTGCTAAACTTAAAAAATATATGCTCTCCGAAAAAAATATGTTCTAATTATGATGCTTTGCGTCCTTGTTTTTATCACGTGGGCGGTAAGCGTGCGTGGCCGCCATTTGCAAATTGCAATAGATTCTCGAATCTCGATTGTCGAAGATGCTCAATCAAAATGAACTTCAGTTTCACTTGAATAACGCGTTACAAAGAATTAGTCAGTTGGAAAGTTCAAATATTACTCCTAATAGTCCGCTTGGCTCGACGAACAACTCCAGCAGAAACAGCGGCTCGACCGGATCGACTTTGACGGAAGAACTGCGAAGGAGTTTTCCAAGCTTAGCAAATCACGCAGCAATAAGGTCAACATCAACCCAAATGCCATTGAGTCGGGCTTCAACGTCGCATATTTCTGGCAACAAGAAAAAACGAAAGCGCACATCGACGACCTATTTCTTAAGTTTATCAGTTTTTAAAATTTATATTTTGAGTTGAGAACCGATTTATTCGATTCAGAAAATGCAAATTTGAAGTTCAGCACATATATTTTCTGAAAGACAAAGTTGTCCGGCTTGGCGCCTCATAGTTTTTCTTGGCAGTTCATAATCTTGAATGGCAGATGCTCGGTATTATTGTATGTAGCTACTGTACTCAATAATGAGTGTACTTAATGAAACGCACATTATACATAAAAAGTCTAAAATCATTAATTTTCACAACAATCATGACATATTTCTTTGTTAGCTACAGAACACTTCTGATTAGTTGCGCAAACGTAAAAATAAAGACTTCTTTTGATCTTTCAGGCCAACCACCATGGCGAACACTTAAACCCATTTAAGCCATCGAAAATTTTAAGAAATTTGTATGGAAAAATTTCTTAAGAACACTTTTTTTGCCCGAAAATCTTTAAAATAATCAGATTATTTGTTTAAAAGCTTTAAATGCAAATAAACTATTTATCTTTTTCTGTTTTGGTTTGGGTATTAAATGGGTCAACCAAGCGATGATTACCGGAAAGGATCGTCCGGTAATCGCTGATCTTAAAAACTGTTGGATACCAGGTTTAGTGCAAAGTTTCAATAGGAATATTGAAGTATTGTGGTGAGTGGCGAAAATTCACACAAATTAGTCAATTTTTGAAGGAATGTTTTATGCAGTGCGGTGTTTGAAATTAAATGAAGATATGATCTTCGCACTTTGCTGGACAATTTAAGAAATTGTCTCATGAACCTGAAAAATTCAGGTGAATCAACGGGACAATCACTCAGTGTGACTGTATGACTTCTTAGCTCAGTTGGTCAGAGCACTGCACCGGCACCGCAGAGGTCATGGGTTCAAATCCCGTTGAGTCACCTGAATTTTCAAGTTCACTCAATGAGCAAGTGTCAACAATGTATCAATATTGAAGTCACTGTGTGACTTCTTAGCTCAGTTGGTCAGAGCACTGCACCGGCACCGCAGAGGTCATGGGTTCAAATCCCGTTGAGTCACCTGAATTTTTCATAGTCAGTCAGTCAGTCGGTCAGTCAGTCAGTCAGTCAGTCAGTCAGTCAGTCAGTCAGTCAGTCAGTCAGTCAGTCAGTCAGTTAGTCAGTCAGTCAGTCAGTCAGTCAGTTAGTCAGTCAGTCATAGTGTTAACTTTCAGGGAGGTGTCTAGCAACAACGCTCATTTTATGTTTAATGATTTTTTTGAGATTTATTATCAATTTTTCAGCGATTATGAAAAGAGAATTTAACACGAACTTAAACTCACATCAAATTAAGACATTTATTTCATTGTTTCATTCTAAACTAACAATTTATAAATTCAATTTGATGCGTATCCTCCAACAGCTCTATTCCCCCCCTTTGTATCCCCCCTTTTTTGATACAATTGACATTGTATCCCCCCTTTTTACCCCCAGCAGCTCTATTTCTCCGAAGAAATACCTAAATGCGCATGCGCCAATTTTGTGAGAATGTATAATGAATAGTGTAGCAAAAGTAAAGTAAGGGAAATGGAATATTCCGAAATCAAAAAAAAATTTGCTTTAACTGTAACGCTTTTCGTTAATGCTGGCACTGTTGACAAATATATTGAAGATTTTGTAAGCTCGATTTTATAAGAATGTGAAGAATATCGGTATTTGCTGTATTGCCGTATTTGCAACTGTTAATGTATTAGCGCTGTTTATTCAGCAACCTGCTCTGAACTTCTGGTCTATCTACACACATACACTATCTGTTGGTCAGTTGGTGAATTTGTCTTAAACATACGACTTGTATGTGATACGACAGTAAAATTGAAAGTTGCGCACACATCTTCCTCGGTTAGGAGCATTTCACAAGAAATAAAGTGCACTATTACTGTTTTTGAAGGAAAGCATTAGTTGTAGATTGCTTTGAACAATATAAGAAAGTCATGTAGTACGACTGTATGACTTTGTCGACTTTCATGTAATCGCAATGAAAATGCAAATACGAAATGAATATTCATTCACGCAAACTTACCGAAAACTGGACTTGTTCATCAACTGATGCAAATTGTACTAGGTAAGTATTTATCGAACATCGTTGTATTTTACTACTCGTTGCCTTGTTATTTAATTAGGTGGAATTTTGTGGTAAAAGTATCGCAAACAAAGCATTTTGCTCTTCTGAACACATGAGCTTCACATATGTCTCAAAAGAATAAAAAAAATACAACATAACCGAAACAAAGAAAGGAAATCAAGAGTGATTTTGTAATTTATTAGATGTGTACTGCATAGTAATAATAAAAGATTGTGATGCATGAATGACGAATGTATGATTGTGGCGTGCCAAATGTCCTCATTATGTGTCCGCTATTGTCTCTCTTATAATTCACAACTTAGCTTCGCTTTTATAAATAATGAGTTCTTAAAAGTCTTTTATACTCTCTAATTTCAATAGCACGGTTTTATAAACCTCAAAAATTTAAGATTTTAACCACAATTGAGATAGAAAGTAGTCTTCAAAGACATCCTATATTTTGATAAGTACTATGAATATATTTGAACGGAATGTCATTCATATGTAATCATTATGTAGGTACTCTCATTTAATTGTTTATTTACTATACAATTAATGTTTATTCATCCCTGAACCATTGAAGATGGCTCATCAAAACTCTGTAATCAACCAGTTTTATATTGAAGTATTTTATGTCGCTATTAAATTATAAACTGGCACTTAAAATGTTAAGATTTCTTACTCTTTAACCATTTTTTGCTTCACTTAATTAAGTTACTGTAAAATTCAAATCATAAAGAAGAATCTGAAAGCGTGGGCCCATAGCATAATTATTCTCTCATTATTCTCTCATATCCTGCACTATGGTCAGGCTGGCCTATCCTTCTCTCAACTTGATTAAAAAGTAAATATTTACATTGTTAATCATATCTCTCAATTAAACGATCCTACGTCGGCACATTATATTTTGACGTAAACATTACTGAATTATTAATTTATCATGTTTTGTGAGTAATATGAAATGGGAAGAATTTACAGGTAGAATGAATTGTCGAAATGCCAAGTTACATAGCTATTTAATTGAGATGTAATTGTTGGTTTGCTTCTGGCAAATTCCGGGGTAAATTTTTCTTTTTGATTGTTTTTATATAGCTGGGCAACAAAGATGTGTCAAATTCTTTACGTGACTATATTTTTAAAATAGGAAGAGCAAACACGCATTGTAGCGCTTCTTGTAGATATTTATAATTATTGTTTGTCATGGATTATGGTGTGCTACGGTGGCTATATATCCATTTAACTATTTGCGTGTTACAAAATTTTAAAGCTACATTTATATCATTGTTGTCATTACTACAGCTAAAAACAATTGGATATGTATTATTTTTTTGACAATATTGCATTCTTTATTCAAAAAATGAACTGCATGACTTATTCGAGAACATAAAATTATTTGATAGCTATATAGAATTGCAAATTAGTTACTAGAAGAAAAAACAACTCGTCTGCTTTTGGAAATAAGTAATAAGTAATTCAGGCAGCTCATTGCTCTCAAAATATTGCAAAGTCAGTTTGACGCACTTCAATTCCAATGATGTTGTAGGGAAATCACATTTCAGAAATCTATTACTGTGTATATAGCCTGTATGGGAAGAGTTTTAAGTGACTGCACAATATTGCAAAGTCAGATTTGAATTGAGGCAATTGCATGAATTCCAATGACGTTTTAGGGAAATTACATTTTTTTTATAAAACAAAGACTTTATTGTGGTCACGAACTTTAATTTTGCTCTCATTAACATATTTGTCTTGGTGAACGACAATTTAAGTAGTTCTTAAGAACTGTAGAAAACTGAAATGAAGATAGTTATAAAATTATGGTGCAGTTTGCCGAAATGCATCGTGTCATTTTAATTTTATGTAATATCATCATTTTGGTGTTCAACTGTTCTTTGAAGAACTACTCAATTGTCAATCACCACGACAAATACGCTAATCAAAGCAAGAATTAAAATATTTTCTTAAATTGAAAACAAAAGACAGCAAAGCAAAGCATTTGAGCTTTTGCAAACGACAAAGTGACAATCTATTAACTGTTAAGCGGTAGCCTAGCCATCTCAAGAGTTGCATGGTCATGCTCTGTAAGTTTTTAACACGATATCATTGCTGGTTTCCTAATGGATATTGTTTTTACAGTAAACAAACACCAAAATACGTACATAGCTGTGAAGGACTTACTGCGGTTAACCGGTTATAAACGCGACCCAAAAGTTAACGTCAATGTCGTTAATTCTTTTATGCTATCTTTTGGGTCTTGCTCTGTCAGTTGTTCGGTGTTGATTTATTTACAATTTATGCAATATATGCAATCAAATACTACATATTAGCATCGTTTTGTAATATGATAATTAGTTATTATAACATCGATGTACGCCGGTGGTAAAAATGCCCTTTTCAAAATACATTACTGAAATTTTAATATTTTAAAATTTAAAATTTTTACTGTGGTCTGCTTGATTTCCATTGGAATGACTGATTTTGATAAGACATTAAGTAATGCTTGAAAACTACGCTTTAACTTTGCTCTTATAAAATCGATTCATGTGAATGTACAATGTACTTGCATTAATCTACTGCGGATTTCAGTCAGTAAGTAATCGATGACCCCGATGATTTTATCAAACAACGTCATGTGCAAGTTCTAGAAAGTGGGAAAGAGAGTTTGCTTTTTGTACAAATATATTAATACAATGAAAATGAGAAAATTTTGAAAGGCGGGCTGGGTTAAATAGCATCAGCAAAAGTATGCATCATCTTGTGGTTTTATGACACAAACATGGCTTTGACCGTCGGTGGGGTATTTTCTTCAATATTCATCGACGACTTCTAGTTACACTATAATTGTTGCTATTGTCTTTTCCGGTGGTTTTTTATGATGACTTGTCAAAAATGTTTGCTTTTCAGTAATTGTCATATTTATTAATATCATATGTTGTTTTTACTTTAAAAGTTGGTGTTTACATTTGCAATTTCTGGTATTGTACCAAGTACGATCTTTAAGTAAACTTTTGCAGCGGTAAAATAAAAGGAAACTTAAAGTGATCAACTAAAGGCACAGAGCGCTTGCATTGAATGATTCCTTCTCTGCCGCAGTGTCAATTATGCTTTGACTTAGTGACTCGTATCAATCAGCACAGTCAATTTTTTTAGCAGTATTGGGTAATCTTTTGAAAAGATTCACCTATATTTGCTTGTTAGTTTGAACAAAATTAAATATTTGACATTGTTCAATGAAAACCACACGGAGAAATAATAAAAATAACCATAGCATAGCTAATTAGTATCCAATTTGTTTGTGGTTCAACACAGCAAGTTTTTTTTTTAGTTGTTGACATCATTTCATCAACATGTAATGATCAATTCATTTAAAAAACAATCCATGAATCCTGGAGAAGCCTGATATGATTTTCCCCGTCTACTGTATAAAGCCTCGTGAAATTAACCTCGATTTAGTTTCAATCGTGACTTTATCCAATTTTGTCAGGAATGAGCCGCTTGAATAACTGATTTCACTAAAGGAACACATTTACATTTCTTGTTATTAATCCTCATAAAATACAATACGTTTGTCTATTTGGCAAAACAAATCATGTCCTTTATTGCTTATATAAAGCTATATTATATGCAACATAATGTAAAGTTAAATTTCAGCTTTAGAGATGTTCATTTATCTCTGCAAATTTGCATTTTTATACTGGAAAAATACTTCAACTGGGTTTGTCATATTAGGTAGAAATATTATTGTTCATTTAAACGACAATTTTAAAAAATATACTTGTTTCATATGGTATACCGCTTATATCATCATTTATACTGAAGTGATGTGCATCCTTGTTAGATTATAAATATAATTTACACTTTCCCACTGTTGAAAGTCTATACTTTTGACCGGATAATGAGGATTTCAACTAGATTGTGATGCATGAATGACGAATGTATGATTGTGGCGTGCCAAATGTCCTCATTATGTGTCCGGTATGTAAATGCACATACGAAATTAACGTTTATTTACGCAATCTTGGAGCAAGTTGTAGCTATTCGTCAAAAAGCAAACTGCTTAGCCTTTGATAACCACTTCTCGAAATGAATGTCTGTTTAGCATTTTTTGAAACGCCATGGTGCGATACTACGCATTCTTAAAACTAGTTTTATTTGCCATGTTTACTAACAATTTTTCTCAGAAACTTTGTGTTAGGTTTGTGATGTAGCCATCTATCTTCTTTAGTATATATTGACTTACGAACAATAGAGATATCAAAGATAACTATTTCGATCACATTTAATGTTCAACGTCAATGTCTATGGTCAACGATCTATCTTATAATGGTGAAACTACTTCTATTTATACAAGATATTAAGTATGGATATATTTGTTTCTTTACTAAGTATGGTTAATTTACAATCAACGGAGCTATTAGGAACTATAAAAATATTGTGATTATTGCACATAAGTATCTCTTAAAATAATCATTTAGTTAGTTACACTTGACAATTATTTACTTATTACAGGAAGAATATGAGAGCATATCTCAACACTTTGCACTATCCTTGGATACCTAGTTTAATACGTGAAAGCAGGACCGTCTACAGAACAGTAAATTGGGGAGGGGAGGGGAGGATACTCATGTATTCAGTTGTTCCCGATTGTAACGTTTTAGTGACGGCAATTTGCCTTAAAACAAGCATTAATTTTTTTTAATTCACTTTGGCTAGAAAGTGCTTTTCACTATTTTTTTTTCATTCCTAAAATATAATCTCCTGCAATATAAAAACTTCAGCTTACTATCCATTTAAAAAGCAACGAAAGGTTTATTGATTACTATAACACATGCAAATAATGAATAATACGCGACATAATTAATAATTCTTAACTTGCTTGTGGTTATCATTTGTTGTGATTGGCGAATTAAGATACTTTCCTAAGTCATTTGTCACTGATCAATTCAGTCAAAATACTGTGTAGCTCTTCAGGAAAATCTCTGAATTGAGACAGTTAAACGACTTTTGTGACCTTCAATGCGAGACAGGTCAAGTGAGTTTGACGTTTTATACAACGTTTTAAAAATGCAACAAAGTTAAATTTGTTTGATTATTCGGCGTCATTCTTGTGTGTCATTTATTAATTCATTGAGGGCAGAAACGGTCCATTCCTTTGCTTTATTTTTGAATTGCAAAGAATTTAAAAACCGTCCGCCATATACACATTTTGCACGTGTAATACTTTGGTAATCAGCATATAAATTAGCAATGATTTAGCTACTGATCTATTTATTTAATAACCAACCTTTTATATAAAATTTAAATCAACTTCAATGAAACTCAATATAACTATCTTTTAAACCTATAATTAAATAATTTATGAAGGAAAATATGATATTTATAACCAGGGGCGGATCTAGGATTTTTCATATGTTAGTCAAAAATTTATGACGTCATATGTGGCCTCAAATATGACGTCATAGATGACATCATACATTGTATCTTATGCAGCGATTTATAAAACTTTAGCGATCATAAAATTGCGAAAACTAAGATGAATTCCCTTTAATCAGATGATGACAGACTGTTTCGCCCAATATCAGGGCTCTTCAGCATGCCTAGGATGATGCCCCAAATTTCAAAGCATCATCCGACATGGACAGCCCTTTAAAGAGCCGAAGCCAGCAATCTGGTTATTGCATAGAATTAAATGCATGTCCTTTATACATAGGTACATCAACAATTTTATCTATAAACTAAAAAGAATTTAGATGTAGAAAGACAAAATTTAAAAATTCTCATGATTTCAATTAAATTTAAATCTAGTGTTGCCAACAGAAAATTTATCAATTACGCGTTGCACATCTGGAAGAATTTCCTGATGAATTTTCATTAGAGAAAAGACCATTTAACCGTTCCTCAACCATAGTACTCGCTTATAATCTTTAAGAATTCGCAACGCTGAAATCGAACGTCACATTCGCATGAAGTTATGGGAAGGGTTCCTAATATTTGAAGTATGACCTTTATGTTTTGAAAACCATCAAAATTTATAGCTTTTGAAGTTGTAGCTACATTACATGGATAAGGACCTTTACGATGTTCCCAGAAGGATTGCCATAATAACAACTCTGCATCTAAACCTAACTGATTGGGTAAATCAGCAACATAAAATTTTGAAACAATCTTAAATTTATGTCTCCAGTCAATCCCATTTTTATAAGAAAACATTTTGTTGGAACAATACTTAGTCCTTGATAAACATTTACACTTTCCGTGTCAAATCGCGCATCCAAAGACGAGAAGATGGTCAATTAAAGGAATCGTATAGATTCGTTTGTAATACTCGAGATAGAACGACAAGGAGCGTTAGGCCTTGTAGTTTGCCTTCCAATTGTCCTACGTTTACATTCTTCTACCCCAACCTTTGCCGCTAACGTCAAAGCAATGTCGTACCATTGATCATGATATGAATCAATAGAATTCCTCACATGTGCAACACTGCTTTTCAAAGAAGAGATCAACTCAATCCCGTCCATAACATCAATACTCTTTCCTTGCAAAAGCTGAGTAACAGGAAGATCAAAAACATTTCTGGTAATAACCAAGAGGGCGATAAAATGAAACTCAGAAAGACCTTCAAGCAAAGAGGATGCATCAGCAGCGAGAGAGGGACTGCCACCTTTTGCCATGTTATCCAGTGTGTCAAAAATTTGAACAAACAATTCTTCGAAAGTGTCTAAACCTTTAACTCGTTCTACCCATCTGGTTCTACAAACATCTGGCAATCTAGTCTTTTTTTGAGTCCGTTTCTAAACTATTGCGTACTGTCTCCTCAAACGGTATATTGCGTGTTTGAGAAATATTGATAAAATTTGTCACATCTTTTATTTTGTTAAGTACTTTCTTAACCTCAATATCTGACAAAGAATCACAAACTGACAAATTAAGCCTATGACTATAACAGTGGGTATATAATGCTTTCGAGTTGAGCTTCAAAATTTGGGCAGCCAAACCTTTAACACAACCTGCAACAGCACCCGCACCATCATAACCTTGTCCGCGACAGTCTTCAATTGGCAAGCCAAGGTCTTTAAGTTTA